GATCCTGTGGAGCAGAGTAGTGTGAGACCTGTTCGAAAAGAAATTAGCTGAAGATTTTATCAAGAATGTACAAATATACAGTTGAGGCTATGTTGACATACTAAAGCCTACAGCTCCTCAGGACTCAACTGGATTTCTGTGTGTTGATTGCTGCTTGCTACTGACAAGTGCAAAGGGGGGTAGACCTAAACTTAGCTGCAATTTCAGCTCTGAGGCGACCAGTCCACTCCAAAGCAGGAAAAGTTGATACAGGGGTCAGAAATTCATGCAGCTCTCAATGACTGTGAATACAATGTAATGCTAAAATGAAGAAGTACGTCCAGAGTCCTAAAATTGTTTTAGACAGAGAGATTTGTGTACACGTAAAGACTAGCCTCTTGCCTGTCTGTCTATAGGCTCCACTGATATTTCTTTTTTTCTACATCTGTCTTGCTGTGATTTTCCACTCCCGCACATGCACACCACTTAGCAGGCTGCCTGGTATTGACAGAAATGCCCAAACCATTCCTGGTTCCCATTAGCAAAAGCATCTCCATGCTTCTGCAACACCCGTTAGCCATCCAGTCCCAGTATGATGACTTGGCCGGGTTTCACGCCTCTCCATTTTATAGTTGATGAATAGCTGCAGCAGATGGTTTCTTATCTTTGAAGACTCCAGTAAGACGAGCGTGATGAATCGCTCCAAGGCCTAACACATCCATCCGCACCGCCATCACGTTGCCCCCTCCAGCACCAGAAAAGAAAAAGTGAAATGTGAACAATATGTTGACTCATCAAGTACACCTATGAAGGTTCTGCTTTCACTTTCCTCATACCAGCCCCCCTCTGCAAAAAAAAAAAAACTTTAGACATGTCTGCGTTGACACTTTCATTCCATCCCAGCTGTGTAAACACCAATATGGTTGGTGTTAAAAACATCTATACAAAAAAAGAAAAAAGAGTCAGGGCTCATCTGGTGCAGTCATTATCCCCTTTACAATGAACCCTCATGACAGGCTCATGTCCACTCTTCTCATCAGTCACAGCTCACAGGAGGATGGCTGTTGGGTGAGCATGAGGAACTGAAAAGTTATGGTAGCAAAAGTTATTAACGCTTTCCTTACAATGTGAATTCTTTGCAGCACTCTGATGTTTTTTTTTTTTTTTTTTTTCAGATTATAAATCAGTCCATCCCCACTGAAAAAGAAGTGGCATGTTCAGTGTCAGCCATAATGGAGAGAAACAAATGATAAAAAAGAAGACTAAACTATGATGGACAGATATAAAGAAGATATCATGTAATGTGTCCAGAAAAGTTTTGTTATTTTCCAGCCATAACAGATGACATCTAGTCGTAAGCCTTTCCTGCTTTCTGCTTACTTGGTCTAAAACACTGAAAAATAAAGACAAGCCACTATTTTCTGTCTGCAGGATAAAATCAGAGGCAAATTTTGCGATACAATGAAGAATACTGTACAATTAGAAAATGAGGTGCATGAAAAATAGTATATCAGATATCCAAAGGAAAGCTATTTTAATCTGGGCAGATTTTAAGTCCGTAAACTTCCACAACAAAATGCCAACATTATTTGAAAAGCCTCTTTAACCCAAGCTTTAGTCAAAAATGTAAACCTGGTATTTGCCTGCTGCATTAGTTCAGTTATTTCTGTGCCAAGTCATTATGAGCAGGTCAACCACCAAATAAATCACATAACAAGACATGTCAACGGACCTCTCAAAATAGACCCCCAAAGTACCTGGTCTATACCCTATCTGCTAAAGGACCTAAAATATGCAAGGCTGAGCATACTTAGGCTAGCTACAATTGTAGACCTAAGCTTGACTTATACTTCTGCACTGAAAATATGCCTTAACACACACTGTAGGTTCCCTATACCTATGCAGAAGTCTGTGAATGAGGCCTGACCTCAAAAATGCAACAAAGGGTTAAAACACTACAGATGACAAGTTCTAATTGACCTGCATCAAATTTTCTAGCATTTACAACATTGCTTAATACCCTCTGCCTATACTCGTCCAGCAGCCATAAATTCATCTCTTTTAACGTCTATCTGTTTTCCTCATTGCAATTATTGCTGTATGTTCAGTTGTAACTCAACTTTGATCAGTTCCAGCTCTAAGAATGTGCTCTAAGTTTAGTAACCATGGTGTCCTGTGCACAAACACACTAGCATAGAAAATACACTGCCAACTAGTCCTAAACCGGAATACTAAAGAGCAATGGGGCACTCCAACACACAACGAAGCGTAGACCACTGTGGTGTAGTACGGCTCGTCATTGAGGTATAAACCAGCACAGACTCATGAACTCTGAAGATATTAGGAGACACACAAAGCCTAGAATAACACAATTTCAAGGAGAAAAATCTTCTGCAACGCTTTAGTGAAATACCAAGGCTACCATAGATATGAACTTGATATACTGTATGGGAATCTTAGTTGTATACACTATGAGAGAAAAGTATGCTGCGTCAATGATTATTGTGCCATACCACATGGAAAAAAAGCCTATTAACCAAATCTATAAAGCAGCAGAGAAGGTCAAATTTTTCTGTGTCAAAGTATCATTACTCATTAATCAAACCCTGCTGTTTGGCAAGTTACAATAAAGAACTTTCTCACTTTCATGAACCTACTCTTTTAAAATAAAAATAGCAATATAACATGTTTTACTTTGCCTCATAAAATATTTTTGTGATTCAGAAATCCCCTAGGGCGGTGTGTTTTAAGAAATATTTGACATCTTTAAAAAACTCCGGGGTCTCTAAGTAACTGGATTTCAAGACAAACTAAAGACATCACGTGTCTTCTATCACTCACTTTCCATCATCAATGAAGTCATGTTTTAACAAGGTCTCATTTCTCAGATATTTTCCTTGCTTCTGAGAGCTAGAGGCCTCACCTGTAGGCTACCGTGCTAAGTCACACACACATGATGCAATGTGAAACCTCCGTCTATTCATTGGAAAAGGAACGAGGAACTGTGCTACTGAACAGCCTGCAGTGCTGCAGGTGTGAATATTTGAGGCCTCACAACTGTGATTAATAGCAATGAAAACTTGGACATCTCCCAACAAGAAGGGATCACAATAGCTCTGACAAAGTCAATCAATCTGATCTGTCAGTGCCAGGACAAAAAATGTGATGAGAAAAAAAGGCTTTGAGGGGCTGGGCGGCGGACAAGACTACTGATTTATCACAGATGTGCATTTTTGGGACAATGGATGAACACAGCCTCTACATTTGGAAAGAATTTTGTGCTATCATGTGGTCACTATAGGGCACATTTAAGTGGTGAAAAGATCAGTCTGGATGCACAAAATACATAGTCATACATGCGTGGGTGTGCCTGCGCATACTGTGTTAGAAAAACACACCTAGTAAGCACACAGTCATGCACACAGATGCTCAGACACACCTGCATAAAACTAGTTTTGCTCAGTGCTCAGACAGTGGTGATAGATGCATCCTGATCCTGTACCTGTGCCAATTTGTTTTTCTGCCAACTTAATAGACTAATTTGTAGTCCTGCATTCAAAGTTTTTTCATAAGTCTCATCATGAGAATAAGAAATAATTCAAATTTCAAGTGTTATTTTGATAAACATTTTTTTTTTCTCTTATTTTGAAAATATTTCGAAAATGAGCCTGTAGGAAAAAGCAGGTTTTGGATCAGGGAACCAGATATGCCCTCAAAGATGTCAAAGGCAATGTTGAAGCTACGCAGGGACCCACGATACTCAGACAAACACAACATAATGGAATCACATAAACATGTTTGGTCAAGTTAAAATCACCCGGCGATAGTGTTCTAGGGTTAATAGAATTACTGCTTGGAGCAGGCAAAATGTAACTAAATAAACTTTTGAGTTTACTTTTGTGGAAAGCAATGCAGTAAATCCCACTTTTACATGCATTTCTATTTGTTGCACTATTTTGAGTCAAAAATGGCGTGTTTGTTCAATTTCAACAATTTGCATTGACTGACTTTGTAAAGTAACATTTAAAATTAACTATATTAAATACACATACCTCAGTAAAGAGTCTAACAGCTATTCTGAAGAGCAAAACATGGATTATGGAAAATACAATGTAACATTTTTTTCTTTTTTTACCCAAATCAACTGTTTCAAACTTGTATTTAACCTGCACTGCCAGCGGATATGCAGTTTGTTCACTTCAACAGCTGTTTGAGTGAAGTTAAGGGTCAAGTTCCGATAAACTTTTCAGGAGCAGAGGTCATGGAGTACTCCTCTGAAAAAGGTAAAAAAGAGTTTGGAAAGAGACGTTAAATGCAGGTGATTTACATAAAAGCAGATGAATGGGTTTTCAGCTGCTTTAAGAGTTAAGGAGCAACAATACCGAAACAAACAGCGTCCTTCTGTTTTTAATCCTAAAGAACAACCCTGATCTGATCAGTCCTGATAGAAGTTACAGTTTCAGCAGCTCTCTGAGACAGGCTAGAGCTTGACCATACAGTCCTCTAACACAATGATGAGAGCCTGATGTTGATCAGAAGCCATTGCAAAGACAAGGAAAGGGGAAACATAACCTTTCTGATGATTTCAGCAGCAGGTTAGCACCAGCATTTTATATATATATATATATATATATATATATATATATATATATATATATATATATATATATAGAGAGAGAGAGAGAGAGAGAGAGACTCTAAACTTTGTTTCTTTCCCACCCATTCCTGGGGCATGCGAGTTTTCCCTGGTGAAGACTCGGGGTCCTTGGCACAATAACAGCAGCAGGAGAGAGAAACCAAAATATCGTGTATTTTGAGTGAGTAAAAATGACCAGCTGACTAAAATATTTCTTATCACTGTATGAATTCCCTTGAAAATCACCATTTTGTGATACTTATTCATGATCACTGCGCTAAATAAAGATAGCATGCAAATTCCAGGACCACTCTTTCTGACCTTATTCACCTACATGCAGCTATCAGATCCACCCAAACCTACTTTACCATCTATCAATGTTGCCGGGTGAAAATCACCCAAACACGAGCCTGTAGGAAAAAGCAGGTTTTGGATCAGGGAACTAGATATGTCTTTAAAGATGTCAAAGGCAATGTTGAAGCTACCCAGAGACCAATGATACTCAGAAAAACACAACATAATGGAATCACATAAACATGTTTGGTCAAGTTAAAATCACCCGGCGATAGTGTTCTAGGGTTAATAGAATTACTGCTAGGAGCAGGCAAAATGGAACTAAATAAACTTTTGAGTTTACTTTTGTGGAAAGCAATGCAGTAAATCCCACTTTTACATGCATTTCTATTTGTTGCACTATTTTGAGTCAAACATGGCGTGTTTGTTCAATTTCAACAATTTGCATTGACTGACTTTGTAAAGTAACATTTAAAATTAACTATATTAAATACACATACCTCAGTAAAGAGTCTAACAGCTATTCTGAATAGAAAAACATGGATTATGGAAAATACAATGTAACATTTTTTTCTTTTTTTTTTTACCCAAATCAACTGTTTCAAACTTGTATTTAACCTGCACTGCCAGCGGATATGTAGTTTGTTCACTTCAACAGCTGTTTGAGTGAAGTTAAGGGTCAAGTTCCGATAAAATTTTTATAAAAGAGACACTTGAATCAAGTAAAGTAAAGCTTGTTTTCTTTTAAATGTCCTGTGTGATGAGCGGAGGAAACGGACCATACTGTTGTCAACTTCCTCTCTCACTTTTCTTTTTTAATGTAAATCTCCATTTCAGGCCTACCGACAAACACTTAAGACGGCTTTGTAGTTACATTCAAACCAATTACGTTATTATGGCTTGTTATAATGCGATTACAGAGCCTGATCCCGGAGATTGTCCCTTTAAGAAGAAGTGAGAGTGAGAGGAGGTGGTGCGGTTTCACACCCCGGGGTGGGAAACATGGGCGGGGCCAGAAACCTCTGAGTGACAGCCGCTCACAGGTTCTAGAACACCCTGATGCGCGAAGAGCTCGAAACGACCAATGAGGTTCGGACTCGACCCGCCCATCAAACCTAAACAGCCAATCAAAACGATTGTAAGGCGGACCTTGGAATCGCTGTTGTGCATCCAACGTGGGACTACGGAGCGATCACCCAGGAAAAAAAGAAAAAGTAACTCAAGAAAGGAAAAAACTCATGGTGGTAGTGCACGGACTTGGAAGGAGGGGGGACTCTATTTTGCTATTAATCGGATCGTCGATATTTTGTGACCACAGACTGCACCTGATAAGCTGTTGGTGGAGTTCTTCTGGAAAGGACCGTGCGCTTTCCCAAAGTTGGATTTATCGAGTTACGGCAGCGAAGTGCAGCGGCGGAGATTGGACGATATGCAGCGCTCGGCTTCACACAGCAACGCCGGAGTTTTCGGGCTCTAACCCTGCGGGGTTTTCTACTTATTCGCTTCGACTTCAAGTTTGTAGGGAACGTTTTATAACTGCGTAATAACTCACTGTAACTGTTTGGCAAAGTTTTCAACAGTTCCCCCGGTGTTAAAAGCCACCGGGTGCAGTGTCCTTTAACAATTTACTGCTGCATGTTTTCAAACATGTCACCAAAAAGAAGCTATCCTGTCCAGATAAAGCTCATTTTTTGACTTAAATATAAAGTAGGTTCGTTGTAGTCTACTCTTGATGGTTAAACTGTGAATCACCTTTGATTTTTCGAGCCCGCGTCCGACACCAGAGGAGAAAGTTGGACTGGGAACTTCTGTCTCAGTGACTGCAACTGCTATGGAAATCGTTTTACTACACCACAGGTTGTACTAGCCCCTGTGCTAAAAAAGAAGACCATTAATGTGCCGTCAAAGGCATCCAGTCTCCTCAAAGCTACATTAATATTCACAGTTTGCGGGTACGAGGAGAGAGAGAGAGAGAGAGAGAGAGCTCAGCGGCCGCGCTATTAAAACTGGATACAAAATGGCGGCGTCCCTGGGACGATTTGGATATGTTTATGGTTTTGTTTTTTATTTATTTTTATCGCTCGAACTGTTTATCACTTATGGATTGAGTTCAGACTCACCGTGTGCCCTGAACTGTACCTGCAGCGGAGATTCAGTGGACTGTAGTGGCGTGGAGCTGACAGCTACGCCTCTGGACCTTCCAGTCCGGACCGTCTCCTTGTAAGTAAAGTGCTCACTTTGCCCTTGCCTATTTATTGACCAGCCCAAAACAGGAGAAGAGAGTTTAAAAGTAGAGAAAAGTTCACTTAAACAGAGAAACTTTTTTCTCCTTTTTAACAGTAACCCAAACAGTGTGCAGGCGTGTAGCTCTGAGTTGTTTGTTGTTCCTCCGCCTGATGAGATTTTTGTGGTTCTGCACTTGAATTGCATAATATTGTCTATTAACTGTAGCGAGAGACAGGCGAAGCTGCTCCATTAGTTAAGTCTATTTTCCTCTTCATAATAACTCTCAGCAAGTTTCATGTGTACATGAAAACCGACCCCCTTTTACTGATGTTATGTCCTCTCTGCAAAGACGGTTCTGCCAAGTCACGAATACGGTTCCCCCTTTTCCTCTTAACAACTAAAAACAGGTTTGTGTTGAAATATTAAGTTTGACATCAGGATAAGTTCAGTAGTTTTATTACCTGTGGGTAAGTTTAATGTATTATAAGGGTTTCTTTTGAGAAGTGGCTCAGTGACAGAAATGTAACAGGTGTCATTGAAACAGATCAATCCTTTCATGCCTTTAGGTTGTATTCAATGGAAAAATGCCTGGAGGGACATTTATATATTAAAGTATAATAAAAGATGTGTGTATTTGCTCTGAGAAAGTCCCAGTAGTTGCCAGCAGATCTTTAGTGTCTCTAAATTTGATTCATTTATACAGACACGTTTAAGTAATTTTATCTCTAACCTCAAAATTACGTTAAATCTGGTAATTTTTATTATGCCAGGCTGTGTATTTTTAGTTTTAAAATAATTGCATTTCTTTTTCTTACACATAAATAGCACATTTATCTAAAAATGTTCTCACCTTTTTCAGGTTAGAGTGAACAAACTGTGTCTTCAGGGGGATAAAACAAAAAGAGCCAAACATGTCATAACAGATAATCCTCTCCTTTATTCAGTCAGATTTATGACAGGTATTACCCAAATTCCATTTTCTTGTTGCCAGCCACAGTTGACAAATTGCGTTTCTTGGAAATTAAGCAGTGATTCCCCAGGATAAGACTGACAACAATTGCAGCCCTTGTCTGCCTGCTTGTTTAGGAAATGAGTCAATTTGAGGCATTTTTATGGAACATCCCTCAGTGTTTAGGGAACTTTAGCACTTATCAGGCTAAATGACACAATTTATTTACAGACAACACAGCTCTCTGTCCTCCCAATCTACATTTTGGCTCAAACCGCAGTTTACTGCAACCACTGTGTCCAATGGCAATTGTGACAATTAGGCATCTTATTACAAAATTTTCAGCATGTGTTTGTTTGAGTGTTTCTGAGAATGTGGGGTTGAAGACCAAAAGACTCGTCAGCTCCCAGGTTCCCGTTTTAGGTGGGTTGTCTTCCCCTGAGAAGTGAGGAATGCAACTTTAAAAAGTCCTCTAAAAACATGAATAACGGCACTTGTGCCCGGGTAGCCTCATTGCCCTGAAGCACCACTTAGCCAAGTTCAAGTGCAGAGGCTGTTTATAATGCATGCTCTCTGTCACACTGTTTCTCCTGTCCTCGCAGACTAAAAGACAACCGATAACTACTGTCTGAAACAGCTGCTCTTAAACTTTTAGTTTGTGCAGAAGTTGTCTCATGGTCCTGCATGAGCTTTGACTCGCTTCAACTCTACTCCTCTTATCTCAGCCAAACCTTATCGGCAGAGATTTAAGCAGCCGCAATCTGGCTGTTTTCAAAGGGAATGGCTTTATGGCTCTGAATTATCTATTTAAACACCTTGGTTGCATAGTTCCACATGACTTGAGATAGTCACATTATGTTGGCAGCTAACTCAAAGAGAACCAGCTCTTTTCCTCTGGGATCTGTAAACGAGTCAGATTAGCTGATGATTACTGTAAACCCAATGAGACAAGTATGGACAATTTCACATGTGGCCCAGTGTGATCCCATTACAGGTACCTCAAGCCAAGTCCTGCACACTTAAGTGGACGAAATGACTTTTTGTGTTCTGGGCTGAAAGTTGTTATTTTAGTTTTTCAGTGCTGCTGGTAAAGCAAAGGTTACAGAACAGCGACATAGAAATCGTCTTATCCAGTCAGTGTAATCACAGCGAGCAGAGGAAGATGGATGGAGTTTCCTGTCAGATCTCAAGATCTCTCAGTTTTCAAAAAGCGCATCTGGTTTCTTCAAATCAGTATGATACTGATGGATTGTTCACTGTCAAAAATACTCAAGTAAAACAGCAAAGGAAGTGCAGTTGATAAATATATAAAAGAGTGAGATAAGACAAGTTCATTTATAATTTTATAATAATATATAATAATTTTTAATCCTGAGGAACAACCCTGATCTGATGAGTCCTGATAAAAGTTACAGTTTCAGCAGCTCTCTGAGACAGGCTAGAGCTTGACCATACAGTCCTCTAACACAATGATGAGAGCCTGATGTTGATCAGAAGCCATTGCAAAGACAAGGAAAGAGGAAACATAACCTTTCTGATGATTTCTTCAGCAGGTTAGCACCAGCATTTTGAACCACTGCTAAGGCATGAGGAAAGAGAGAGGTACAGTAATACAGCAGAGGACAGCTCTCCTTCCTCTGTCCTCTACATAATGAGACATAAGACTTTTAGGACCATCTGAGTAATCATAACCACCTGCAGGATATGACTGTTGAACAAGTAACCTAGAACACTCAAGGAAACCCGACATGATTCAAGCTTACAGTACATGGATCATTCAGAGGCTTTCCTGTCTGTAAAAACTGAAACAGTTCAAACACAGAGCTGAAATTAAATGTAGGGTTCCCAATGTTTTGTAGGATTGCAGTGTCATGTTTTTGTGGCACCGATACAAGCTCTTTCCAGATAACACCGCATTCATTCCTCAAAGGATAGCAGCTGTATACCCTCATACTTTCATCCCAGGTCGAACTCAAGTGTATGCTTTTTGGCAGTAATGCATTTTTTGCTTTTAACTCTGTAGAAGTTTCTTTTTCTGATGGATCTACAAGGAGAATGATCCTCTCTTTATTTGTCTCCTCTGTGAACTCTCTCAGCTGAAGATGTATGAAGTGGCATTAAGTAGGCAGCAGGACTTCTCACCTCCTACTCTCAGTCAGCACTGTTTTCACTGCACTTCCAGATGTGATGTAGGAGTCTTGTGGTAAAAGTTTATTAATATTTCATTTGACTCTAGCGGTGGTGTCGTCACAGCTGGAAAAAAAGGCAATAATTATGTCTTCGATTTGTGAAAATATTCACCTAATAATAAGAGAGAGTGTTAAAGTTGATCTGTAGAAGAAGGTCATGAAGGAGATATTTTAGCACACCTATTGTTAAAGTAGAATTCACTGTAGTGTGATAGGATCTTATTACAATATCAATGAATTCAAAATAAAGTCATCTCTGTGCCTGACCTGAAGTTACAGAGCTGCTGTAGCTTCTTTTAACCCTCTGCAGTCCTGAGTGTCTTTGTCACTCGTGTCCTTTGCTGTTTGACTTCAGTGCTTGTGACACTGAACAATCTGACCGCCAGCCTCGGAGGTTTGTCATTTTTCTGATTGATGAATAGCTGAAGAAGATTCAAAGCAAGTTTACCGCCGCACAGTCACATATTCCCTCTGAAGAGTGGTGCCTTATCGTATTTGCGGCCCTGGTAATGTGAATAAAAGGCACTTTTGCCCACAGCACCACAGGCATAATGGGATTTTGCGGGTAAATAAGAGCATGAACGTTGCAAATTTTGGCTGAGATTACTGTGCTTGGATAGAGATCAAGCAGATACAGAGTGTCTGTTTGCCAGCGCCTCTTTGTCTTTTCATGCAAGATTGTAAAATTCCTTTTACAATTGTAAAAAGTTTCACTTTCATGAAGGGATTTATTTTGTTTTTGTTCACTTCTTGTTTCGCAAGTTCAACAGATGCCTGATTCAGTCGTCTCCTTTTGTGAGCTAACATTTCTCCAGTGGTTAGCCAAGTTTCCCATAATGTTTAGTATAGAGCAAATGTTCTGCTACAGCTAAACCCCAAGTCGTAGCCTTCGACCTCACAGCACAGCCTTATTGGTAAACACCACCCCCAACAGTTGGTTTTGGCTTCTGCCCTCAGGATATGGGTTTGTGTTGGTGGTTTCCTGGCAGGAGCTCAGAGCTCAGCTGGCTGCTTGTGGACGGGTCCGCAGAGGGTGGGGCTGTGGATCACCTGGCCCCGGGGGGAATACGAGGGGACGTGGGGGGGAGAGACATTTTCCGCCTGCTGCATGGAAGTGCTTTGTCAATGTCACGGTCTGCTGCCGCTGTCGCTGCCGCTGCCTCCAGGCTGGTTCTACTAGTCGGTGAGAGTCCTGTCAGTGGTCAGAAAACCTCAACCACTGTCACACATGTTTAAACACACTGAGGAGAAGCAGAGGAAATGAAACGGCACAGCTCTATCATGTACTGTCACACACAATTCCTTTGTTTTTAAGGTTTGTGTTATTTCATTTAACATCTTAAAAGCAAGCAGAAGAACTCTTGGCCGGAGGAGACTTGTGCTTGTGTTTCCATCAGTGTTTGGTCAGTAAGTCTGAACTGCACAGAGGCTTCTCCTCTTCCTTTAACAGGTGAACATTTCAGCAGCAGCACTCAGCAGGGCTCAGCTACTTGTGGTTACTGAGGCATTTCTAGCTGCGCAGCCTTGTAATCTTGTGGTATTGGGGGTAATTACAGTATGTTTGTTTATTGTTATAGTTTCCCCTATGGTGTCACTTGAATGTCCTGTTGCAGATATTTCCGAGTGTTTGGAAAGCTTTAGGATGATATTATCACTGGCACTGATTTTTATCGGCTGTTTTTCCTCTTATCACTCAGTTTGGTGTAAAAAAGTAAAGGGACAGGGTATGTCACTTTCAATCAGCAGTGTAGTTTTTATTGGAAGTGATGCTTTTTTTTTTATCAGATTGGGAAGATTCATGCAAAACTTTGCACAAATTAAGCAGGAACAGCTAAGGTTGAGCCCCTGCTCTAATAAGAGGAGATAAAGTCTGACATTAACATGAAGATATGGGATGAGCTCATGGCCTCACTCTGGCTTTAATGACAATCAAACAGCTGCTGCTGCAAGTCATTCTGCAGGAATCCAGTCAGCAGAATAGATGGCTCTTTTGTGAAGACACTTCAGGGCGCCAAGTTTTTTCTTTCCTTTTCTTTCTTTCTTTCCTTTTTTTTTTTTTTTTTTTACCTTCTCTCTCTCTCCCCCAAAGTCGGTGTCTACAAAGTGGGCTCGATCGATGAATCATCTGTGAATTCTCCACATCTGTTAAGAGTTTGGAAATCTGGAGAAGATGTTTGAAAAAAAAAAAAAAAAAAAAAAGCGTGACTTGGAAGGAGTGGAAGAGGTGCTGTGTGCAAGTGAAGCAGCTTCTCCCAAGAAATGGAGTGATCTTTGGAGAAGTGAGTGGAGCTTTGAGTCCACAGATCAGCCAAATGTTTTCTCTCTCTCTCTCTCTCTTTATATTAGCCTCTTTTCTCTGATTGAGATTGGAGACGCTCCTCTGTCTAGACTGCTTCATTTTTTGCATATACACTGAGATTGTTAAGAAAGTACAGTCCAATATTGAGACGCTTGAGGGTAATTGTTGCAGAATAATGCTTTGAAAGTCAAATAAACAAAGTGTAGAAAAGAACTGACAAACGGTCGCTTTGTAGACTTTGAAGTCGAGAGCAGCGGGTCAAGTCTGCTCGGCCTCAGTACAGAGACATCCAGATCTAATGTTATTGTTCAGATTAATTGTACAGAGTCATTTCCTTTTACACATAATGAAGTAATCTGGCACCATTTATGATAAATTACATTGTTATCACGCGTTGAATGCAGATGTATGTCACACGCTGTGTTTGGAGAGCGCGTGTTCACACACAGTCACGACTGTTACCGCGCTTTTCATCTGGAGTGTCCAGGCTGGCGTCATCAGGCCTGGTCGTGGGTTCAAGCACCGCCCCAGGCTAGTGTGTAGAGCCTTCTCCCTATTTGTTTGGAGCGCCTCGGCTTCAGCCCCCCGAAACCAGCAGCAGCGTGAAGAATGGTCCTGCACATGGCCCCAAGATGTGGCCCTTCTTCCTGCCTCGGAAAACTTCAGAAACTGAGTCACGCTCCCTCCTAGCCTGGCTGATTTCAAAGGCTGGAGCTACTCCTTTGTTGAGTTGTGTGTGTTAGGTTGTGTGTGTGTGTTTGAGGAATCTGTAATGCAAATGGTGAAATATGCCGATCCCATCTGCGCTACATTTCTCTGATCCCGCACCTTAGAGCTCCTCTACCTCCCAGGATCTAACACTCAGTGGTGTTTCGCTCCAATTCTAGCTTATCACGCCCATCATTATTATTGCAGATCTTGTTGGTCGGCTTTTGCTTTTAACCTTGTCGGTGCTGATAAGATAGAAGCTTTGTTCTGCCCGTTTCCTTCCTCTGTTTGGCTTGTGTGTAAAATGGTGGCCCTGGAGCTGGTGTGAGCTTTGTGTACACTCTCACTGCAGTTGCCTGGCTATAAACTGGGCCTTAATGACAGGAAGACTGGTGTGTGTGTGTGTGTGTGTTTGGGTGCGTATATGTGTGTGTCCGCCTGGCCCCTCTGACACTCAGGTTATTATTTGACTGGTTTTATGATGCTCTGAAATCGACCACATTAAAGGGCCTTTGTCTCACAGCTCCACTACAGAAGGCTCATTCCTGACATCACTTCACACTCCGAGTGGGCAAAGTTCACTCTGCATTTATGTGTGATAAAAACAGGAGAGATAATGATGATAAATCTCCATATGTGTGGGTCCCTGCCCCCCCTCTGCCTCTCTCCCACACACAGACTGCGTGCTGACTTACAAGCATAGTGTCATATGCGATGACATCACTCGCGTACTCCCAGCTTTCCTCTACTCCCACAGCACCCATAACACAGCTATTTTTTAAAGCCTTTTAATGAGTTTTATATGTCGGATCAGCTTCACAGTCCAGCTATGACGCTCCAGTGCAGGCGCTTAGCCTCATTTTTCTTCCTGAGACACTTTGCTTAGTCAGACGGGCTTATTAGAAGTTTATCACATTGTCTTTTTTAAGGCTTTTACCGGCAGGCTTACATCGAAGCTAATGCCTCCGATTGCTCACGCATCCCTACAGTAGTTTGCAGATTATCAGATGATCTTACAAGCACAGATGGGAAAAAGAAAAGACAGATGCTCTCCAGAAGTTACTGAGGCCACAGTTCACATCTATCAAACAAACAGCCTGTAAACCCCATGCCAAGTTAGTATATTCATGGTAATGGAAGGAGAGGGAAAAGCAAGGGGCCGCACCTCTGAAATCTTTTAAGAGTATCTGTATTTATTAGGGGTGTCCCGATACGATATTGATATTGGATATCTGTCCGATATCGGCCGATATTGAAGGCTACAATATCGGTATCGTATCGGAAAAAAAAAAGTTGTATCGGTACACCCCTAGTATTTATCCATCAACAGCGGTATGTTTCTCGTAACTGCTTCAGAGCAACAGGCGGTTGGTTATTAGTCTCTGAGATCAACAGTTGTCTCTCTTATCGCCCTTTACTTGACATTTATTATTGCCCTGATACGATGTTTTTACTTCCATTATGATATTGTTGCTGTCAGTATTGGCGAATAACGATATCGATCCAATATTGGCACATACTTGTGCATGACAAGTTTTGCACTCAGCTGCAACATCTTTTTTGATGTCAGGTGACCGATATCGAACCGATATCCGATATCAATATCGGATTGGGACATCCCTACCATTTATGACCAAGCCTTCCCTGCTTATACTTCACTGTCTCTCATTGTGGATCATTTTTTTGGTTTGTCATATGCAGCGAGGTGTTGAGTGTAGTATATTTTGTCTTTGCAAGCGTGCTGATAGAAAACCAAAATATTTTGTTCTGTGCAGTTTAAAATAAAAGTAATAATAAGTAATAAAAGTAATGTTTGGTTGTGGTTTATTGACACTTGTTTGACTTTATATAGTTGTATAGTGCCTTCAGTATGTTTTCTGCTAAATGGCTTGTTTGTTTTAGTTCAGTTAAAATGAATTCTGTAAAACAACTCGTCAGGCAGCAGTCATAACATAGTCATCAGTTTGTTATTCTGTCTAATTTCCTTTTGAGATCATGAATAATTCAGTTTCATGTCCTCTGACTGTCACTAAAGGCTCACCCAGCAGCCGTGCAGAAGTCTGAAAAGTTTGCCTTTAGTGTGAAGATACCTCTTTGGCACAATCTGCAGTTTTCACTTTGTTGTCGTACCTGAAGAGCTTTTGAGTCGAATCCTAAAGTCAAACAGTCCTGCCCATGTATATAAATGAGATGTAACACATGACGGAAAGCTGGGTATGAAGCACGAAGGCAAACGGCTTTGTAGTTGTTTTTCTTTCATAGTTGATCACAGTGACAGCTCAGATTTGAAGTTTACTTCCTCCTCTATGCCTTGAACTTGTGTAATTTTGTTTGCCGTTGCTGGTTTCTGTGCAGGAAGTTTGACATCTTATCTGGGAGCTTCTCGTTCTCCTCTTTTTTGGCGTGATCATTTTTTAAAAAATCTCCTAAAGACTAAAACTCAAATGGCTTCTTAGCCTTTTGACCCAGCAAATTGCACGATTGTAGGATCACAGCATTAACTAAACTAAGCTCTGGAAACGCTCCCCACCCCACCTCCTTCTTCAGGACAGAGAAAGGAGGGCAGAAAAGGGAGGGAACCCAGCGTTATCTGCATCACTTTATACAGTAGGTGTTAAAACGCTGTGAAACTTATCTGATCTGATAGGCAGGAGAATAAATCTAGCTGTCTGGGAAGGAGAGAGAAAGGACTCAGTTATGTAAACATCATAGGTGAGGGAGAGGGAGGCACATGCGTGCTTGCAAACACACACACAAAAGAGACCAGTTTGTTTGTTGCCGTGGCCTTTAGCACCAGTATGGCAGGTTTGACTCTCAAATGTTACTTGCTTTGTTCTGTTTCCCTCCAGTCTTTATTCAGCTTTGACTTTCATGCCTTTGACCAAGTGAAATGCAAATTTCTCTCTGGAGGCTCAGTCGTTGAACTGGTCTGTATCTGCTTGTAAGTTCAGCCTAGCGTTGAACGTCTTAACCCATTTCATGCCAAAATGGAGGCTGACGATAACAAAACGCAACCTCTGAGCCATGCTGGTGTGTGTCAGGTGTGTGTGTGTTACACCCACGCCGGTTGACTATACGTACCTCCGGGCAGAGTCCGCCCATAAGAAAGCAGTGTGATTTTTCACTTAGCTGCTCCATAACGAGGTAATTGCCTCCTGTTGCAGGGGACGACAATTTAAGTGATGGAGGCCACAATGGGAGGTACCCTAGTAAAAGGATTATAACATAGACACACATGCACACCTCCCTGTCAGACCTGTGCCTGGAGGGCAGAAACATGCTCTGCTATTATCTTGTCACAGATATACACACACACGGGGTAGAAAGCTTCGGGGAGGGAGACTGTCATTATCTGCAATCAAGCACACAAGACAAGAAAGGGAAATCTGTCAAGTGAAGCGCTGATTGAGATTGATAGGGATAAACGGGATTAAAAAGTTGAGTGTCGATAAAATAACAGGCTTTTCGCCAGTTTTTATGAGCCAAGTCTTCTTCCCTCTCCCTCTAAATAATCCATTCTTTTGCATCAGAGTTTGCCTCATCTCCTCCGCCTCGGCGGTCTTTTAAGGCCACGACGGTACAAGAGGATGAGGAATGTGTTGCATCAGGTAAAAAGTGTCCCCAGTCTCTGGGAACAAGCAGCCATCTCTCAGCGGGCCTGTGAAACATTCCTGGGCTGTCTCTCACGTCTGGACAGAGGGATGGAGGGGCGGGAGGCAGGCGGCTCAGGGCTGTGGGCTCCCTTTGTCTCGCCCAGCCCTAACCCTGCCACACAAACACAAACAGCACTCTCACTGCGGCCGTCCCTCTGCCAGAAAGCCGGCTGTGTGCCAGCCAGGCAGGAGGTATACGTGCATATGTGTGTGTGTGTGTGTGTGTGTGTGTGACAGAGATGACACTTGCTTATGAGTGAAATACTTTGATTTGGCGTGGAATCAGAAATTCAGATGTGTGTGTATGATGAACACACACACACGCACGCCTCCTCCTGAGTCTATATGACGGGACAAATCACTCTAATAAGCCTTTGCACAAGTCAAGTGCCAGCTATTAAATACACTGTTGGCCTAAAGTGCAAATTGACTGCTGCAGATGAATAGCCTGTGGGTTATGTTTGGAAAGTGAGCCAGGCGAGAGAAGCACTCAGTATCGATAGTATTGATCGAGGCTTCCTTGAAGGCCGGCTGAATGGATGTACTGCAGTGTTTTCAGGCATACTTAATGTTGACGCGGAGGCTGTTTGTCAAACGGGGGAGATAATTGTTGATATTGATCAGGAGATTTATTCCAACAACTCTGAAGTGGTAATGACAAATGTAATAATAAGAGTTGTGAAAAAAATCGACATGTGGATGATGTTTTTTCGATTGTTGTTTTTTTTGCTGCTTTGTGGAAAAGTTGTTGAACTCCTTTTTTCTAACTTTTCTTCTTTTTCCTCTTTTTTTTTCAGAAATCTTGGACACAACAAGCTGACCTCCATCGACGTTGAAGCTTTGGAAAACCTTCCCAACTTGAGAGAGCTGTAAGTAATTACTACTAAAACCTTTCAACACTTCAAACGAGCCTCCCTGTCTGTTTCTGATCAGCGAGCATCAGTTTAATCAGTTTTTATCAATGACTCAGTTCTGACCAGCTCCCACTTCCTCGTAGCAGCATCCTCGTATGTGTCGCCTTGAACTAAGTCCAATTGAAAATAAAGTGGTGGTTTTCTATATAAAGCCGGCCCTCCACCACCCGATACTGTGACCAACGCTGGCCTTGTAAATATTTTATACGGTGAGGAGAGGGCTTGGCTCTGTGTCACTCAGCACAAGTGCACAAAACACGCACATACACAAAGCTAACTGGTGATACACACACTGGTGACATCTTTGGCAGGCTGGTCAGCCAGTCATACGCTCTCTGACATCTGTTTTACTCCCGTGTTATTTTTGGTTATTAAAAAGTATGACTTGTGACTTGCGTTGCAGCTGAAGTGACAAGTCGGGTTTGAAATCTTATGATTTATTCGTGTCGGGGCTCATCTTCTTCTCGCTCAGTGCGGTTTATCACACGAAACAGACCTGAGAACACAAAGTGAAGCACAACCTTACGTACTGTGAGTGTAGCTTGACAAAAGCTCCATTTCTGTTCAGATTGAGAATAAAAAGAAGTTGAATCTTTTCTTTGTTTCTACATGTGTGTCTAATAAAATCCAGTCTGTGCTAATTCTTTCAGTTTTGATGGTTACAATAAATAAAAAAAAAACCTTGGCGTCAGAACAACATTTTAGCTCACTTCTGTAGAGTTTCCCTCTCTTATTTATTTCTGTCACTTCTAACTTCTTTCTTCTCTCCATTTTCAGACGGCTGGACCACAATGAGCTGACCTCCATACCACACTTCGGTCAAGCTGCTTCAAAGATCGTGTCCCTCTACCTGTGAGTAATACCCGTTTTGCTGCTCAACGTGGTCCCAGAATTATCAGGCTCTCCCTCGCTGTATTCTTAGGCCAGTGGCCTCTTTGAAATGCTCTTGAAATAGTCTGTTGACATCTGTGAAGGATACATACACCTTTGCATCTGAAAAGTAATACTGCATCAATGTGGAGCGAGTAATGACTGAACCTCTTTTTATAAAACCACATTTTTGAACTGAGCTCTGAGCGGATATTAAGCGATCATAAAACTAACTGGTATTATGAGCTTGCCGAGCATTAGCGTCTACAGTGGGCTGTACTGGCTGCTGGGGTTGTAAGCTCCTATGCAATTCCAACATGGTTGCTCCCAGTTGTGCAACTGCGCCTGTGGGGACTGCCTGCACTGGCATATCACTGGAGATTTACTGCCCTATTTGGGAAGGGCCTGTTTGTGCTTGTGTATGTCAAAAGTCTGAGCGCTATCAACAGTTTGGATTTTACTCTTTGGAGAGAAACCCACAGTGATAAGGATGTCATTTTTTAGACAATTTGGAGTACAAAAAACTTCTTAGAAAGGCACAACACTTGAACATATATGTTATGTCGTGTGGAGAAAATGGAGTTATAACTATTGAGGCAAAGCTAAAAGTAAAGGACTCTTACAGGGGACTCGATTCATTCAGCACCCCTTATTTATCCCCGCTTTCAAACCCCCGGCCTCAAATCAATATCAGGATATATTGAGCAGTTCACCTCAATAACGATAAATTTAACGATAACTACTCCACAAGCTACTTCAGCCGCTCCAACTTTTGAGCCGTCCTCCATCTCCTCACCTGTCTGTCCCTCTTTGTTATGGACTGGATGGGGTGGAGTTACGTTTCTGACGTAGGACACATCCAAAAACAACTTTTATTGATTTTTTTTTTTGACACAGATATATTGAGCAAAATGACGTCGGTTATTGTCGTAAATTTCGTTATCAGTAAATTTTCAGTTTATCGCCCAGCCCTACTGCCTGTTCATTTTGTCAACAGAAAAATATGGTGATACATGTTTGTGCACAAGATTTTTTGCTACAAAAAAAAAGCTGAGATGATGATAAGCTAAAACTAAACATAGTAGAAGTATTCAGAGAGTGAACTGTTGCAGATTTAAACATTTTGTAATCAGCTAATTGACTCAGTTTACTCAGGAGAAAACATTCTGACTAAGTTCGGATGACCTTTTTAACTGCATTTAGAGGTTTTAAGTGTTTTCACCTTTAAAATGTTTGTCTAAAGAACGAGATTTCGAAATCTGCCAATGAAAACTCTGCAGTCCAGGCGGTTTTCTCAGTCGCGAAGCTTCGGAATGTTTTAAAGAACGCCAAACTAAAAACCGAGTTCAATGAAAGGCTGTTGAAGGTGGCGCTAAAATAAACCTCAAATGAAACCGAACTGGCGTGAGGGCTCGTTAAATTTCTTTGAACAAGATAAATAGCAGCGCTCCTTGGTATGTTTCCAGCGTGACTGTAAACACACACACACACAAACACACTCAGGGGATAGTACAATCATGACAGCGTTCCACCCGTATCATCTGTTGGGCGGACTGTTGTTTTTCCAGCGTGCCATAGCTTTTTCCCCTCGTGTGACCAGGGAACATTCTTACATCTCACTCAACCTGAAACAAGAAAGCTAAACCCCTCTAAGCTAGTCGACTGCTAACCATTAGCCGCACTCTGAGTATCTCCTTTCGCACCTTACTAGTACGTCAGCTGACTGACAGGAAGTAGAGGGCGCAGCTGCTTGCTTCTGTAATACTTGCTCATCGTCATTTTATCTTCAGTGATGAGCTTCGTGGGAGTCACCTCCGCCTTTTCCTGTGTGTCATCTGGTTGCTTCTCAGAATTTGGCATGATGCATGAATGCGGTCAGGACATTTCTCGACCGTGTGTAGAGGTTCAGCTGCTCGTTGAAGTTCGTCACTCTTTTAAAAGTTTTATATTTTTGAGTTATTGGGTTTAGCGCAAACTTCTGCCCTCTTTGCGTCAGATCCAAAACAGATCGGAGTAAGTTCACCTTTGCTTTGCACAAACTATGCCGAGTCGTAGCCCCTCCAAATGATCGTGGTATCTTTTTTTGGCCTGACTCGAAGCCTGTTGCTAGGGGAAGGCCCGCAGGCCTGACGGGAGTGGAGGCTGGAGGGAGGGTCGGATCTTTTCAAAGCCACGCAGCTGAAGCGAAGGCCTGCGGAAGCACTTGCAGCTGCAGCTGTCAGTCACATGGCTTACAGTAAAATGGGTGACAGTGAGAAGGGGAGGAAGGATGAGAAAATAGGGAGGGCAGTATCAGATCAGGGTGACATCACCGCATGTTGAAAGAGGAATGGTTGATGAGAAATAGTGGAGGAGGCAAAGGAGGAGGGGAAAAAAAAAAGGAAGCGAGCGAGGTGAGGTCATGATCAGGGTTATTCCCAAAAGTAAATCTAGTGCATTCAGTCTCCGTGCCAACCAGCGAGCCCCCAGGAGCATGAGAGTCTCTGTGCATGAGCCCAGAGCGTAGACAGTAGAGCATTGCTCCTGTGCCTTTTGGTGGAGAAAGTCTGGAATGCCGTCTAACGACAAGTTTGTGTGAGACAGTGGTTTACACAAACAAACACACACAGACAGACGCACACATGAACGAACCCAAAAAGAGCGAGGACCTGTCCTCAGCCTCCCATCCCACTGAAGAGAACATCATGTGTGGTTGCTAACGTCTGACTGTCTGAGTCATGGAGTGTCTGATAGATGTTCACATGCTGGAAAGATCTCATGATTGGCTAGTTTCCCTGATGCTCTAAATGTTCTATGAACATTACATCCCTCTCCAGTGTCTGACACACTAGATACACTAGTGAGAGGATGAATGTTGAAGAGCGCACTCTTCTTTAGCAGGAGTTAATAGGCCTGTTTGCAAAAACTGACCTGAGTGGAGGAGAGCATGTGAAAGGTTGCACACTGTAAATATTGTAACAGGAACAAAAACAGGTTTGTTGTAGTGACATTTGAAATGTGAAGTTGGTAAAATCTTATGTAATGTACTGTATGTGTATTATATGTATCTTGCACATGTCTTAGTCAATTCTACAACTTTTGTATGCGAATGTGTGTAAAGATATCCATCCGACTGTGAAATCTTCTCAACACAGGCTAGTCTGAGTTATCAGATTAAGACGCTTTACAAACTCACACATTTGTGTCAGTACTCTACCTAGACTTTTTCATTCGTCTGTTTCCTCCCTCCCTCCTTTTGGCATATCTGACCATTCTTGAGTAAAGCTCTGGACACTGAGATAAGTCTTCTTCATAGTGTTTTTGTTTGTTAGTTTGTTTTGCGCATTTAGAGTTTGGGATTATAACCTGATGAGTTGCCAAAGAAACCCACCACCCTCTAACTGTGAACTCAGAGTAAGGCTGGGCGATAAAATGATAAAGATACATATCAAAAATTCATTTCCCTTGATATCGATATAAAACATGGTCACTATGCTTTTCGATAGCAGGCATTCTGCCATGTTTTGGTAGACTATACTCCGGGTCCGCGCCGCGCTGCACTAACTATTTAGTCCGCTTTCTCTAGCGCAACACCTTACGATAAGACATTGAAGAGACACTAAGACCTCACAGACACAGTAGCTTATTGTGTTGCAAAAGACATGCTATCAATAAGCACTGTTAAGTTTCATTTTTTATATTGTAACATATATATGATAAACTTTTTCCCATATCGCCCAGCTCTAACTCAGAGTCATTCATACTCTGACAAGTTGACCAAAGACCAACCACAGTCCCACGATGCATGAGACAAACCCAGTGGCATCCTGCCGCCGTTGTTGGCAGAACAGCACAAACTTTCCCATTGTGACATCAAAGAGGACCTTTAAAACAGCTTAGGCATAAATATCATATAGCCTGCTGCTGCCGGAGGATCTGATTTTAAAATAATTCCTCTTTTGTCCTGCCGGGTAGCTTCAAACAGGAAGTGTGAGAGCACAATCGCCCCCCAAAAATGATGACAATGGTAACAGGAGGCCGGCCAGACTGGTGCAAAACTGCTGATGCACTTTCCATACATCAAAAGAAGTGTCAAAACCAGCCAGGCTCACCATAATCAGATGGTCAATGGGGCAGAGTAATGAGATTTGGAATTAAGTGGAATCAAGGCGAATAAGGCCGCCGGACATCAAAGGGAACAAGAGCGAACTGGGCTCGTCTTTATCAGAAACCTCTCTGGCCGTGTGATAATCAGTTTTTATAAACGCTACTATTGTATGTGTGGACTTCAAACACCCCGAGCTGGGGCTTTATCTGACTCTCACACACAGCTGGGCTCTCACTGTGGGACAAGAGGAGAGAGAGGGAGAGAGAGAAAGAGAGAGAGAAAGAGAGAGGGGGAATTTGGTCTGAGTGGAAGGAGAACAGGGCGAGAGAAAAAGAGTGAGAGAGGTCAACCTCTCTCTCCACATTTGAGACTGATCTGTTTTTCCCAGCTAAGGTCACCAGCTGTTGACCCCACCTCACCCCTTCACCCCCCCCCCCCCTCCTTTTCTCCTCCCCCATTCCTCCCCCTCCTTTTGCTTAGCCACTGTCTGCTCGGTCCCATGTGTGCGTGTCTTGTTTGTGTTGTGTGTGTGTGTGTGTGTGTGTGTGTGTGTGTGTGTGTGTGTGTGTTCTTCTGTGTGTTTGCCCAGGCGTGCTTGCATGGTTCATCCTTAACCATTTTTGCCACTGTTTATTCAGGTGGGCCACTGTGGTGTGACCCCTCCTACTCTCAGACACCAATAAATGTGTGTGTGCGTGCGCATGGGTGTGTGTGTGTGTGTGTGTGTCCATCTGCTGGCTGAAGGCTGGAGAGGAAGGAGGGACTGACCTTGTTTTGACGAGTATGACTGGTAGAACACCTGCTCTCTCACTGTCTTCTGCACTTTACGTCAAACACACTCACACACAGTCATGCTTAAACACACACACACACACACACACACAACTTTTTTTCTCTTGAAGTTAAACTTATTGGTCAAATAAATTTGTTTTAAGATGAAAAAGTTCAGCCAAATTCTTTCTGCTCATAAAGAGCCAGAAGATATTTTTCCTCTGGAGATATAAACTCTTAAAGGAGAGGACAACAACCAGAGCTGAATCTTCTGTACGTGTGACTTAGCTTCTTTTTTTCGAGAGTGATGATTTATGATTTATAGATCTACAGTTGCCATGTTTTATCCCTGCATTGCTCCCTCCTCCTCCTCTTTTCTTCATAGGTATTTTTAGAGAAGTCGGGTAAATGAAAGAGACAGTAAATGAAACTCCCATCCCTAGTTAGCACTGAGGCATGTGTCAAATGTGTCACCTAGCAAAGCCTTTCATGTATTCTCAGATAACACTGGCCACTCTCTCCTTATGCCCCTCACATGCAAGGATACACTGACATGCCTATGCAGGTAGATGTATGGCCAGATAGATGCCACCAGTTCTTGTTTTGCACTATCTTTATTAGGGCTGGGACGATGTGCCTCTCTCCCGATTTGATTCTTCTACGATTTTTTGGATGCTGATTCGATTTAAATTGCGATTCTACGATATTGTCAATTTTAAGTCTGCATTTTTAACACAAGTGAAACAGTTGAATGATTATGATTGTCTACTGACTATTCCAGGAACTAAATTTCTCCAAAAAATACACATCACATGTGAGTCAGTTTTCAAGATTTAGTCTTAAGTTAAAAAAAAACAAAAAACATTGATTTAAAAATTGTAAAACAAAAAATTGCGATACTTATGTGAATCGATTTTTTTAAAAGTCGATGCGTGTGTGTGTGTGTGTTTGGGGTAAAGAAGGGTTGAGCTGATCTGATTTGCTCGTCCTGTGGCCGTCTTATGTGTTCGAACAACATGTGGTTTGGTGCTAGTGTGACTTTGTGTCACTTCAGCTGCCAAGCACCATTTCGACAGTCCCCCTCCTCCCCCAAGTTGCTGAGTCTTTTGTTTCTTCTCTCTGTGGAATTTGGTCCCGTTACCCCCCAAAAACAACTGAGCACAGATGTAACAAAAAAAAAAAAAAAAAAAAATCCAGTCTGGAAGGGCTTCTGGCTCTTCCAGGGTTACAACATCTGAGCAAACAAAAGTGAAAAGTAGGAATGTAAAACTCTGAGCTCGAAAGGAGAAGCTCAAATGAAGTGGGACTTGTTTGTTTTATCGTTCCAAGTTGTCTTCTCTTACCATGTCAGTGGAAATGAGGACTGCGATAGCTCGCAAACATCCGGAGATCGGCACGCTGAAACCCTCCTCAGATGGCTCCAGCTAGTTCATCTATCTTAAAGATTTAACATTCTGGCTCTGTGGAGAAGCAAAGGTGTCCTTGGAACTATTTAAAGAGTGTCCACCTCTGTTTGGACGCCCCCTTTTTCGTGTGCTTTTCTCTCTTGGTACCTGAGAGTGGGTTTTCCTGAGTGTCTCCTTCAGCTAATGGGAAGAGGATGTTGATGTTAGACAGGGGACAGTGAGATGGACACTTAGAGTAAGATTGTTAACCACACCTAATGCCCTTTTATGTGTTTTTGTACTTTCCAGACACCATAATAAGATCCGCAGTATAGACGGCAGACGGACCAGAGAGCTGGTTTCTGTGGAAACCCTGGACCTAAGTAATAATGACATCACCGAGCTCCGAGGGCATTGCTTTCCAACAGCACTCCAGATCAGAGACCTGTGAGTACATTAACACATCAGTCTCTCAAACCGAAGGTGTTAAAAATGAAACTTTACGCACACAAACTGAAAAAAAAAAAATGAAATAAAACGATCGAATGAGTAAGTACTTCAGTGAAAAACGTGCTGTGTATGAACACGTGTAACAAACTTCTGCGTTCAGGTACCTGAGCAACAACAAGATCAGCGTGTTGGAGCCCGGAGCTCTGGACCATCTGGGCTCAACTCTCCAGGTCCTCAGACTGAGCCGAAACCGCATTAGCCAGATCCCTGTGAGAGCCTTCCAGCTCCCGAGACTGACCCAGCTGTGAGTACCACTGGATTTCATCATTTAGACAACACAGTTAATGTGATGACAGGAGTGTATTTTGACCTGTCAGCGAAGCAAAAACAGTTTATTTTTTTTACTTTCGGAGTTAAGCGGAAAATTAGGTTATAGCTTTGAAGACGACTCAGAATGGTAAAAAAAAAAAAAGTAATGAGGAGGAGTTTGTTGTGTCTGTTGATCTGGATCTGTGAGTTAAACACAGAGGGCACCATTAGTCTGAGCTGTACCTCAGGTTGATAAGGTCTGACTCAGTAAACACTAAAGACGCATTATCTGTGATTTATTACCTCCTTCCATATTCCCAGAGTGGTTAGTTCATGCCTCACTCCATCCTCCCATTATCTTCTTCAAACCTCCCTCCAGCGTGGAGTGGAGGTGGACCTATTTTGGAGCTCAACGCCCCCCATTCAGGAGGGCAAATGAGGGAAAATGATTCTCACTCACTTCGCCTCAGCCAGGGTAGATTCCCCAGGTGGCTTTTGTTTGAGAGGTAACCCTGGCGACACTGAAGCTACAATGAACATCAGACACAAAAGGACCTGTGTGGATGCAGATCTTTGCCAACCTGAGGGGTTTTTACAGTTTACAAACAGACTGATTCAGAAACATCTGGGGCCTCTTTAAGAAACCGGAGGATTTATGTTGTTCAAATTCTTCTTCTTCTTCTTAATGTGGTTTTTATTTGGTAAAAGGAACACAGCTTATGGATGTGTGAGGAGCCAGGGGATTCACTGAACAGAAAAAAGCCAACCTGTAACGAAAAAAAAAAAAAAAAAATTCAGAAAGACAAAAAAAAATCTATTTTACAAAACTTCAAGAACAATCTGTGTCTTTTACTGATTTTTCTGTCATGATCTGATGTCACATTTATATCTCTTTATCCATCCATCTTGCAGTGAGCTGAACAGGAACCGCATCCGTCAGGTGGAGGGTCTCACCTTTCAGGGTCTGTCCAGCCTGGAGGTCCTCAAGCTGCAAAGAAACAGCATCAGCAAACTGACAGATGGAGCCTTTTGGGACCTGGCCAAAATGAAAGTCCTGTACGTACAAAAGCTCAAAAAAGATCAATAAGTTTGCACAATAAATCACAACTTACAAGCTGCAAATAAAGGCCGTCAAGTGCTCTTCTAAGCAAAAACACCCCTCAGCAGAATCGTACAAGATCTATTAGTCAAACAGCTCAGAGAAAGCACAACCCAGAGGAGTTATTCCTGACTGCTGCAGTTACCTGCTATTACAGGGATACTTAACCAACCCCAAAAGAGATTTTTCAGATAAACTGGAATCTGCTCACAGTCTCTGCAGTCCAGCTTTTTTCCTGCTGACCTGAACAAAAACTTAATTTACTTGCAGAATAACACATAAATCAGCGAAATTGCGCCGTTTCGAAATGTTGCTGCAAATCAAGAGTGTGAAAGCTTTCATCTACTTACATAAAATCCTGAGCTAAAACTCTCATTTCAAAACCATCATCGTACTCACTGCTACCTGTTGCTTATTCTGTCTCTTACAGTCACCTGGACTACAACAGCCTGAGCGAAGTGAACAGCGGCTCCTTGTACGGCCTGACTTCCCTCCAGCAGTTATTTCTCAGTAACAACTCCATCGCCCGCATCAACGCTGACGGATGGAAGTTCTGCCAGAAGCTGAGGGAGCTGTGAGTGCCAGCCTTTCAAAACTCTTAACGTGAAACGAGCTCCCACAAAAACCTCTGAAGCAGACAGTGTTTGAATATCCAGAACTAGGGATGAGGCCTGCAGGTGTAGAAAAGTGGAAGTGAAAAAATAAAGGAGGAATTATTAAGACTTCACAAGGACCTCAGAGGTCTGTTTGTCCTCAACGTCTTTTCTTTCCTGCGCGTCTCAGAGGATTTAACCCAAGAGGAGTCCCCACCCCCATCCATATTATCGCTCTACCTTCCCTTGGGTTAAATGACATTGTGCTTTAACACTCAATATGCTACGCTATTCTCAGTGTAAGCCTGTTATCCCATAATTAGAGCTGGGCTCAACAGCACTCAAGCTTTTCGACAAGAGTTTTTGTACTCCGTTGTGAGGCGTGGGGGTTTAGCAAAGCAGCGTGTAATCCTCTCCATGTTGTGTTGTGGTAATTACTCTAAAGGATCACCTTCACCGCCTTTGTCTACTGAACGAGGAGTTTTTATCTGATAGTCTGTCCTCTCCTGTAGACACGACTGCTGTAAAGTGCACCGCTCAGCTGAGGCGTTGCTAAATGCGGGGCTAACCCGGGTAGTCTGCGGCGCCAATGTTTGTTTCTGTTAACAGCCAGAGGGGATAAAAAGGTGGTTGGCGTTCGTGTCAGTTTGCTCTGTGTATCTCAATGTTTCCAGTGAACGACAGATTAGCCTCGAAACATCCTCCCGGCGCTGCGGCAGTCGGCGGTTATATGAGTCTTTATTATCTGGAGTTATGATGACTCTATGGCTGATAGAAGAGGGCGACTCGTCTTTATGAGGAGGCTGTTATTGCGTTCTCACTGGAGCAGGCCGAGCTGGTCATCAGGGAGAATCTCGACACACATGACCAGCCATGCGAACCTGAGGCTTGGCCACAGAGACAGACAGTGAGGGCCACCAAGAGGGCAATAAACCGCACAATACCGCCTTTGAGGACTACCGTTCAATGAGTTCTGTTAACTTAGAATCTGAAATATCAAATTTATCCAATAAAAACTTTCTAAGCAGGACTTTTAAGACCCACTCCGATGAAAATCATGTTTTTCTGGTTGTTTAAATGTTCATATGGCATTTTTCTGTTGCTACAGGACATATCATGAGAAAAGTAAGTGTGAAATTGCATTTCTGGGTATTTCTGCATTCAAGTCGGTGTGAATCTCGCACAGACACAAACGGAAGGTTCGGATTCAGTGAGATTTCCTACGTTGCAAATCCAAGCTCCGCCCCCTACCAGACTGAGAAATAGAGAGAATAATCGCAGAGCAAGCGTGTGTTTTGGCGGATTGCAATGCTCGTAAGAAAACTAATTATGATATTAGCTTTCATCGTGTCCCTAAAGACATTAGTGTCCGAGAGTTGAATAGCTCCTACGTTACCTGCCACTTCTACTACACAGCGATGTCTCCGCCCACGACTCAGAGGCAAATTGCTAAAGAGCTACGGGAACTCTGCTGAAGAAAAACCCTGTGACTTTGGCTGAAAACTTCATAATCACAGTTTAAAGACCACTGAGAACACTTTAAGTAGTAAAAAAAAACAATCAGAGTGGGACTTTAAAGTAGGTTTGAGTGTTCTTCCATTTTTTTCCAAAGAAAAGAAGTCAAATCGTTTTTGAAATCTATGATCCGGGGATTCCCTTCATAAGAAAAAGAGGCAGTTTAAGCCTAAATATGAGAATAAGTAACTCTACAACTGTGGCAGACATGAGTGACAGTGAACCTCTCTTGGGGTTTACCACATGCTCATGTAGACGTATAAAAGGAGGTTGCAGACATGTAAAGTTCAGACCCAGAATCTCTTTTCCTCCCAGTCACATGGCGAGGACCTCGGCCGAGCTCTTAGGTCTGCTAAGCACATTCTCCGTTAACATCTTGTGGTGAATTAAACGGCACAATGGAAAAACACATCACAGAGTGGCAAAAAGACACTGGCCCAGCCGTGAAATTGAAGTCTAATGATGTCGCGAGGCTGCCTCAGCGCGTTCTGCCAACCTGTCATCTCCTTCCAGACCTCACACAGAACATTTCTCCTTCTTTCCTTCTCTCTCTCTCTCTTTCTCTTCATCCCTGTCTGCCTCTGCCCTCCTCTCTGTCTGTCTGCCTCCTGCTCTCTTTCTCTCTCCAGGAATCTGTCGTACAACAACTTGACTCGTCTGGATGAAGGCAGTCTGGCTGTACTGGGGGATCTCCACACTCTCCGTCTGGGGCATAACTCCATCAGCCACATCACCGAGGGAGCCTTCAGAGGCCTCAGGGCCGTACGCATCTTGTAAGTACAACCCCTTTCCCTCGAAACAGCAGCGACCAAGCCTCAAATGACCTCCAGTGGCACACTCATTATGGTTTAACCCCCCGCTGATGGCTAAAATGTGCCACCTGGGAGCAGTGAAAGCTGAGATGTTAAATTAGGGCTGCGCGATAATCCCAAAATTTACAGACGCCGAAATTTATGACAATAATGGATGCCATATCGGTTGTCAAAAAAAGAAATAAATGAAAGTTGATTTTGGATGTGTGTAGGTAGGCTATGGTCTCACGTCCCTTTAAGAAGCTGTCCTACAAGTCGGTAACAAAGAGGGAAAGACAGGTGAGGAGATGGAGGATTCAAAGTTGTAGCGGCTGAAGTAGACGAAGTTAATGTGGGAGGGGGTGAGCAGCTTGTGGAGTAGTTATCGTCTATTTATCGTTATCGAGGTGAACTGCTCAATATATCCTGATATTGATTTGAGGCCATATCGCCCAGCCCTAAATTAAATATTAGTTTGCTTCAGTGATATTTGATATTCAAGCTTTCGTAGTTCCTTCACTTGACTTAAGAATGCTTACTTTTGAGGACAGGTTTTATCTCATTTGCTGCCATGTCTATTCATTAGTTTTTTTTCACTTTATGAGGTCTCTTTGCAGCACGTCCGTCATGGTTTCTGAGGCAACTTTTCTCACCCCACTTCTTTGTCAGCCAGTGTTTTGGGGGTTTTTTGGTTTTGTCTTGAAAACTGGCTCTAAACAAACTTGGGTCTGAGAGGTTTTTTTTTCTTTTTTCTGTGTCACTTCACTCCCTAGAAATCCTTTCCAGCTTTTGGAATAAAGACAGAGGTTCTTTCTCTCCCTGTTCCACCTTTCAGAGAAAGCCCTAAACAGGCCTTAAGAAAGAGGGAAAAAAAGACGAGAATGAAAAGGAGAAAGTCAGGGGATAAATCCAGGAGAAAGACTTGGGGGTCTTGGTTCCTCACCAAGGTCGTCTTGGCTTTGTTTCCTCTTGGTGCAAGAGCCAGAGAGGAGAGTTGTGCCAGAGCTTGCGAGACAAGACTCTCACAGCTGGCTGACAAGCAAAGGAACATATGGGCTTTCTCTGCTGGCTAACTGGGTGCTGGATAACTAGCTACAGAGGAGTACAGAGGACGGGATAGAAAGCTTGTGGGCGCTTCCCTTCATCTCCTCAATGTGTTCTCTCATCTCCTCGTGTTGTTGCTCTTCACACACACACACAGGGTATCTCTCGTCTTTTTACTCCTCTTGTATCACTCCTGTGCGCCGTGTCTTTGAGGCAGGCCTAATCTAATCAGTGGAGGGGAGGACAGGCATAGGCTGGGCCCTGAAAAGGAGCCGGGGGAGCTTTAATTGGGCCTGCACTGCTGGTCGTGCTGGCATGGGGCTGGAGCCTGCATCGGGGTGTGAAAGCTCCAAACAAGCCAGCCTTTCCTCTAATTCGGCCACGGGGGTCGTTGGCTCATCAGCCCCCCCTGCCCCCACCCGCCCTCTCTGTGCCCGGTCTCCCCGCTCCACGGCCCCCGACACTGGCCTTGCTTTAACAAGGCAACGGCCATTCACATGCAGCCAGCCAGAAAGAGTAGGAAATTGGCAGCCCCTGTCCAGTCTAACTAAGACAGCGGCCAGTGGAGGCTGAAAAGAAGCAGAGGGGGAGAAGAGATGCTTGGTAAGCAGAGGGGAGAGGAGGAGGAGGAGGAGGAGGGGGCTATTGTGGCCATGTTGGAGGGTGTGTCTGGCCATCAACCTCAAAGGTCTTTCTCAAGTTTGAAAGAAAGTCTTTTAAAGGTTCAGCAGAGTTCCTCCTCTGGCTCAGTTGTTCTCCTTTTGATGACCACACTGAGGGGCGGAGTCACGGCTTCACCTTCAGAGGTAATTCTTTAGACTTTGGAAAAGGGGAAAAGCAGTGCATTCAACAAGTGTTTGGAAAGCCCCCAACCCTCTAAAAAAAAGCCTCTTTTTCTTTTCTCTTTTCGTTCTTTTCACTGAATCTATTTTGTCTTTGCCTAGCCATTCCCCCCCCCAAAAAACCTCATTAAGACCCCTGGCTTTGGTTTTTGCTGTGCCGTACCTGTCACAATAAGACCAATCATGATGTTCCTGCCAGTCTCTCCGCGCTGTCATGAATTAAACATGTGTTTCGCTGCGCTCCCTCTGTTTGCCTCAACACACCAGTGCACATGCACTCATATTCACATGCACACTCCTCCACCAGGGAAGAATGCGCTTGGTTGGCAGAGCAGAGCGACAGAGGGGCTCTTAAGGCCAGGTGCAGAGGAGGGGTATGATGGGGGGGGCAAAAGGGGGTAACCAGTGACTTCCAGACCATCCTCTGCCAGGGCTGTAAAACGCTTCAGCACTGGCAGACCCTCTCCCTCTTCTCCCTCCTGCCTCCATCTTTCTTATCCCCCTCTTTTCTCTCGTTCTCCACAGGGAGCTGGACCATAACGACATCTCAGGCACAATAGAGGACACCAACGGGGCCTTCACTGGATTGGATAGCCTCAACAAGCTGTGAGTCCCCCCCCACCCCCAACACACACACACACACACACACACACACACACACACACACACACTCTCTCTCTTTTTTCAAATTCCCTACTCCTTTATCAACTCCTCCCTTTCGTCCCTCCGCATGCTTTTCATAAACAGACACAAAAACATAAAAGAGATTTCTCCTTCCATCGCGTCCAAAAGTCTCCCCCTCAAATCCCAACCCACCCTTCATTGCCAACTTAGTTTGACTGCTTCAAGTTAAGGCAAGAGAGTTAGGGACATCTGTCCCCTCGGGATCCCACACTTCACTCTGTAAGGAAGTGTTCGCGATGACTTATTTGGTCCGTCTTCTTTTCCTACAAGGCTTGATCACGAAACATGGAAGATATTTTTTCACTTCTTGGAATCGGCGGCAACTTTCCCTCCACTTCAATCTGGCTTTCATCTCATGATTTCATTGTTTCCCAATAGTTTTATGGCCAAAGTGAGCTCTAGTTACTGCTAATGGTTCAAGAAGGAGATAGAGTGAATCATTTTTTATCTTATTTTTCCCGATTACTCATCCACGTTTTCAGCATCCAGCTAGTTAAAAAGTTCAATGTCAAGAGTTGGCGAGTTGAGGAATTACAGCGGATGGGCAGTCTCTGGCACTCAGCAGCAATCATCAACCTGCAGGATGAAAAGACGATGTCCAGCCAAGATGGTTCCCAGTGTGGGCACTTCTCAAAGAGAAAGGCCGGAGAGAAACAGAGAGAGAAAAGGCCTTTCTTTGAGCTGGCAGGGGTTCGCTCCCCAGTAGGCTAATTTCTATTTCTCCTCCATGCCTCCGCTCCTCTCATCCCCTCTTTTCCAGTCCCAGTTGTTTGGAGCTGAGAGAGGGTGAAATTGAAGGCTGCATTCAGTCATCAACATCAAACGCCTTACACTCCCCGCCCTCTGACCCTGCCCCCTTTTGTCACGGCATTGGCGGAAGCAGCCCGCTGCATCCCAGTCCTGGCAAAGTTAGCCATGGGAAAAAAAAAGAGATGCAGCGAAGAAAAAAGAAGGGCTGGAACATCAAAGTGTCCATCAGATGCACTGTGTTTCCTCAGAGCAGCTTGAGAGTGCTGCCACATGGGAGTTGAGAAGAACACGACGAGTAAATCTTGAATTTATCCTCAAAAGAAGCCCTCTGATCGTGGGTTTGATGAGACAGCCGTTTGTTTGTGTACACATATGGATGAGTTTGAACACTGGGGTCCTCACTGTGAACCAGCCAGCCATGTCTCCTCTTCCTGCAAAGTGAAGGCTACAACAGAAGAGGAACAAGAGAGAGGGGAGGAGGCAGCGGGAGAGGGGGAGGGGGAGAGCGAGAGTGGAAGAAGGGATTAGTACCCCAAATCAGAGGGAGCAGCGGCAGCAGCTCACTTCTTGGCTCAAACCAGGCTTGACAGGCACAGACACACACTCACGTGGTCGACAAGTATGTCCTTACAAGCTCACACTCACACACACACACACACTAAGCCCCTCCCTGGTCATTGCTATTAAATTCTAATAAAGATAAAAGTGGTCTTTGAAGAGCAGCGCAGAGCCCAGGTGCCCCCCTTCCTCACCACCACTCTCCCTCACCCCTTCCTCAAGAGGCTAATCTCCACACAGTTCAGATTTCCAATACCTCAGTCCCTTCACTCTTATCAGATTCAACTTTCCTAATTGTGCTTCTCTCCCTCTGTTTCTCTCCCCGTCCCCTCTTCTCACCTCCCTCCCCTCCCTCTCTCCCTCCTCTCCCATCTATCGACACCCCTCATGTTTGGAAATGGCAGGACACTGTTTGGAAACAAGATCAAGTCAGTGGCCAAGAAAGCCTTCTCCGGCCTGGAGACCCTGGAACACCTGTGAGTATCCCACAATGCTTGGCTGCTCCATGTCCCAGGGAGAGAAAGAGAGGAAGAGGGAGGGAGGGAAGAGTAGTTTGGGTGGTTGGGGAGGTAGGGGGTGGGTTGGGGGGGGTATTGCCAAAAGTAGCTGGCAGAGCAGACTGCTAGCAATTTAATAGTGTCTTTGTAAACGGAGAAGACAGCGGCTTTTGCGAGCGCCCAGCTGCTTCTCTCTCTCGTTAGCTTAGCGCGATCTCAACTTTGGCCTGTTTTCCTGCTCGTGCACAGGAGTAAAGTCATCGAGCATATGGTGAGCTCTGCCGAAGAAACGGGATTCCTATAAGTTCTTTCACAGGCTTTTGTTAACTGAGGGTGGGGAGGGAAAAAAAAAAAAGCTGGCATTAAGCCTCAGACATATCTGTACTCCACCTTTATTTGAAGTCAAGTCCATGCTAATGGATCCCTGTGTGCTGATGCAATTTGTGCACAGTTGGTGAGATAATGTCTGATGTCCCTACAGGAACTTGGGGGAGAATGCGATTCGCTCAATCCAGCCGGACGCCTTCAGTCGAATGAGGAACCTCAAAACCCTGTGAGTTTTCACCGTTGCATTTACAACATTGTGTTCGCCTCTCACAGCCAGCTGGGCGTTTGGATCTCCAACACACATAAACACCTACAGGTGCGGTAGATGTGATGTACACACCACATACACTCAGCGCTCTAATTTCCTCTCCTCTATCCCACAGCCTCATTCAGAGTGACAGCTTCCTGTGTGACTGCCAGCTCCACTGGCTGCCCGACTGGTTAGTGTCACGCAGTCTGCAGGCTGGGGTCAACGCCACCTGTGCCCACCCAGAGAGTCTGAAGGGCACCAGCATCTTCCAGGCTCCGCCCAGCAGCTTTGTGTGCGGTGAGTTATGAGTATGAGTAGTCGATCCTTTGGTGTGATTTCCCTCATCATACCAAGAACAGAAATGTGTGATTGTCATAATCTCACTTTGTCTTTTATTTATTCTTTTAGATGATCTCCCAAAGCCCCAAATCACTGTGCAGCCAGAAACCACAGTAACGGTCCTCGGTAGCGACGTGAAGCTCACCTGCACGGCCGCCAGCAGCAGCTCTTCGCCCATGACCTTCGCTTGGCGCAAGGACCAAGAGCTGCTTCGCAACGCGGAGACGAAAAACTACGCCCATGTACGCACTCACCATCAGGGCACAACCTCTGAGACACCGGGCGCAGGTGGAGGCGTGATGGAGTACACCACTATACTGCACCTGCGGCATGTCACCTTCGCCCACGAGGGTCGTTACCAGTGTATTATCACCAACCACTTTGGCTCCACCTACTCCAGCAAAGCCCGCCTCATTGTCAACGGTATGTGGTTTTCCAGAGTCTTAGGGAACTATGGCAAGAGAGAGAGTCCATCAGGAGTTTGGTAAAGGCGCTGTAGGGTTTGACTTGAAGAACTAAGGCGGCGATTAAAAAGTGAGACAGAGAAAAGTTATTATCTATGTTATTATTGGATTATTTACACCCAATAAAAAGCCTGCTCTTAAAATTAGTACGATTTTCAACAGTCCTGTTTGAGAAAGAGAGTCTACTGAGCATGTGGAGTTCTTCTGATCCACATGAATGAAGTCCTCTGTCTCTTCTGGCCTCCATTTCTTCAAGCATAATTCACGGAGCAAACTGATTACCTTGGATGTCAGCGCTGAAAGAGGCCGTCTCTTCTGCACTCCATCACTTTCTGATCTGCAGATGTAGAGCTTTTTTCCTTAAAGGGATTTTCCGGCGTAAAATTAATTTAGGGTCAAATACACCGCAACACCGAGTTAAACACCCCTCAAGAGATGAATGTTACTGACTGCTTGCTTCTCTAGTTATACTAATTTGAGTAACAACTGCACGATAGCAATACACAGCACTCTGAGGAGACACACAAACCTCAACCTCTAACTTCATCAACAGTATATATAGGGTCCCAGCCATAGCACTTGCTGCCAAAAATCTTCCTTGAGCTGTGTCACCCCGCAGCAGTCCGTAATGGACTGGTCTGAGGTCTTGCTACAAACAAGCGGCTGCTGGAAGAGAGTAGGTGAGTTGTATTTATACTCTTTGCTAAAGAAATTAAGCAAAGCTAAAAAGATGTTTGGTGTCTAGTGCTGTGGCTGGGACTCTATATGTACTGTTGATGAAGTTAGGGGCTGTTCTGAGCATTATTTGTGGCTATAGAGTGGTGTTTTGGTTGAGGTTTGTTTATGGCTCCTCAGACCGCTGTGTATTGCTATCATGTGGTCGTTACTCAGGTTAGTATAACTAGAGAAGCAAGCAGTCAGCAAAATTCATCTCTTGAGGGGGTGTCTAACTCTGTGTAAGGGTGTGTTTGACCCTAAATTAATTTTACACTGGAATATCCCTTTAAGTTTGTTTTTGGGTGCAGTAGAAAAAGGACAAAAAATAGAGTCCTTGTCTTGTTTTTGGAAGTTTATTTGGTTTGAAGACTAGTACTAGCTGTGAAAAAAAGGGTTAGAGAATTGAATTGCTGAAATCCTGCAACATCAGCTCAAAGAAATTGGAGTTAAACCGTTGGCTCGAGTTTTAAGAGTTATTTTGACCCGTGTCCTTTGTGTCCACAGTGCTCCCTTCATTCGTGAAGACTCCCAGAGACAGCACCATCAGGACTGGCCACACAGCGAGGCTCGAATGCGCCGCTGAGGGGCATCCGTCGCCTCAGATCGCCTGGCAGAAAGACGGCGGCACTGACTTCCCCGCCGCCCGCGAGCGACGGATGCACGTCATGCCCGATGACGATGTGTTCTTCATCATGGATGTCAAGCCGGAGGACATGGGCGTGTACAGCTGCACTGCCAAAAACACCGCTGGCACCGTCTCTGCCAACGCCACCCTCACAGTGCTAGGTGTGTATCTGAGCCGCTCCTCTCGCGGAGAGTCTCGTATTCAGAGCAACAACAGAGCGCTCATCGTTTTCCCACATTCCTTTTGTAAATAGCTCCGCTCTCAGAGGGGAATTGGTCAGTCTGAAGCTGCAGAATGAGAGGCTTTATATTTTTCTTTTCTCCGCAGCTGTGGCCGTGCTGCAGGTCAAGGGCCAAAGGTCACAGTAGGGGGTCAAAGGGGGGATGGTGCGGAACAGAGGGGGGCTCACAGAGGGGCGTTTGTTAGGCATTCCCACCCCTCCCTCCTTCCTTCTTTCCTGGTGGGAGGGACAGTCATGGCTGCTTCACTGCAGGCCTCAGTGCTCCCAGTTTATTGGCTGTTTTACACCGTTAACTCAAACAAAACCATCCGAGGACATAGATCATCTTTGTGCTTTGTCTTTGAGCGGAGCAGAGCAGTCCAGCTGTTGAACACGGATATTCAGGCTTTTCTTTTCAACAGTTTCAAGTCATCTCTAAAAAGCTTTCTCTAATTCATCATGGTCGTGGTGATAGGGGCGGTTCGCTTGGGCAATATTAGCATGTTGTGCGACTTGTGAGAGACTTGATGGACTTCACAGCAGTTCAAGCCGAGCGCTAATCCACTCAAGACTGTAAAATATTGAAGTGAGCCACCATGCCTCTGCACTGAATCTGTGATGTTTTGGTTTAAGAAATGAGGGGAAGAAGGAGGAGGAGGAGGGTTAGGAAGGCTGAAGTTGAGGGGCCCCTGTCTGGAAAAGAGTGGCGGGGGTAAAAAATGGGAGCCAAAGAAGAACTGGAACGGTGGAGTGAGTGTGTGTGAAGGGGGTAAGGGAGGGAGGGAGGGAGGAGGGGGAGAAAAGAAAGAAAGAGGGGTGGGGGGGCAGGAGAGTGAGCGGGATTGATGGAGAGGGAGAAAGTATTGATTGAAGAGAGAGGGGCGACTGAAGTGGGTTAAGTGAGATCTCTTAATCTGTGTTTGTCCCACTGTGAGGGGAAGTGCTCAGTCTGAGAGAGGAGAGGCCTACCTCAAGAGTCACACACACACACACACACACACACACACACACACACACACACACACACACACACACACTCAGCTGAATGGGAAGTTTTCGGACACTGGTTTTTTTACTTAAATGAGAACTCCGTGGATGTGAGCTCAGAGGTTTAAATGTGGTTGTCATGATGAGATAAGGTTTTTCGTGGCCGGATTACAAACTCGTATCGTCACTTTGTGCTCGTTGTATTCTGCTGACTCAGCACTCTGTAATCAATACTGTGAACAAAGTGATCCGCAGCATCAACCTAAAACGTCGATGCTCTGAAATAACAGAGGACGCTGACCTCAGGGATCTCCAAAGTTTTCATGAGGAATCTCATCACTCTCTCGTCCACAGAAACCCCCCACCTGGCCCAGGACCTGGAGGACCGCAGCGTGGTTGTCGGCGACACGGTGGCCCTGCAGTGCAAAGCGCTGGGCAGCCCGCCGCCGCGCATCACCTGGCTGCGCAACGACCAGCCGCTCCGCCCGTCCGACAGACACCACTTCACCCCGGGGAACCAACTGCTGGTCATCGGCTCGGCTTCGCTGGAGGACGCCGGCCGCTACACCTGCCTCATGTCCAACACGCTGGGCACTGAGCGCGCTCACAGCCAGCTGGTGGTGACACGGCGCCCCAGCCCCTGCATGGCGCCGACGGGGCCGAGCACAGTCACGATTGGGATTATTGTCATCGCCGTGGTGACGAGTATTGTAGTGACGTCGCTGGTGTGGGTGTGTATCATCTACCAGACCAGGAAGAAGAGCGAGGAGTGCAGTGTGACCAACACAGGTGAGTGTGAGAGTGTTGATCTGTGAGGCATTTGGTGTAAATTTCTGCATAACCCTGGTCTTCAAAGTCTACCTCTAACTGTTGATACGGTGTACTATCCAGGGTTTATCATCGGAGGTAATAAAACCTGAGAATATTTGGCACGTTGTCTCGACTAAACCTTGACAATCAAAGACGGCCTTTCAGCTCTTCTAACATTTTTGCGTCTCTGTTTTTCGTCTCCTCTAGATGAGACGATCGTTCCCCCAGATGTACCCAGCTACCTCTCCTCCCAGGGCACGCTCTCCGAACGCCAAGATGTGTGTATCCGCGTCGAGGCAGGTGGTGGACCTCAGCCCAACGGACACATCGTAGACACCACAGGTACCTCACAGTTCCTCCGCCGATGTTTGTGCTCCCCAGCAGTTTCTCCCACTTCCCCTGAGAAAAAAGCCGCTGCGCTGCATAACCATGAAAGGGGCGCTGCTGTTCGTGAACGCCTGCTCAGCATCAGAGATAATTACTGCAGACGCCCTGACCGCAGTGTTGACATTCATTTGTTGATTTTCTGCCTTCAAACCTTTTTTTTTTTTCTCTCTTTCCCTGCCTGCAGGATTTGACGGTGCAGTGGTATGTACAGACTGTATGGAGAACAGCAGCAGCTACTCCAAAGATCCAGATTACCTGACACATGGGTTTGGTCCTGCTGGGGGGATGGAGTACCAACAGCACTTGGTACCCCCACCACACTCCTACTGCCACCCAGGGGAGCAGCATGACAGGGAGACAGTGTCAACCCCACTCTGCAACGGGACACCCAACGGGATCCGAAAGGACTTCCATGGGCTTCCGAAAAACCACAACACGTTACAATCGAGGGATAGAAAAGGTGAGGAGATCTGTGAGTAGGACAAACTGTAATAAATATGCCAACAAATGCGAACAGTCTTAACCCAGAAAGGAACACTGACTCTGTTTTTCTTGGAATACTAAATATACGAGGTGGAGCGATTAGAAACCATCAGCCGTTTAGGAAACCTTCTCAGCGTGAATTCCTTTGAATGTGATAGTTGAAGGATTGGCTCATTGCAGCATCTGACAGTGTATCTTAGTTTTACGCCCAGAGCCCCTCAGGAGATCACTCTGTAAAGACGCGCTGAACTCTCCTCGCTGCCAAACTGCACGCCTGGGCCTGTTCTGGGATTCGTCTCCTTTAGCGAGGAGTAATACCAGTGGCCTCCAAATACCAATTCTCACCTCCGCATGTCAACGCAGCCCTGTGCATACATTCCACTGCCTCTCTTTTCTAAAGCTGAATGCATATTTGTCTGCACACATGTCACGTCACTGACTCTGTTTCTCTTTCCTCTCCTCCTCCTCCCCCCCTACAGTGCCGGCATGCTCTCCATCACAAGAGGACTCCTTCCACAAGCCGGTGAAGCTGACCCCTGTGACATGCCATGGCCACTTGGACAGTGACTGTGAGCCTGAGCTCAGGCAGACTCTTCTGTCTAATGGACACACCCTCAGAGCCTCTCAGAACGAGAGCGCGCCCCTAAGGAGAGCCAGCGACTAGCAGGCGCTCCGAAGAGCCTGAATTATAGACTCGCTTCAGCGGAGTGGACTTTAATCTTTTTTTTTGCACTGGGAAATAAACTGCTACCTCATACCGAGGCGATTGATCCGAAACCTCCTGGATCTGGACTGTAAGCACCGAGAGAGAGAAAGGAGGGGGAGGGGCATCCGGAGTGTGAAGGCGGAGCTTGTGTGGGTGGCGTCCCATCTGAGCGTTTCAGCTGTACATAGTTAAAAACCTTCGTTTGGGAGGTGACCAATAAGAATTCTAGCTCCAGAAAATGTGACTTGCATTTGAAGCATGTAAATGTAGGGAATCTTGTACAGTGTATGTTTGTGCAGAGGAGAGAGAGAAATATACCTTTGGACATTTGACTGTACATAAGAGTTTTCTTATATTATATATTATATAACTTTTACAGAAGAGTATTTGAATTTATGTGCATGACAAGGAAAGGAGTGATGGTATTTTTATTTTTCTTCAGAAAAAAAAAACAACAACCTTTTTCAGCTTTTACCAACTTTCAGCTGCGGTGCCTTATTGCATAATCAAAGAAAACTCAAGAGAGTATATCAAGAGACTTTGGTGAGAGAAACTGGTTCACTCTTTATAGCAAACACTTGATTGCACTTGAATGTTTTTTGACAAACGTTGCCAAACTCGGCCTTACAGAAACACAGTTCAGACTCATTGTTTTTGAATGAAGGAAGAGCTTTGATGTGAATTATTTGAGTACGTCGAGCTGGGATATTTGAGGGCAATAAGTTAAAGCACTTTCATATTCGATTCATACTCAAGCTGATAATGTACGTGGTATCTCTTTCTCTTACATTCTACATCCATAAGTACAGCATACTGCAACATTAAGGCTCTTCCATCTGTTTTACAACTCTTTAAGGTACTGCAAAGCTGCTCTGATCTAGCTTAGGGGAAACAATTTCTCTGTTCTCTGATGTTTGCTTATTTGTCCTGCAGAGTGACTTTGCAACCAGATGTGCTAAAAAGTCAACGCCCACAGCTGTTAAAGCCAGTAATGATCTTCCTGAGTGGACACCTGTTGTATTTTCATGGTTGTATTCATAATGACACCCACAGCAATGTGCACTAAGGCACTGACATTGAATTGGCTCAAAGTGAAATTCAGAGATTGAATGCTAGAGGGATTAAGGACAGATGGAGAATCAGGGAGAATAGTGTTTTGTGTTACTGCTGTAATGTGCCTCAACATACACCACTGTGCACTCACAAGGCAAACGGCCAGTAATTCTGCCTCCGTCACATCGACCAGTAAGTTTTCATCATGATCACTACAATGTTTCAGGTAACCAAAGGTGCGGCCTCATGCTGTGAACAGTTAGGAAGCCTGTGAAATGTGCTCGAACCAAACTCTGAGGATTAATGCAGTCAGGCTTATTACAAAAGGCTCACAAATCAAAGTAGTTACATTGTCTAGTGTGTGTGTGTGTGTGTGTGTGTGTGTGTATGTGTGTGTGTGTGTGTGTGTGTGTGTGTGTGTGTGAGTGCGCTCTGTTACCTGTGGCCTTATCAAGGTAAACTGGAGGACATACTCCTCTGGTTACACCTGATAGCACCAGTCAGAGGTGATTTTACCAGCAAGACCTATAAGAGAACCCCCTGTTAGGAAACCAACCCCGGTGCAGCAGGTAAAAGGGACAAGAGGAAGTGAGGTGCAGCTGAGTAATTTATTGAACCATTGTACCAATGTCAAAGCTGAAACAGTGAAGTGTCTAACATGGCATTGAAGTGTCTAATAAAATCCCATTTTGCTATTACACACGTGTATTGACTTTATTGACTGAATTAAAGACCCACTCCGACGAAAATCATGTTTTTTTAATATGTTTATGGCCTTTTTTCTGATGATATAGGAAATATCATGAGAAAACTAAATGCAAAATTGCATTTCTGAGTAGTGATGGGAAGAACAGTTCTTTTGACCGTACTGCAGCTTTAGAATCTGTTCATTAAAACGAATCGTTCAAAAACAGGCATTCTCCACAGCTGCCCCTACCCTCTGGAACTCCCTACCACCCTCCATCAGACACTGCCCTGACCCCACTACTTTCAAATCCCTTTTAAAAACTCACTTTTTAAAAATTGCTTTTAATATTTAACTGTTTTATTCGTTTTATTTCTATTGTTTGTATGTCTCTGTTTTATTACCTTGGGTTTTATGTTTTATGTACTATTAAAAGATTCATTTACCGAATCAGTTAGTGCTTCGGAGCCCCGTTCTGTGGGTGATTTGGAGTTCGTTCATTGGACAACCCCTACCCCGTTCATTCGCTGAGTCCTGAAGGAAAAATCGCTCCCCTGTCCGGAAAAACTCACCTCTCTGTGCGTCGCCATCGGCTGACACAACACAGCAGCATGCCTGCTAAACAAGCACGAGTCGTCGTTCTTTTATATCTCAGAAAAGCGGAGAGATTGAAAAATCAATAAACATCGCAGCTGTAGTGGGGATTCTGATACTTTTAAAGATATCAAATGCTTTAAATTGGCTGAAATTAAATCCTTCTTGCAGGAAAGTTTATAGACGCGTATTAATGTAAAGGCATAATAAAGCACTGTCTTACCTTAGCCTCAGTGAACGAACCGTCGTTCGGGAGTCGTTCACAGTGTGACTGATACATGTTGTTTATTCGCGGTAAGCAAATCGCAGGACTCCGCCCGCCCGCTAGCTCGCGGTAAAAAGTTGCCAAAGAGTCAAAGGTGGCAGTTCCACTCCCAACCGGCACGCCAGGCTCGCGGCTGAGTTCAACTGAACTGAGAAAGGAACGAATCAAGTCTTGGAGTGATTCCATTCACGTCGTTCACTCAGCAGTTCCGTTCTTTTGAACGAAACGTTTATGAACGACACAACACTATTTCTTAGTATTTCTTCATTCAAATCGCTGTGAATCTCTGGCAGACCTAAAGGGCAGGTTCAGATTCAGTGAGAATTCATACTTAACTAATCCAAGCTCCGCCCCCGGGAGCCCCGCTATGCAGGCCACACTCTGCATATAGAGGAGAATACAGAGGACGATCGGAACAAACGAGTGCGTTAGCGGATTGCCTTGCTCGTGAGAAAGCTAACTATTATATTAGCTTTCATCATGTCCCCAAAGACATTGGGGTGCGAGAGTTGAATAGCTCCTGTTACCTGCCACTTCTACCGCTCCGGCAATGTTAGGCTACGAGCTAACGTGAAGACGAGTGTGCAGAGCAGCGCTGTCTCCGCCCACGACTCAGAGCCGAATTGTTAATGAACAATTGGAGCTCTGCAAAATTAAAGATCTTGAAAATGACACAGGTAACACGATTTTTAGTAAAAACTTAAAAATCACAATTTGAAGACAACTGATAACACTTTAAGTAGTAAAAAAAATGATCGAAGTGGGACTGTAATACAATGAAAGGATGTTTTAGCGACAGCAGAACCAGGACAGCTGAGTTAGCATCTAGTGCCATTCACATGTTGCAGCGGTTGCAGAGAGGCCATCAATTTAAACGGAGCATGCACAAAGACATCAAATCCAAAGACCTTGATCTTCAAAGCGGAGAAGTCGTTTGTGCGTGGACTACAAACACACACATACACACACACACACAAAGCTAATCTTCCCACCAGGAATGTGTCCCGGCTCCCTGAAGCCCTAAAGACAGCGGACATATTTTTTCCTTCTGCAGGCTGTTGAAAATATTTGCGATTGAGTCAGGGAGGAGTGAGGGTCAGTAGCTGGCCAGAATGCGCATTCCAGATGGATGTGTGTCACAGGGTGATTGACATGCCCCTGGTCGTGGCCTCCACCAATCACACACCAGCCATTGTTGTCCAACAGCCTAGTGACAAGCAGCATGACAAACACTCCCACCTGTGAGGCCATCCGTCTCCCTTTGCGGCCGACAGGATCCACCGAGTCCTCAGTTTTACCTCAGCACTGACTGCGAGGACAACACTGAGCTTATTCTTGTGATACAAGGCGGGAAACACTGATTTCAAAGCCAGCTGTTCATGCACGGGCCACTAAAACATCCTCCATAGACATACAGAAATGATTTGTTGGTCCTCTAACTAAAAAGTTTTCTTGGATTGTTCCGAGCTCTCGTTTTTTTAAGGGAACACGTGGAAACCATCAGCACTTGTATAATGAACTGATAGAAAGAGGATGAGGGCATATCTTATTTAAACATACTACCGATTAAATATATCCTGAATAAATCTACTAATTCAGCTCTTAATGCTACATTTACTTCCAACCTTTGCTGCACTACAGACACTGGGAGATATGATTTTCACAGAATCATCATTTCCTGTGTAAGGCCAGATGCACTAACATCTGTACTGCATGTATCATCATAACAACTGATCTTTTAACGGTCGATTTAGACAAACCACAACACTAACATATTTTCCCCAAGTTAATTTCCCACATGCAGTTAACAGCTGATATCCCGGAAACTTGGCAATAAAATCAAAACCATCTGTAGGGTGAGATAGCACTCTGCATGAGCAGGAAAAAAAAACAAAAAAAAGGTTTTGAGTTTTTTTTTTGGATTGGGGTGAACAGATGGGATTTTCTTTTCGCATGAGTATTACTCAGTTAACTAATGCAAGTCAGTTACCCTGTTGAAGAAGAGGCCTAATCGTACAAGTCTTTTCAAAATACTAAACAAAATACTAAAACTCAAAGATATATTCTCCCAAAACTACAGCCGATTCTGTTTGTTGCATCAATCCTCTTTGTGTAATCATTTTACACGTCTTGTCAAATGTCAGTTTTGACAGGATAAAACTATTAAGTTTAATGAAGGAATTACATCTTCAAGACTCTATTTGCCCAAGAGTTTGAAGCAAAATCAATAAAGGGATTTTAATAACTATTGCACACGTTTAATCAAACAGCCATTTAATTAGGCTGACAATGTAAAGTACATGAAAAGAATAAGACGTAATTAAATACTATAAAATCTACTTGATTACACTTACAAGCCCCACAATAAACTCCCTAGCAATAAATATCTGATTAACTCCAAATACCCCGAGCTAATATAAAAGCTTGTGCATGACACCTGAGGCTCCTAATAAAACCAAAGCCCTATTAATTGAACAAAGTGTTCATTGTTGTGGTATAAAATTAAAGCTCCTGCAGGTGGATGAGCTCAGATGTGCTCCGGCAGGAATGTAACAATGCTGAGATACTGCCATGCCTCTCTCCGGTGGGTCTTAAACGCAGGTGGCCTGGCTTAGCACGGAGAAAAAATATGGACGAAGCACTAAAACAATCATGAAATAAATCTGCGGGTCGCTCAGGGAGCAAAAGGAATTATGAAATCTCACTCATACATAAAAAGAGACAGTGTTTAATAGCTTATCTCATTAATTCACACACATTAAACAGTAAAATGCTTCATTGCCAGTCTCTAGTGACAGGGTGCGTCCTCAGTTCTCCACCCTGATGGTGCAGTTACAGACGCTCAAGCTTCAGCGTGTTTAACAGTCAGCAAGGCGCTGATGAGCGGGAACGCGGCATCCATGATAAAGAAGCCAGTGGGTGATTCTTCCTCAGAGCATCAGGTGTTTGTTGCTCCTTCTGGGCCTCAGCTGCAGCAGTTTTAGCTCTCCCTGCAGAGTGAGGGTGCAGCTCCATGAGACATCCAAAGTCCTCTGCTGCTGCTCTGCTGGATCAAAGCTCCGGGCCGTCAGAGGACGTGTGGCTATAGCAAAGTGCTGCGGACTTTCTCATAGGCTCCTAGGAAGATGAAACCTCCCACACTGATGAAGGTTACTCTTGGTATGCTACCGGCAAACAGGCTGCAAAAGAAGAACAGTAGAAACAATAAATATTATAAAGTTTATATTCATATTTTATTGAATAACACAGTGCAGAAAATGAACAAAACTTTCATTTACGCTACTATTATACACTAAATTGTAAGATAAACCAAGAAGGATTGTCCAAGTCTGCAGCCATATACATCTTTTGCAAATTAAAGCCACAAAGGCAAAATCAATGTTTTTCTCTTGACAGAAAAAAATGAAATGATAATAGACCCTGGCACTGACCTGCAGAGAAAAAGCTTTTTTAATCAAGCAGAAGATTTAGGGCCTGTGTCCACCAACAACTTTTTTTGTGTGTGTGCTGAGAGCACCACAACTTAGTACATTCACAAAATATTGTGTTGTTGCATTAGCAGCAGCTCTAGACCTGTAAATAGTCCCTCCTGAAAGCAAGTTTGGTCATTCCCTTCTCTGTTCAGACCCTCCCCACCGAGCAATAAACAGCTATTAGACGTCTATTTTTTTTTAGACCTAATTTCAACCGTCTAGATTCTGTATATTTTTAGATGGAATTTAGACGTTGCACTTTAACTCATTATTCGATAACTATTTATTTCAAAAAGCAACAGTGAGTTGCATTACTGATCTCCAAGTACTTAACCAAAATAATTATGATAGCCTTTGAGCAATATACAGTTAGACCTCTGTTAGCTGGCTAGTCTAAACTTGGTCTAAATTTAGACGTCTAATAAACTTTAATTTTTAGACCTGTGGTAGCCTGATTTTAGACCAGTTGTCTAGACTACATTTAGACGCATATTAGTCCTCTTTTAGACCAAAGAATGCTTAGTGGGTCTCCCTTGGGGTTTTTTTTTGTTTGTTTGTTTTTTGTTGTTGTTGTTGTTTGACAAAGTGGACAAGAAATACCATCTTTTCTTGATTCTGATTGGTCAGTGATAAAACAGTGACACAGCAGGTCAGGTCTGTGCTTTCTATGTAGCTACAAAAACAGCTGAAGCCAAAGACATTTAAGGAAACTGCTCCTTGAAAGTTTCAAACTACAAAGAGTTTGGATCAAAAATATGTGTTGCCAGTGTAAAACACATCTTTAGTGAGCACAGGCCCTTAAATCTATCCAGAGCTTTCCTCCAAGTCAGCAGCCAATCATGAATGGTCCAGTTATGATTTTTGTATAATACTTATGTGAGACAGCAGATCTGTGCCAGTATTCCAGTTCAGTTTTGGAGGGACAATACTAGGATATAAGAACTGCCCCCATGGGGTTTTTTTCCATTATATTTTAATTTTTCATAATTTGATTTTCTTTGTTGCTTTATTAGTGGATTTGTTTGCTGGAGAAAGAGTTTTTTGGGATTTTTCAGGTGACAGGTTTACGGCTCTTTCATGGAAGCAGGGCATCATGTCTGGGTGCAGAGGGTGCATGGGAGCAGGTCAGACATGAGGTTGCTGGTGGAGCCACTTAACCAAGAGTGAGAGGGGCCCGAGTTCCATGGTTCTGAGGCCCAGCAAGAAGCTGTTTGACGTTGCGGGGGTCAGAGGATGTAATGAGCCATGAGAGAGCACCCTTCTCCCAAGAACCTCCACCCTCCTCTCCCCTCTACCCTCCCTGCTACACACAGCTGTTTTTGGGATTAGGCTTTAATTCCCCACCCTTGGGCCTCCCTGGAGCTCCAAACCCCCCTTCTTTATATTCTCTCCATGCGTGACTGATGGCCGGATGACATCCACACATGTCCCTCTGCTGTCCATCCATCCATTTCTATCTGTCTCTCTGTCCAGCCATGGCCTCCTCAGCTGGCTCAGTTGTCCGGGGATTTCTCCTCCGTCTCCTCTTCTTGCTGCGTCATCCTCTTCTCAGACACGTGCTTACTTCATCTGCCTTCTCTACGTCCCTCTCTCTTCTCTCATTTTCCCCTCTTTTCTCTCTGCCTGTCTCTCTCCCTTGCCGTGTATTTGCCTACCGACACCTTCTGTCTGCCAAGCCGCCCCCACGCTCACATGGTTTGGCCCCGGCTGAGCCAGATGTAATGGATGAAGAGTATTGTGTGTTTGTGGATGTGTGCCTGTGTGAGGAGAGACGTCTGCACACAGAAAATGTCTGTCTGTATTCATCATCTGCGTAGGAGTGCGTGTGTGTGTGAAATACAACTGATTTTGTCCATGTACGTTGAAAAAAAAATTGGAATAGAAAATGAGTGTCTGTCAGCTGTTCTTGTACAGATACTGAAATGAAGCCTCTAAACAAGGCGGACCTTCTGACTTCACTTGTTGAAGTTCGACAGAAGTTTTATTGGTTCTGGTTGATTCGAGTTTCCCATTTTCTAAGTCGTAACTTTGCAACAGTGACCAAAAAAAAAGAGGTCTGGAGGACCAATTTGTCGTAAATTTCCTCCGCTCCATTCCAATTCATCAGGAACATCTTGAAGCAGATTCAAAGGAGAGTAGAGAGGCTGTATTTTCTGAGTATGGCTAAATTAGCCAAAAAGTAAAGGTCACATAGCCTATCTTTTTTTTTTTTTTTTAAATCTCAGAGAAGCAAACATTCTCAAAACCAAATTCACATTTTGGGGGTAAAGGATCAACATGAAGTTCATTGAGAGCTCATGCTGGTCTGATCTACTTTTCTTCCTACTATCACAGTGAGAGAAAACAATGGCTTTAACCCATTTTTTTATTTTGCACCCTTAATCAGAGTGTTTTATCGATTCACTTAACCTTTTATGCATTTACTAAAATTCACCTATTTTGCATGTTTATGCTTCATGTACCTTTAGGATATGGTAACTGGTAAATGGACTGTTTATATGGGACTTTCTCCACTCTTCTGACCACTCATAGAGCTTTTTCACAGTCAGCTCGGGCAGATCCACATCAAATGTCTTGCCCGGGGAAACTTTGGCTTTGAGAGATCACTGGCTTTACCACTGAGCTACAGCTGCCTGTGAAAAGAAGGGTAATCATGACCAGAAATGAACAAGAAAAATGCACCTGTTTGTAGGGCTGGGCGATAAAACGATAACGATATAGTATATTGAAAATTAATTTCCCTCAATACCAACATAAAACATGGTTAATATCCTTTTCAATAGTCGGCATTCTGCCATGTTTTGGTAAACTATAGGAATAGCCAATGAAAAGGGGAGTTGCTCCTGGTCCGCTCCGCGCTGAACCAATCATGTGCAGAATTAGAACCAAGTAGCAAACAACTGTGTAGTAGCAGGCTGCAGCTACACGCAACCATAGCACTTTGACACGTGAAGCCAACAGCACTGTCAGTGAGAAAAAAAGAAAATGAGTGCTACCGCCGACAGAAATGCAGATGAAGGCTCAACAGATGATAACATCGTCGACAACACTGGCACGAAAACGTCTGTCGTGTGGAGGTATTTTGGTTTTTTGAGGTCGGACATGAAGCAGAGTAATGTGCACTGCAAATTATGTCGAAAATTCCTCAAATCTTTTTCACCACCTGAAGCAGTGACATGCTGCAGAGAATGTGCAATGCTAAAGGTTACAAACCTCGAGCAGAGCAAGGGGCCCACAGCATATGTGCAGCCGAAACAGCTGACCATCCAGCCTGCTTTCTCCAGCGCAACACCTTACAACAAAATGTCAAAGAGACACCAGGACCTCACAGATGCAGTAGCTTATTGTATTGCAAAAGACATGCTACCAATAAGCACTGTTCAATTTGATTTTTGATACTGTGATACATATCGATATTGACTGATGTAAAAAAAGATATATTGTAATAAACTTTTTCCCATATTGCCCAGCCCTACCTGTTAGTGTTTTGAACTTCCTGTATAGGAATAAACTACATGTATGTACATACTCCCTGATTTAAAAAAAAAAGTGAAATTAAACTTCTAGAGTAGTTTCCACTGGTTAAGTTTGAACATCTGTCTTTTGTAGATCGACTTGGAAAAGTCACGACTGTAATGAGGTTATTTCCAAACTAGGGGCAGGGAGGTACGGGAGGGCTGGGAGATTGGAGAAATGTGCTCAGACCACATTGTTGAGAACAATCAAACTTTAAATTTGTATTAAAATATGAAAATTAATTATTAAGACTATCTATAATTAAACAGTTCGTCATCTTCACTATCTCCTATGTCCCTGCTATACGACTCTGCTCCTGGGCTGTAGTATGTATTCTTTAAGTGTCCTCATTAAGCGTCTATTCCTGGACACACCAGAGCAGCTCTTTCACAGGAAATTTAAGATATGGGTCACGTAAAGGTTCACTGCTTGTAAGTCACTGCGAAGCTACAAGGTGCTGAGTACGCGGAGGAACTCGCAACCATCCGAAGCATTCACACAACTGCACATTTCAGAATTCTCCAGCACAGATCGGGTGTTTTATAAGATGTAAGTCTGTGCGTAGCTGAGCCTTGTTGGGCTAGAGTGTGTGAGAGAAAGAATCCAAGTGTGTTAGTGGGATTACGGAGGGGTCTACAAGCTTTAAATAAACAGAGAGGTGTAAGTCAGAGGTTGTTTTCCTGCCCTACAACATGAATACTGTACATACAAAACTGAAGAGAGAAAAAAGTGTACCCTGTGCAGCTGGAGGGATGAAAAACGAAACAGCAGACACAAAATGGCCGAACATGCCTCCCTCCTTTTTTTCCATGTGATCTATCTGATCATCATCAGCGTGAGGAGTGAACTAATTTTAAACTCAGCACTCTTGTTTTGTCTCAACTCCCCGCTGCAGATACATTTCCCGTCTGGGATCAGGCCCACCTGTGGACCCTGCAACGTCAGAGTCAGAGAGCTGACATTCCCCCCCTGACTCCCCTGGGTGCCCTGACTCATTCTGACATCACAGCCTGGCCGACCACTGAGAGCTGTCATCCCTCTATTGTCGGCCAATCAGCTCTCTTGGGTAATGGGACTAAATATAGTTTCAAGGCATGGCAGGAGAGTACAGAGGGAGAGTGGAGAGCACAGTGAGAATGAAAATGTTTTGGCTGGAGTTGAGACAGAAGCTTCTGTCTTCGAGACGAGAAGGGTGGAAACCTTTGGATGTTTGTGGGAGGAAAAAAAAAAAGACTTGAAGTGATGCCGGAGCAAAAACGATGTAAGCTTCTCATGTCTCATGCATCATTATTGACTTCTCCTTCGTAGACTGGGACTATGTTCTGAGGCTCGGTGTCCCCTTTATTTAGGCCTGGAGTGTGTGTGAGTGTGTGTGTTTCAGTTGAGTGGTGATTGATGGAGGATCTGAGCCCTTTATAACACCACAAACCCAGTGAAGGACAGTGTTTTACTGCTTTTGAGTTACATTTGCAAAAAATTATAACTTAAGTGTCAGCTGCGCCTTTTTACATATTCCAGGACACATTTTTTGCATCAGTTGAAAATAAAGAGAGTACAGTCAGAGTCCCAAACAGGCAGGAGAAGTTGAATGTAAAGAGAAGCAGATGAACCCACAAATGTTTCTTTTTTTTTACAGGACTTGTTAGCAGTTAATAGTAACAGACCGCACCTATAAAACGCTGCTCTAGCCCATTCAAACAAACTCATACACTGTAAAGTACCCATCAGGACCAATCTAATCCCATTCACTTGCATTCAAAATCTGCTGCTGATGCCTTAACCCTAACCCGGAGACAAACCTGCCAACATCTGGGTTATAAAATCCAGGAGATTTTTGCGGCGTGCGCAGCTAATTATGAGCTAATAATGAGAGTATTTGTAATTAGATTGCTCATCCAAATAAGTACAAGTGAAGCTGCACACTTTTTTTTGTTTTAACAATAATAAATAATGAACTTATTTAGTCCACTAATATTGATGTTAAAGTCCTCATATGTTTTACATGCTCTCTGATTATCTGTGTGTGCAATACAGCACTCTTTTATCTGAGGCTGCCCTGAACGCATCACTCCAAGAAGGTGCAAGACTATCAACGTAAATATTATATCTCACGTTTGTCTCCTTTTCACTGAAGGGAAGAAATGACAATACGGGAGGTGGGCGGGAGATAGGTCTGAAATACGGGAGAGTCCTGGGAAAAATGGGAGTGTTGGCAGGTATGCCTGGAGACATTCAGAATTCAGAGTCTTGAACCCTGGAATGGGACAACCCCCTCTGCCACAGCCCAGGCAGCAACATTACCAGTCTTGTTTCTAAACTGTGTCTAAACAGTTATTGTCCCTTTGCCATTACATGAATCATCCAGACTGTCTCTGTTTGTTAATGCTGTTTAATATTATCAATAGGCTTTTGTTTCAGGAGGCTTTTCTTTGCAGCAATGGGTATGAATACACTTCATTGCCTTGCACATTGACAGAGATTGATGAATGATGTTCAAATATACATTTAAACGCAGAAATATCCTCACAGAAAGTTTCGCTTGGACCGATTCAGTGCGGTCAAATTTATATGAGTTAAATAAACTGTTCAAACTGCTTAACTTTATTTCTCTGGTAAAGAACAAAGACTCCTGCTGCACTAAGAGTACAATTAGGGTTTACCACAGACTTGCAGTTTTGTTGTGTGTATGTGGCACAAACATGTCATTTGTTGACTTTTCTTCCACTTTGCTTTCCATGAGGCACAGAGCAGACACAGCCTGGGGGACATGTTGCTTGTTAGTCTTTGTTTTGACACGATCCCTGATGCAGTGTGGTTGTTTTGCAGGTTACTGGGGGAGACCGCTGCGAGCTCCTTTGCTCTCTGCTAACCCGGGGTCTCTGGGGCATGGCACACACATGGAAGCACTTTAGAGCTTCACTACACTGCAATTGGGCCTATTACCATAATTACAGCTTTAAAGCCCCAGCAATTTGTATCAGGCATGCACCAGCGCAACCAGCGGGCCTTTGGCCCTGCAGAGCTGCAACCCCCCCCATCCCCCACCCTCCGTTTTACTCTGTACACACTCTGCTTTGTCCGTGCAGCCTATTCTCTCATCTCTTTCTCTTTTTTCCCCCCATTCTTCACCTACTCTAGTTACATAAATGTCAGGGGAGAAAAGTAATTTTTCAGATGTTCATCATGTTGTAGGGCTTTCAGTGCATGTTCTCTGGGCTGCATCTCATCTGAGGGAGTTTAAACAGTGGCCTCAGGTGAAAGCTGGAGAAGATGGAGAAGAAGAGAAAGAGGGCTAACATCAAAGGTGGCCATGTGGTGCAGAGGTTGAGATGGGGCATCAAAGAGCTTTCCTGTGCATTACCACTTGGTTCCTGTTGCAGCTTTAAGAGGGGATTGAGGGTTTTCTACTGAGGCACGCCGACTATCACCTTGTCAAGATCACGCAGTAGCCTCAAACTTGACCTTATTGAATCTGAGGGTAGTTTTATTCCTTCAGTCTGAAATCACCCCGCTCCGATTAAAAGCTGAAATTTAATTTCTCTCTGATTAGATTCCTGCGCTGCAGCCTGGACAAACAAACAATAACACAGTGGAGTATGTTTGTGGGACACAGGGAGGTGGAGGGATGTCCCACTGGTGTTTGGCCAGGTCCCAAACCAAATCTGCTCGAGGCATCAAGCTGAGGTGAATCCCCACTAAATGATGGCAGCTTGTTCACAGACAGGCCTTTTATTCAGAGCAAGTGAGGGTGTTTTTTTTTTTTTTTTAGTGCTGGCAGCTCTCTGCAGCCCCATTAGACCTGGCCTTTTGTCCCGCGCACATTATAAAAACATCACAACACTCAAATAAAGCCGTGCGCTTGGCCCCTGTAACACCTTAATCAATGGGACGGTGCAGGACGAGGGCAGGAAAAGCTTTTATGCATCTCATTTTTCAGCAGCGGCTGTAAATTCGTGTCACCCAGAGAGAGAACTCTATCATCAAACTTGATTACGTGAGGGAGCAGGAGGAGTAAATCAAATCATTTAAACAAAAGGTTTTAAATGGGCCGGGATAACAGGGTTTGTGGGGGAGGAGGGTGTTTGGCTTTAAACAGTCTCCAAAATGAAGACACACACTCACCCTGTAATTCCTCTGCTTTTCCACACCTCGTAGAGCACCAGTGGGATGTTGCCGCTCGCTGTAGTCGACCCGGCCTGCAGAAAAAGAGAGGGAGAGAGAAAATAGAGGTGTGATGATGGATGGATCGTCTCCTCCGCTTCCTGCTCCTCCAAAAGACACCCTGTTTAGTCTTTCTCGGCTGAGCTTCCTTAACCCCCACCCTGTCTTTTCTTCCCCCAGTCTCCCCCTCCACTCTTTTTTTCCTCATGGACAGCTGTGTCAGCGAAGGTGACACCTCCAACACCCTGCCAGCCATTTGCCCACCCAAAAACCCACTCAACAAGTCTTCCTCCTCGCCTCCTGCAATACCAGTCAGCCTGGAACTTTTATTTACACAATACAGCTTAGCCAGCCAGAGTTTTTAATCCATCTCTGCGGAGTGGCAGGGCCGTATGAGAGCTGCAGGGTTAAGTGAGGGAGAGTGAGAGGAAAGAGAGAGAGAGCATTAAAATAAGGAGGAGAAGAGGGAGTGCAGGCAGTGTGGTGTTTAGGTGCAACGATCTGCGCTTCAGCTCAGTGAGCGTGGAGGAAACAGTCTGCAGTGATGGCTGTAAATCACATCTCCAAGGAGTGAGATGAAGATTCCCCCTTTTTATTCATGTGAGGAAGGAAAACACCCGTATTCCTCATGTTTCTGTTGGAGACAGGTGGCTGAGAAATGACTCTCCGCTCTCCGCGCCTGACAAGTTTTCTTTTCCTTTACTGCTGTGAAACGGAGGAAAAGGCGCTTCCAAAACACACACACACACACACTGGCCCTGTGTTACTTACAGAGAAACATCCATATGCAGCTTAATTTATCAAATTTTCTATATCGTGCAGACAGCCTGCTAGTTGTCCTATGAAATTTACTGTCATGAATGTTTCTATCCTCTCCACCTTTACATTATGAGATGGACAACAGCGATGACTGCACCAGCCTAACGTGGACTCCAGTATGAGACACAGCTGGTTGCAGCCGAGCATGGCATCCTGAGGGGAAGAGCAGTGTTGTACAGGAGCAGTGGAGAAGTGTCAGGAGCAGCAGGAGCAGAGGTGTGGTGTATCAGGCATCAAGCCAGGCCTCCAGGCAGAGTGGTGTGGCAGGAGTCCTGTCCTGGAGGTGCTCTACACATCCAGCTGTGTCCTGCACATCCTGCCTGCTAGCCTCAGCGTTACCTACTGTACAACACCACTCTTTCATTCTGCCTCCTTAGCTGTCGGACGGAAACTACTGTGACAAGTTCCAACACCCACATTTCCTCCCTTTAGTCCAATCCAAATCATCCATCCCCATCAACAGCAGCCCTCTCTCCCCTTTTCTCTGCCTGTCTCTCTTTCACTCCCCTGTCTGGACTTGTCATCCTGTGCTGCTGTGGGAGTTTGTACAATTAAACAAAACTTCAGCCTGACAGGATTAAAAAATGTTACATTTTCTGCTTACTGGTCAAGAACAACACTTTATGATGGGATTTTAAACCTACAGAAGTGGGTTTTTATGTCATTTGATGCTTGAATGTATTTTATTGCCACATTTATCACAACAATATTCATTTTTTTTAGAACAACTCGACTGTAGCTTAATTTAAATGCTGAGTTTGTTGATTGAAATTTTATAAACTGCAATTATTGTAACAAATGATCACTTTTAAACGTTTGCTGTACCAACTTGACAGATGTGAGTATTCTTCTGTATCAGGCTTTATGCTGCATTCCAGTTGTACTCAGAAGTCGGAATTTCCGAGCTCCGAGTCGGAAATTTATCTAACCCTAACCCCCTGAAGTCGGATTTCCAAATTGGAAAGTCGGACAATCCTCACCAACCCCAACTTGATGACAATGTCATATTTCAAGATGGCAGTGCAGCGCATCAACAGTAAAGAGTAACAGTAAAAGCTCTCGTAATGTATTATTTATTAGCACTGCTGTTGTGTTTTGTGAAATTAAATAAGTGGTATATTTTGTGCTGCCCAACGTCTTACTGTGAACACGGTGCTATGGTGTTTGTAAGAGTAAAATACTGTGTTATGTTTACAACAACTGACGACGGCTAACGACAGCCGACAATTGTAAACAACAGCTAACAACGGCTAACTGTAAGCGTCCATCTTGGTTTTCCGACTTGTTAATTGGTACACCCTCAACTCCAGTGTAACGTCATTCCCAGCTCCAACATCCGACTTCCGAGGTAACTGGAACGCAGCATTACACTGCTGGTTTTTCCAGTGACATTGAAAGAAGACGATAAAGGCTTTAGGTAAAGCTAGCACACACATTCAAAAACTTTGAGACGATTTTAATTAAAACAATCCTATTTGGGGAAAAAAAAGAAGATTAACGAAATGTAAAAGAGTTTTTATACCGGCAGAGTTAAACGAGAGTGAAGCTTCACTGGCTAAAAAGTGTGTAGAGGACAAGCTAAACAAAGACTGCTTTGTCCACAGGGGGCGCCAAAACTGACACAAGCTGAGAGTTTCTCACAGAAACTTTAAAAATTGCTTCCATAAAAGAAGTATTAGTAGGAAATCATATGGTGGAAGCACATGGAAATAAATAAATATGGAAAAAGAATAAAAGTGAATTTTTAGCAGTATTATCATGAGCCCCATATACTGAGGTTATGCCTCAAGCAGATGGTTTGATTCCAGTCTGCAGCTCATTCCTCACGTCATTCCCCGCTCTCTAACTCTGTTCATTTTCCTATTCTCTCCAATAAAGTCATAAAAAATGCAAAAATCTTCAAGGTTATCATGTCTGCATTCAAACTCTTTGGAAATGGGAAGATTTTAATCGCAGAGACCTTCAGAGTGTCTACAGGGACAGTTTAAATTGTACTCATGGGTATCAGCCTATTTCAGCTTTATGGATACCTAAAAAGATCCATAAAACTGGGGTGGTGCCCTCTCATAAAAGCCTTTATTTTTGATGGCACTCATTCCAGTTTTATCCCAGCCCACCTGTGGTGCCTTTGGTGAATCAAAAACTTGGCCTTATAAAGTTACAACTGAACCTCTCAGAGGCAGCCAGGCTGAGTCCGTTGCTGGTGGTAAATCACAGCAGCTGCGTTTCAAATAATGTTTACAGGAAGCTTTTGTACCGTCCAGAGATGTTCCACCTACGGCCAACGACTTCTTGCAACAGATCAGGACTGTGTGAGTGTTTTTGTTAACACCACTATCTCATTAGTTATTACAAAGAGAGAGGGTGAAGGGAGAACACTGTGTTTTATCCAAGGACAGTGTGTGAGTGTGTGTGCATGTGTGTGCGTGTGGACTGGGGTAACTCTGAACTCCCTACCCTTTACACACTCATACACAGGACATGGTGAAGGAAGCCAGACATACAGTTGGAGCCAAAAGTGAAAGAGGAGGTGGAGAGAGGGAGGTAAAAGACGGACAGTGCTACAGAGAGAGAGAGGGACTGTTAGAGGATGCAGAGAGTTGCCGGGGGGATGCTGGCCCTCTGGTTCACCTCTAGATGACAAGCAGCCTTGAGATGGAAACCGTAGTCCTCACCCGAACACTAACCATGAGCACAAACATGTCCCTGGACTGTCCACAGTCTTCATCACATGATCGATGTGTGTGTACGTCTCACTTCTGTCCTGGTGCTACCTCGGCCTGCTACCTCCACCTCCACCCTGCATCCTGACACTGTTGAAGTTTGCTCAGGCTGCAGGCCCGCTCAGCTCTCTGCCTGCAAGGCATCACCTGACAGCAGTGTTTAAAAGTCGCTGCCAGAGGAGGTGGTGCGCTCTGTGTGTGTGTGTGAGTGTGTGTGTGTAAGTGTGTATACCTTTGCGAGCATAATCCTGGTCTTCGCCACGTCAAGAGGAGTGGTAACCAAAGCCGCTACCGCACCTACGAAAGACACATACAAACATTAGGTGAAGTGCAAACATAAGAGGCCCTCTCTCTGCTCTCTGAGGAGTCTTTGAATATTAAAAATGAAGCAATAAAAAAGTTCAATTACTTAAGCACACATACGGTGAGATATTAATTCAGCTATAAACACAGGAACTTTCGGCCTTCCCCTCCATTAAGTTCATAAAAAAGATAATATTCCCCATCGGAGACCAGCCGTGTTATTAGACCACAAAAACCAGATGAATACACTTCTGTTCCAACCTCCTCCTTCATAATGTATACACCTGTAACTGAGCGAGACACACACGCTTACACACCGAGTTGTACGCACAAGCAGGAAAAGAAAGATTTGGATACTTTCAGTCACACACATACAAGTTGCTCTCCCTCCCATGAGTTTAACAGAGCAGTTACACCCAGACATCCCTCAAATTTGGAAGCTGGATTTGCCACGTGATCCAGAGGTGTCCCCGCTGAGCCGCAGTGTGTGTCTAAACGAGAAACTGTGCGTTTGTGTGTGTGTCACTCTGCCACAAACATAGCAACTGTTCTCTGTAAACAAATCCTGATGGGCCACTGTGGACTGCAGCGGGACTGTGAGCGAGCCGAGGAAGACATTAGGATAAGTGTGGTGGTGTAACACGCCGTTACTTTTTACAACCTTATTCAGGCTGATTCTGAAAACTGATTTGCAATTTTTTCTGTGTGGTTGGATAAAGTATCAGGAAGGATTAAAAGTTACAGCCTCTCTTGGTGTATCATGTTTTGTAATATCCTTGGGAGGTGGTGAGAAGGACGTATTAACTTCGACAAACGTTGCACACTTAGAGTAGAATTGGAGGATCTAAAATCGCCTGGAAAATCCAATGCGATAAGATGAAGGTTAGACGCTGATGTAATTCTGTTTCAAAATACAAGTGCGTTTTTTCTAAGGGGGTTCAAACAGGGTCGAGTTTGTCATAAGTCAGAGCAGGGTGCGAGTGGAGAAATTTGGAATGATTAAACGCGCCTGTGTGAGCATTTTTAGTGTCAAGTCAGCTTTGTCAAAAAGAAAGAGGCAGTGTGAAGAGAGGTGTACGAGGAAATGACCGAAATTTGAGGATCCCTGTTTGACAGCAGCTGGATCCCAAAGGAACGAGAACTTGATTCCTACCCTGGGCCCAGGAACTTCTATAACCTTCCTCTCCGCTGTCTGGCTCAAGTAGACCAAATCTTTCAGTCTGTTTTCTTTTACCAAATTAAAACTGTGGTCAACACACTGGATAGATGGAGGCTGCTCAAACTTGCAACGGACTGTATATATTGATATTTATTCAAAAATTACTCAAACTTAAATAAAATTGTTGTGACAAAAAAAAAAGGTCAGACGTTTCGTGCTGCTTGTCTGAAAGCTCAAAACATGTTTTTCAGAGTCTCTCTGAATCTGACATTCACCCCACTCTGCTCCTTATCTCATCTCAAGACTTTTATTTTGAATTTTCTCTCAATGTCTCATTCTGCCTCCCACTTATCCAGATCTCCTCATCCCTGTTTCTTGTCTGCTGCGAGGATTCTTCCCTTTCTCTCCTCCTCTTCTCCCTCAAATGGACCGAGTCCAGGTAAGGTGGCGCATTGCCACGTCTCAGCTCCTTGGGGGGCTGTTTTGTCATTCCCTTTCCTCTCCTTCACCTCCATCTCTATTTCTCCATCTCTCTACTGTCCCCTGAGCAGCAAACCTCAATCTTCCTGTGCTGTCTGGCACGCTGCAGCATCCTAAGAGTTATGGACTGAGAGTCAGAACCGTCCAACACAGACCGGTCTGTGGAACTGTTCTTCTGAAATATGTATTTTGATTGTGGTTCTGCTTTTTCATCACCAAAAAGGTGAGGATTGAGGGGGAAGATTGATGATGTGATACAATTTTCATCCAGAATCGTGATACCAGAGGAAGATACCACATTTCATTACAACTCAGGATTTATATTATGACTTTGTTTTATTCTAATGACTTTTGCACCAGCCAGATCCTCTCTAGAAACTTCAAACTACCATATTTTCATGAGAGCAGTAAACAGGATCACACTTTACAAACAACTGCTTCTATGAAGTTGGCTGTTATTATCTATGCACAGGATAATACAACCCAACCCAATGAGCAATAGGTGGCTATTAGACGCCTAGTTTTTTTTAGACCTAATTCCAACCTTTAGATTCTGTATATTTTTAGATGGAATTTAGACATTGCGCTTTAACCCATTAAATATGTAGTATAGATATAGCCCAGATTGAGACTTGGGGCTCTATTTTCGTGCCTTGCCGGGGACGTGCCGCAAGCGCGGCGTAAGTCAGGTCCGCTGCACCAACAAGGCGTTCCCAAGCACAATTTGGTATTTTGGTGAGCAGCACAGCCCGGCGTAAGTATCCCCCCTCCCTAACTCAGCTCCTCCCAGCGGCCTAAGTCGTAGTGAGGGAGGAGAGAGGGCGTAGAGTGGGTTTAGCCGAGAACTGTATTGACCAATAACATCAGCTCCTCTCCTCGCCTTTAAATCCGCCACCGCGAGGCGTATTACTATTTTCGTGAAGTAGTCAAAGAGATCAAGAGATGTCTGAAGACAGTAATGCCACACGATGGCGACAGAAGGCAGCCCCTCAACAAGTGTCACTTTAAGCACTGCATTGGGCGTCCTCCACACTCTCTCATATGAGCACAGATGGATTTGGTGTGTGTAATGTTGGACCCACTGGTAAGACAAACACCCTTTTCCACATATAAAGACACTCACATAAAGTTGCACATATTCAAACCTCACGTGACAAAGGTGGGTTGTGCGCACAAATCACAACATAAATTCCAAAAATGGCATTAAAATCGGAACCATCTGTGCGTAATGACACGTCGCGCTCCGTGGCCTGGCTCTTTCTTTCATAGATGTTGGCATATAAAATAAATGTGGCTCACAAAACTGAATATTATAATATTCGTATGTCGGCTTAAAGTAAATAACTCATCTGAGCACTGAAACAAATCATCTGTTCAGCCGCCACAGCAGCAGCTGCAGCAGGACGGAGAGAGGACACGGAGACATGTCCAGGTCGAGCTGCGGCAGAAATAAGAGGGAGAGGAAGAAAGAAAAGGAGGGAGACGAATTACATACCTTGTTAACTTCATCATGTGTGTCTATTTACTAGATATTTAATTTGATTTAGTGCGGTTTCAGCTGTGTTGATTCGGTCAGGTTGTGTGTCCAAACACGTGCCAAACGCGCTCATCAGATCAGATATAGATCAGAATATATCTATATAGATCTAAATGTATGTGCTGACTTAGATTATTAGTTGTTGTTGATTATTTATTGCACTGAAATGTGCCTGACACTGGAAACCTGCTGGTGAGGCATCGGTGACGTATGCCGATACGCAGCCAGTCTACCAAAATACTACTAGACCAGCTGCACTCCGCCTGCACTGAAAGCTGACCAGGTTTGAATCAGCGAGCTTTCAGCGCACTTTACACGCCACTGGCGAGCACGAAAATGTCACTGCGCCCGCTGATTCTGTCGACACCTCCCCCTGCCACGCCACCATGCCCAGCTTGGCAGATCTCGGTGTGCCTTAGTCCATGAAAATACCACTGTGCGGGGTCCGCCACCCTCCGCCTCCTCACCGGCAGACACGGAAATAGAGCCCTTGGTCTAAACTTGGTCTAAAAAAAAGTTTCATTTTTAGACCTGTGGTAGCCTGATTTTAGACCTGTTGTCTAGGCTACATTTAGACGTCTGTTAGACCTCTTTTAGACCAAAAAATGTTCAGTGGGAAGAGCTATACATGTGTGTCTGGTTTGACTGTCAGGTGGACGCATTGTGGCTGTCTGCCAGGAAGCGATATGGCCTCAACTCTTACACAGTTATTAGATTAAATGGAAGTTAGCTGGAGTCAGCATTTCCAATATGGCCACCGCCAAGTTTGGGCTCGCTAATATCTCTTCAAAAGCCATCGCCCTGAGACTAGATCCACGTCTGAAGGCTGCTGGTGCAAGCCCTGCTGTTAGCCACACTCTGCAAAGCAATATTACATGGTTTTGCACACAGACTCTGTGATCCATCATCAAGGCATGGTAGATAAATTCTGCACAAAGTCAACTGGTAACCAAACCACTACTCAAACTAGTCTTGCCAGTTTTTTTCCTAAAGAAGTTCATGATTAGAGACAGTTCTCAGGGATTTGTTCTCTGTTGTTGATAGCACTGATAACAGCCTGTGACCTTTGTCCTCAGATAAAACTCCTATAACTATGACACACAGTCTTCCAACAGAGAACTAGAGTCTGATCCAACAGGTCTTGAGTCTGAATCTCTTTCCCCTTTAGCCTCTGTCTGGTTTTAATGGCTTGTTTTTTATAGACTGATTTAATTCTCTCTTACCGTCTTTTCCTTTCCCTTGTTTGTCTTCTCATTATTCCACTCCCCTTCCCCTCTCTCACTCTTTTCCTGCTCCTTTCTCTCCCCCCCTCTCTTAAACTACTTCAGGCCCCAGTGCTCAGGAGGTCGCACAGCTGCAGGGGCCCTTGTGCAGGATCCGGCCCCTCTTATCCCTGCTTTCTCCTCCTTTTGGTCGTCTGTCTCTCCCAGGATACTCATCCAGGCTCAGACAGAGTGAAAAAAGTCTGGTATGGTTTGATTTCTACTGGCCGAGGGGCTTGAAAATCATCACAATAATACCTTTTCGAGACAGAATTGCGAGTTCAACACTTCAAGGAAGTAATGTTTGAGAAAAGGATGGAATTTCCTGTTTTTTCCTTTCGTCTATTCTTCGTTTCTCAGTTCTCTGATCAGCTGTGCAAGAGGATGTGATTTGTCAGCTGATCTCACCTTTGTGGAATTTAACAAGAATGTGGCTTTGGCTAAACTTGTTCTGCCCCCCTGGCCATCCATTCACCCATCCACCCATCCACACATCCATCGATTCTTGCGATCCACCCCCCCCCCCCCATCCTCCCCCTCCACCATCTCCGCCTCTTTCCCAAAGCAGCGAATAATCCTCTGCACCTGCAAAAGCTCCGCACACTGCAGCCTGCCAAGAGTAGAGCGTGTGACCTTGCCTCCATGACCACAGAGTCTGCAGGAAAAAAAAAAGAGAGAAGAGGAGAGAGGAGGGATGATGAAAGGGTGAGAACGAGGGAGAAAGAGAGAGGAGGACAAAGAGAAAGAGAAAGAGAAAGAGAAGGAGAGAGAGAGAGAGAGAGAGAGAGAAAGAGACTGTATTTAGCGGAGATATCAGACACATTGAAAACACATTGTGAACCTTGGTCCGGTCTGGGGTCCGGGCCCCGCGGGATGGGAACTGGGCTGTTTGGCTATTTTTGTGTTGCCTTTTCTCCCCAGTGATGTCATGCTACTTGTTTCCCAGGAACAGAGACTGGACAAGAGGGAGGCAAAAAGATACACTGCAATGCTCCCACTTTGGTGGGCCGTAGATTTACACATTTGGTCTAGACTTCATCTTGTTCAAGTGCAGTAGGTCAGCGCATTTCCACATATCATTATCGACACGTTATTTTCTTAACCTGTATGTCTATAGCACTCAAAATACCTGTTAAACAGTGTTGTCATTAATACACACTAGGGGTCTCAATCTAAGATTACATAGGGGCCAGATTGTTCCGATATTATGGGGCCACATGGACACCACACTGGGAAAATTAAGAAAAACTTTAAACTGCAACTCAACACTCTGAAGGTGGACTGACCCTGATCCTGTTTTCCCACCAAGTAACTCATAGTTTTGAACTTGAATCTGCATTGTTAACTTTCTGTTCCAATTTTTATTCCTTGAGAACATCAGGAGACAAACAGAAGTGGCATTTGACGACAAGTGAGAAAAAAACCCTTCACGACCAGGTCCTGCTCACCCTGTGGGGTTCCAATCCACCAAAACAATCACTTATAGAATGAACATAATCCTTCTTTTTTCATAATTACTTGCTCCAAAAATCTTTTTTTCTACACAAAATACTAACTGTAAAAGAATTTTACTAATCCAGAAACAATAACATTTCCTCTACTTATCTGCCTACTTATTTAAAGCTTCTACGAGGAGCTTTGTGTTCATTTTGGTGCCCCCTGTGGACAAAGCAGTCTTTGCTTTTTTCAATATTAGGTTAAGAGAAGCTATAACAACAGGTCATGTGCAATTTTTTCATGACAACCACAGAGAAACTATGAGAGGAAAGAAAACCAATGTCTCCAATATCATTTTAGAGCAACTCTGCAGAGTCCATAAAGACAAATGCCTCATGGTGCAACAACTGGGCACGGGTGTGTGATAAAGAATTTGTTTGATTTCATTTATTGTTGTTTCTATGAAAGAGGATTAGAGCCATAGGAAGAGAAAAAAATAATTACAGGAGGGAGATTTTTGAATTTCCATTTCAAGATTAAAGTCTAAATTTAAAAGTCAAAATGAAATGCTTTATGGCTTAAGTTTGTCGTAGCCATCCACGTCCTCGGTATCGGTAATGCCTGCACCTCAGACGCCGGGCTCATCTGTGCTCCACTCCTTCAGGATCAGTCAACTTGATCAGTTGTCTTGTTGTATCTTGTGATACAACATAGCCTCGCTGTATAGCACCCAGGTGTAACCTTCGATATCCCTGCATCATACTCTTCGGCACAGTCTTTTCAGAGTCAGAATACTTATGGCCACACTGTGTTTGTGTGCTAAAAGAGCAAGGACTTCCTTGTTACTAAATCCAATTCCACAGTACAGCTTTATAAACTGACATGTTGTCAAGTGACGAGCGACAATGCTCTTGATTCAGTATCATTAATCTCAACATTATGACTTTATTCATGAAATTTCATCTTTATTTGCGTCGACTTTAATCCCGTAACTTCAACTTTAATCTCGAAATTCCGACTTTATTGACATAATTTCAAATTTTTAATCTTGAAATTTTGATTTCGACTTTAATCTCCTTGTAATTATTTTTTTTTCTCTTCATGTGGCCTAATCCTCTTTTGTATATTTCAGATTGTACAGCAGACCTTTTCTTTTGTCCATTGGAAAAGTAGGACACAATGGCATCTTATTTTGAGAGAAAATTTATCTTGTCTCTATCACTATGCATGAAAGCAAACTACATCTTATTGAATCATCTTTGAATTGAATCACAGCCATTAAAGTTCAAATCAGTTTGGATGGACTTGTTAGGGGAAAGATTTACACTCCCATAAACTTCACAACTTCCTCACAGCAGTAGATCGGAGTCAAAGAGGGCACAGCCTGTGGACATGTAAAAATACATCTGATGCACCCTCTCTGTCTGAACCCCACATGACACAAGACAGTTCTCCAAATGCAACTGGCTACTGAGTGAAACCACCTGATGTTTTTGTTTTAAAAATGAACTCTCTCTCCCCAACTCCCTGTTTCAGCAGGACGGTGAAGAGACTGTCTATACAAGGTTAGTCTTTGTATAAATGCATGTGGACAGCTGTGCTGCCTCAGGCCCTTTAAGGTATGATTACTTCTCAGAGAGAGAGCAATTGAGCAACAGCATGGAGCGATTACTAATATTTTCTTTGTCCAATCCCCCCCTGAGAGCCTAATCTGTTGCATGTTATCTCCCTCTCCTCCTGTCTCGCACACATGTGGACATCATGTAAACCATGTGTGCATCCACGACACATTCAAATACAAACAAGTAAACACACAATGAAAGAGAGAAAGGAGAGGAGCTGGCAGACAGCTTGGCCTCCTCATGTGTATTCCATTAGAGGGTAGATTAAAAAGGAGATTTTGTTTTCCACATCAAAGTCCTCGGCTGGGGGATTCCTTTCTGTTTCTCTCCCTCTCTGCCTCTCTCCATCCCTTCCTCTTTGTTTCATGAATAAATAATAAGGGGCAAAACCTGGGAAAACAAACTTTTTGACCTGTGATCCCTTGTGTCAGGGTCAGAGTTTGCACCTGGGTGACTTCCCACAGGAAGGAGGTGGTAGGATTGTGCGTATGTGTCAGAGCATCGGTTATGTGTTTGTATTAACGTGTGTGCGTGTGTGTTTTTGTGTGTGTAATGGAGGCCCATCTGTTTGAGCATCTTATTGGTTTTATTGGAATATCTGAGTTCCTACCATGCCTGATCAAATTCCTTAGAGTTTTTGTGGCTATTCCTTGGAGCTTAATCATAACCTACGAGTGTTACACCCTCCTGTTTTGTTCATGTTGTTTTTTGAGGTTAGAGCAGACAGGATTAAATGAAAGACTTTTTTCTTGATTGATGTCGGAAAAACAAGTGAATAAAACAACAAAATAAGTTGAAATTAATGTGTGGAAAAAGGGTGAGAATCATTCCCAATGACACTTAAAAAGAAGGTTTTTATGTGATTTACTTACATTTATGTGTAAAATGTGCTAAAACAAGATCATGATGCAGGTTTGTAAAAAGTCAAACTGCAAGTTTTTATAAAGTCTAATATTAGGAAGAGAAGAACTCAACATTGAAAGTTACTACCATTGCATTTGCTTCCAGGAAGTCAGAGACTCTAGACACTGATTGTTTTTTCTGACAGAGTTTCAATTACATTTGCCAAAATCTTTGGTCAGGAACATTTTGTTAGCTCCAGATATCTATCGATTAAGACAAATTCATCATCGTCAGGTAACAGCCAGCAGAAGCAGATTGTGTCCTGCTTGCATTTACTTTCATGCAGTGATTGAAGTGTGACATTTTTTGGTATCCTTTAAATTCACTCCGTGCTTCTCTCTCTGACAGAAATATAAAGATGACCTAAACTAATCCACCCTTACAAAAGAATCTGTCTTCTTCCTCCGATTGGTTTTCTTTCTCTCTTTTCTTGCGTCTGACTCTCTCTCTCCCTGACAGCTGTGTTGGCTCGGTGTGAAACAAAAAGAAGAAAAAAAGCAATAACACAGCATATTACTATCCCACAAAGCAGATGGGAGATCATGCCACACACATGCACTCCCTCAAATTCTCTTATGCTGGCATATTTCAAACTGAAGTGATGTTTATGAAAGTCTCTGAACATCGTGGTGGTCACTCTGGAGGAACGGCAATAAAAAATCTGTTTGGTTGGGAGGGGTAACTTTTTTTTTATCTCCTTTTAAATCAATTAGTCAGCTGGTTTTTGGTTTAGTAACTGAGAGGGACATGTCTTACTGGTTCAAGTTAGGTGCTAAAATGGAAAACGGGGAAGAAAGGAAGGAAAAGAAACGGGATGGGAAGGAGAGGTGAGGACATGAGAGGAGGGACCAGATGAAGAGAAGAGAGAGGAGAGTTAGAGAAGACATGATTTCAGAGGAGAGAAGACAAGAATAAAGAGAGGACACAATAGGAAAGGAGACAAGAGGAGAGGAGAGGAGATGAGGGGTCCAGATTCCAGCCGTTCAGCTCTCCACCAACGGATGTGTCCAGATGGCTCGGAGAGAGAAGGCCTTTGACGGAGGGACAAAGAGACACTTGTGAGAGACAGAATCTAACTCTCACAAATGCATGGACACACTAATATGCATGTGCACACATACATACACACACACACACACACACACACACACAGCTGTGCGGCATGTTGTTCATCGCAGCTCGACCGTTCGCTGCTTGATGGAATGTTTGACCGTCCGCCTCTCGCGCCCATGAGACATGATGTCACTCTGACAAAATGCCGTCTTTTCAAAGAGAAAGATCTACCGCTGTGTTCAGGGACAGACAGTGAGCAGGGAGGAAAAAAAGAGAGATGAGGAGAGACAGAGATATAACTATAGAAGTTATAGAGGAAAGTTTGAAAAGTTAAGACAGATGCACATGACTGCATGTGCTCTCAAAAAGCTGATGTCGGTGTCATGGTGTGGGTCGCAAGGGGGTGGACAGTCCTATTTCTGTTTCCAGCCATCATACAGAGGAAAATAAAATGTCAGCTGGTTGTGAGTGGGACGGAGAAAGGACACAGTCCAGATTTATCAGTGAGAATAAGGAATAAGGAGGAAAGGTAAAAAAAAATGATGCATTATAAAAGGCAGAGGAGAAAATCAACCCGTCAGATGTTTATTAACTGAAAGATCAATAACATACCTTTAAATATTCCCACAGTGGAAACTGCACCAGCGAGAATGGGATCTGAAAAACAAGAACACAGAGTTTTTGTCATCATCAGGATCATGTCTGCATTTGTTTTTGATTTCCTGGAGGTTCGAGTTTCATCTTTAACCTCCAATCCCCTGCACTTGTCATCCCCACCACCTTCCTCTGTTTCCTCCCCCCCTGCCTGACTGCTCCCTTGTTCCTTCTCACTGCTGATGATTAATGAATGAGACCAAGGCTGTGGTCTGGCAGTCCTGAATGGGGAGATGGATTGATGGATGATGGATGGATGGATGGAGCGAACTTGGAAAGAGGAATAAGGCGATGGAGGGAGGGAGGGAGGGTTCTAAAGTGATGGTTGGGCTGTGAGTGTTGCTACTGGAAATGCTCAGTCGCCTCAGGCAGGAAGTTACAAAAGGGGGAAATCAGTGGCAGTGCCAAGGCGAGGGGCAAATGACACAAAGATAGACCACACATACAGACACACACACAGGATTCAGACACACTAACAAGTATCAATGAATGGAAAAAAGAACAAGAAAACACAATTTACATGAAAATGTACATTCCCAGATTAGATTTAGGAGTAGTAAACAGGCACAATCACACACACACACACACATATGAGCACACAACAGTTTGCACTGCAGGAATGACAGGACAGGAAGAAATAGAATAAACAGAAACAAAAGCAAAGAGAAATAAAGTGACACTGCATGGTGTATCCGTCTTTGATCACATAACAGGAGGATCATTCATCCATCAGTGCCGCCTCCCACCCAAACAAACTGGTACAAGCTGACAACATCTGTGCTGAGTCAGCCAGCCTTCACAAACAATGTATTAATTGTGTTTATTAGGCATGTAGAGGTTCATGTATTTGTACAAAACTGTCTCAGTGCAGCATTTTTTAATACAAGCAGAACTAAAGGTAAGTCAAATACCCTCTCATTTAGGCCACTGAGTTTTTATTCTTTTAACAAGTGATCAGTTTTGTGACCTCAAGCTGTTATTGTGTGTGTGTGTGTGTGTGTGTGTGTGTGTGTGTGTGTATGTGTGTGTGTGTGTGTGTGTGTGTGTGTGTGTGTGTGTGTGTGTGTGTGTGTGTGTGAGTAGTGAGAGTATTTTAAAACAGCTGCACTTGCAACTTTTGTACTGAAAGCACATTGGTGGGTATCTCCACTCTTAGTGACTGACATTATATTTTAACTGTCCTGAATAAATCGTTGAAACACTTGCACACACTCAGTACGTTCACATGACACTCGAGAAAACCGAATTATTGCCTTACTCCGATCAAGACTGGACAACTAATGTGCGTGTAAACACCTTAGTCTGACTATAACTGGAGTTTGAGAACTTCGATTGGAGTCGGTGAACTCTGATTAAGACACCCAGAAAATGCAATTGGAATCGATTTTCTCTACCATGTACCCAGCATAGTCAGAGTATGATTGGACAAGACACGCCCCTGTAACCACGGAACAAAAACACCAGAGAAGAGGAGTAGTGTGCAACTCATCTGCAGAAAAAGTAGTGCCTACATCACATACGACAAAAACAACGCTGTATGATGCTCCATCTTCTTGCTTGAAAATGTCCAGCAGCAGTTGTAGCCACTTCTGACGTCTGCTGCTGTTGTTGTTGACAGTTGTATGGGGTCAACCAGAAACAGTGCAGCTGAAAAGACCCAAATGGCCCCCAAGTTTTGGGGAGGAGGACACGTCCACGTCAATAATTTGATTTTCTCAGCTGCATGTATATGTGGTCAAGGAGAGAAGTCCGATTCGGCACAAAAAAAAAAGATTTATGAGCTTAGTCTAATTAAGCTGTGCATGTAAACGCACTGACTGTGCTTTTTATTGTACAAATAGTAATACATTACACTTAGATATGCTATTGTAATGTCACTTTATGCAAAGACAAAGAGTTAAAATTGTTTGTCAATCATCAAGTCCCACCCATTTTACAAAAAGAGGATGTTTTTTTTTTCTCCATTAAAAAAGGAAAATAACAAGAGTTAAACTGTAAAACTGTTAGATGAATTCTGTTTCATCATTTTGATGTTATGATCATGTGTGATACCCACTTCACCACTTTCTTTTTCATGTGTTACCACTAGAACAATTCAGAGCTTGTCCAACAGGTGACTTCTTCTGCCTAGTAAGAAAAAACATCTTTCCTATATCTAGTATGGGTAGAAGCTATGGAAGTACTTAAATCAGAGCAGATAAACCACCTAAATTGTAAAAAAATATATTCTTTATAAAGCAAGACTAAAACACGGAGCTGACAGAAATGTTCCAGTGGAAACTCTCCCCACACATCTGGTGTGTTCAGGCAGACAGAAGCAAAATATCTCAGTTCTGGGAGATGATCAGAAAACTTTATTTGACGTTGGTCTGGTATCCAGCCCTCGGCAGGCGAAGTGTTATGGAGTGAAGAGTGAGTACACCTCTGTTTTCCAACAGTAGAGATGAGAGAGCTTTCAAAAGGAATTACAGTGCACCTGTCCTTTATTACCACCCCAATGAGCTCTGCTTTTTTCTCTCCGGACAAGGAGGAGAAAGAGACAGACAAAGAGAGAGAGAGAGAGAGAGAGAGAGAGAGAGAGAGAGAGAGACAGAGAGAGAGAGAGAGAGGGGAAGGGGTGAGCTGTGTAAGTGTGATCATGTTAAAGCAACTTCGCCTTCATCATATAATATTCTGCATTTGTATGGAGTATTATTATGTGTCATCAGGTTGGAATAAAGCTTTAAAATCTAAATCTGTGATTCAGAAACACTGCAGTGACATTAAAGAGAGAGAGAGAGAGAGAGAGAGAGAGAGAGAGAGAGAGAGAGAGAGAGAAAGGATGGACAGATTGTTCTGAGAATCTGGAAAGACTGATCCACCAGTGATTTATGACTTGATTTGACACCCCTGGTAAGCTGTGCCTGCAGTGTATGTGTGTGTGTGTGTGTGTGTGTGTGTGTGTGTGTGTGTGTGAGTGAGAGAGAGAGAGAGAGAGAGACGCTTGGCATAGATGGATTGTCTTAAAAACCACATGTGGCCTGATTAAAATTGATGTCATTTATAGTTAAAGCAGAGCTGAGGGCATATATGCAATCACACATACACACACACTTGTGAGGCATGTGTGAACCTGAAAAATGTGGCATGTGGCTCAACCAACCTGTGTGTGTTTGTTTATCTGAGTTGTGAAATCAAATAGAACAGGGTGGAGGATTCACCGCTGTGTTACTTTTTTTTCCCACATCTAAAGTGTTTACTCGTCATCTCATGCGATCAATCACAACCGTCTCAAAAGTCTGACCTGACGTCGGTGTAGGGATGGAGGAGACGACAGATGCAGTTCATCTCTCAGCAGGATGAGAAATGAAGACAGGTAGAGAGGGAAAGAGAAGTGGTAATGAAAGAGGGATTAGACGCGTAATCTGTCTCTCCCTCACACTGTGAACCTCCCAATCAAGAAGTCATCCGTAGTCTGCTCACTCTGTATCAAACCCCATCAATGCGTGCAGTGTGTTACCTGCTGTGGAATGAAATCTCACCACAACTGAACTCCTTGAGTCACTGCTCTGACTTGCACTAAAAACACAAGCAAGATTTCTCAAAACAACCTCGGGCCTTTTTGGCTTGAGCTATTGTTTTTGAGGTGAGGTAACCTTGGCGACAAACTTGTGCATCAGCATTGCACCTGATACGCAGAATGTTGCTCATATCCTTACTGTCCCCCTTAGTTTCGAGTGAAGAAAGAAAACCTCAAGATTAGATGCCGAAGGAGGGCGAAACACTTTCTTTTAGCAATCTGTCTCCTCAAGGTTTATCATTCGTGACATGATTCGAAGCTAAACGTGTTTAAACTTCTTCAGCTTTCGTTTTTAAAAGAGTAAAACCACACACGGCACACCAGCAGAGTAACTAACTCTTTCCACAAAGTCACTGATATTATCTATATTATCTGCACTGATACAGGATCAGACTGTGGGAGGTGAGACGTTTAATTTTCCTCAGGCAAAACAGCTAATCTCACCATATCAGAGCTCTGAAAGAAGCAATTTTGAAGAATTGTGTGTTACAGTTATTATTCAAATTTGAGACGCTCATTGTGCAGGTGCATTGTTTCTCACAGTCAAAGGGTCTAAACAAAGGATCAGCTAATAACTGACAAACTACAATATAACATCCAATTCTAGTGTATTTTGTTGTTGGCATCAATACACCACACATAGACAAAATATCCCATGTGTCTGACAAGAGTACATAAAACAAGTATGAAAATATGTTCAAAATCTGCAGAATACAATTATTAATGCTTTGCCGCAAATGCGGATTTTTTTTAATTAATATAAAGCTTTTTTTTCCAGTCGATCTGACTCACTGCTTAAGTATTTTCTTTTCATGGCAATGTGACTGAAGGTGCTGCATGAACAGCAGCTTATAAGTTGTGAGTGGTGAGAAGAAGAGCTCGAAGATGCACTAGCCACTCGCAAAACCAAGAAATAAAAGAAAAAGTTGTTCTTGCTCTTTAAACTGACACAAGAGAAAATGTGGAGGATGCACTCCAGTCTGAGTGTCACTCACCTGTAATGGGTGGACTTCATGGGCCATGGGGTACTTTATAATAACTACTGCCATTTTTTTTTGACAAAACAGGTGAAAATGCATTCATATGAGTCACAAAACAGCATGATGTACAAAACTTACATAAGGCCTAGAAAACAGAAGTTTTACTGATGGCTACTGAAGGATGGAGACCAGTGTTGAAGACCCAGGAGCAGTAATGACTGTACTGACGCTCAGAATGGGAACAGGTATCCATGACCAAGGCAAAGCCCTGAGGCATTATTGTGTATGTAGGGGCGTGTTCTTAACTTGATCATTTCTCTATTATTTAGGGGCCAGTGCCGGGGTGTGTTTACTGTAAAGTTTATAGCATCTCTATTGTGTAGGGGCCAGTTCTTCTGTGTATTTCCCTGTTGCCCTAATACGGATTTTGATTGAGTCAATCAAATTGCTTTCAGAGCAGTCCCTAATTAGTGAATTGGTCTAAGCTGTGGGCCTGGCCTGAGGCTCACAGGTTGCCACAGCAACTTGAGCTGGCTGCCCTTGACAATAAACACACTGCAGGCTGAGGTGGTCAAAATGAGTGATTGTCTGCCTTGACACTGGTCTCACGTTTGGGCTTATTCTGACAAAAAGGTAGCTCCTTTCAGAAAAAAATCAGACTTTCGTCAACGTTAAAACTTCCTGAATGCTTTGATATGATTTTGGTGTTTCTACAGTGAATAGTTTGGACATACTTGTGAGTTATAAACAGGAGTCCTTTCTGTTTCTCTCAGAAAATCTTTGTATTAGCGCCAATGAGGAGCAGAGGGAGAGACATTGCCGCACTTAGAGGTTCAGTGTTTAAAATTGTATAAGTCTCTCTGCTTAGATGAACACATAGTTAGAGAGAGAACAAGTATGTCTAAAATTTTGGATAAAAAAACGTGCGTGTAGAGTGTAATTTCTGGCTGTAAAGAGCATCGAAAGAGAAAAGTTTCAGACAATCTCATGCAACTTCTCTCACTCTAGCCGATTATGTCACCCACTCTGTCATGAAGATTTCACACACTAAACACCCATTATAACCTCAAAATTTCCCTAAAATGATCATGGACATTGAATAATGTGTAATTCAAAAACTACAATACCTATCAAAATGTGGATTAATACATCAATAGACAAGACTTGTATCTACATTTTTATGTTAAAATGGAGTCTCTACAGGAAAGTATGCCAGCATAGTAGATGTCTGAACAACTCCAAAAACTGTGTTTTTTTTCTTTTTTTTTACTTGTCCCATTGACTACAATACAAAATTTCTCCATAGGTTTTCGCGAAAATCTTGGTATACAATAGAGAAAAGTAATAACACACCGATCCTGATCAAAACGTACATTTTGATATAAACTTTGTCCAAACTCTTAAAGCTGTAGGACTAATAGCAAATTAAACTTTGTCAGGAAGATGAGTACAAAAAAATCCACAGTATAACAATACTGCCATACAAATAGATAAATGGGCAAAAAGAGGCCTTGCTGCAAACCGGATGGGACTGGATGGACTGCATACATGACCTTGACTTGGTGTTATGATTTTATTAAAAGGGCAGTGGGTTTCAATACAGTACTTTTTGGCGATTAAAACATTAAGGCAGTGAGTGAAAAAAGAGCTAACTGCCTCTTTTCTTTCAATAAAGAATATTCCATAATGCACACGTTGGTGTGGGACACAGTGAGGGATCGTATGACTGTAAATGATTGCCGGTGCTGATCTTAAAGTGAAAAGGGGGTATTTTCTCCAAGATGTAGGCCAGTGAGCGATGGTTCTGATATTCTTGCATTTCAAAGAGGTCTGCCACAAGTGTGAAGGGCACATTAAGACCTGAGCCATGTCGTGGTAGTCTAGAACATAGCTCAGCATAAAGTCCAAGTTGTGCTATAAAGACAACCAGGCAGCATATAATGTCCCACAGTGCCTCTTGGTGCTGACTGATGACTCTGCCTCAAACCCCTGCCTTGTATCATGCCTCAACTAGCATGGCCTGTTCAGCTCACTGAAGCCAAGCCATTTGTGTGGGGGTGTTTCTCATTATTGAAAACCTACAAGAGAGAGGACTCTATAAATCAAAGTAGAGACAATAGAAAAGAGTTATCCGTCATCAATAAAGGGGCATAACCCGATCAGAATTCGTCACCTTTTTCGCTTGTTTGGCACCCTGTTTTTTGATCTTGTTGTACAGTATCATTTCACACAGACTAAATATATAGCTGTTAGTAAAATGATCAGTTAGCAGAGGAAAACACTACCCTGAGGGCAGAGCAGCAGTACTGTTTATGTCCATTGAGAGCGGCTGAGGTTTTATCCCGCCTGCCAAGAACTTTACTAGCTCACTCAACTCCAGCTTGAGCAAATCAGTGCACTTCAACGGCCACACGAGCAGTGACCGAATCGTTACAATAACCAGGGAGAAAAACACACGAAGGGCATTTAACACATTTTTGTGGTCTCCAAACATGAGCTGTCATATGACATAAAACTGGCAAAAGCAGACACAGGGTCATAACACTCGCATACACACACTCAAATAACAATAACAAGAAGAATCAAGTAATGGAATATAGAGATTTACAAGTGCAAGATTTAACATGATGAATTAGCTCAGTCTGGACAGACATGTAGCTCCACTGATTAGGCTCAATTTTTCCATCACTTTGGTCCAGACAGACATGACAACACTTTTTTGATGGATTGGGATGAAATTTTGTGCAAACATTTTAAGTATCCAGACGATGAATCAAAATGATTTCGGTGATCCCTTCACTTCTGGCCAAACATCTACCACACGCTTCAATATTAGCTCACAGTAAAATGTCATGGAAACTATTGGTGGGATCACCAGCAGCAGTCATTTTTCATGCAAAACTCACAATCACTGGTTCATCTTTTAAAGGCTCGACTTTCACGCAGATTAAGATTTTGGAAATCTGGTCAGACAAGGTAAGCTTTTTAATCTGTAAATCTGAAGAATGTGATGGGTGTTTCGCTATTATTGCTGGAATTTTATGCTCATAATGATTCACTGATAAAGAACGTATTTGTATAATGAAGCCCTTCATTTGTGCCTGACCTCTTTCATCGAGTATAAGACACAAACTGAGCAACAGAACTTCTGCCACATCAATCTTGGAGCCTGACAGCTTTAGCTACAAGCTTTACTTACAAACTACACTCACACAGAGGACACACTGAAACAAAACTAATCGTACTTTATTACGTTTTTTTTTTACAGGAAAGCTGGATGCAAACTGTATCCTACTGTACTGCAGATTTGCAGCTTTGCTAATAAACATTAACACTTCCTGTTATTTTGATAACAATAGTCTGAGTTCATCTCAAACTTTAGCAATGGACATCCTTCATGCTCAGAGATTTCCCTTTTTCCACTAAGCAGCTTATTACCCCTAAGAAGTGCTCTTTTACATGGGTCAACCCTTTTGGTCAGAAAATCCTAGAAAATGTAAAAAGTTTTTAGGATGGGATTGTGTTCCACCTGCTTTTGCTCTCCATGTGGACTGTCAGAAGCTTATGGTGTATTATTTGCTACTGTCTCCACACACCAAGCGAGAGTAAAATTATTCACGAATGAATTACATGTTAATTTAATGCAAAGACCCGATTAGACGCTCCTACAACTCTGGTGGCATAAATGACGTAAATTGGGTGGGAGTTGAAAATGTCTCAGCTTGAGCTGATATTCACGTCATTATAACCAATCAGCACGATTGGTTGCCAGGTGACGTATGAAAACAGACGGTTGTTCATTGGTATCCAAACGGAGGACAAACTGATTGAGTCAGTGTGTGGGAATTATATGATACCTTTTCTTTCAATTACCGAAACTGGAATAAAAAGGAGGTCGTCTGGAGGCAAGTGAGTGAGGAGGTCGGATTACCTGGTAAATTGTTAAAAACCTTTATCACTTGATCCTGCTGGTTGAAGTAGCAGGGATGACCGTTGATATTAGCATAAATGGTAATGATGCCTGATGAAGCGTGTAAATATTATTCATTCATGCGTCTGGATTCACACAAATTAAGCGAGTAGATGATTTTACTCTCGCTTGGTGTGAGCGCCCCATCAGTCCTTCTTCAACTACTGTAAGAAAAACTGTCCACTGAGATCGCTCAACAATTAACCTTTTTCTCACAGGACAAAAACTTGGCTGGCATGATTCCTTAAATATCTGTTCAAAGAATCAGCTGGAATTTTCTGTCTGGTTTTGCTGTCTACCTTTGAGTTTCCTGTCCTGAAATCCAACTGGCTGTCCTCACTTTATCTTCAATACCACTGTTCACATTGAACCTTTATTTAGCAATCCATGCTTCTAAATCCAGTGGCTGTTCACCTCTTCTGATTTGTTGTGCTTTTCTGCTGCACTTCCAAGTGATTGGGGACACAGCTATGTGACATGCTCACTATGCATTTTCTTTTTCATAAACACCATGCAACAATATGGTTTTGCAACTTGGCTATGAAGTGAAAATTGTGCTCCAGAAGCTCAGCAGAATCTGGTCCCAAAGCCCACAAACATGTGTGTCATCCAGCTGGTCTCCAGGGACAGATTCCTCTGCTGGGAAACACATGAGCAGCTCTCACACAGACCTGCTGTCCTGCCTCTGCATTTTTCTATGGATATCTTGGCATGCTTGAACGTATTTGTGCTGCTGCAGCCCGTCTACGTGTCTGAAAGTGGCATTTTGTTCTGCAGGCTGACATATTTAGTCAGTGATGGAAGGTGACAGTGCCACTTGTTGTGACTGTCAGGTCCTATATTACAGGAATATGGAGATTGCGTCTGCTGTGTCACTCTGCTGACAGTACTCCAGTGTGTATGTATTTGAGCGTCTGTACGCGTCCTTGCCAGCTGTATTAGAGCTAACTTTATTAGTATTCAGAGAGGCTCCGGCCTGTCACAGGTCCTTAGGCACTCAGCGGAGGGCAGGAAAAACACATGTCAAAATATATTCACATTGAGCCTGATTGCAGGCAAGCCAGTTGGCTGCAATTTGACAAATGACTTTTAATAGGTCATACTGCAGCTTCTGCATACAAATGAGCATTTAAGAGGGGAGCGAAAGAGTTAGGAAGATGGATATTGAAACAGAGAGACAAGCAGACAAATATACGAATGGCCAAAACCAACAGATGAGACATTATTCATCCTTTCCAACAGATTAATTTCCAAAACGTACCTCATTCCTAGAAGTCTCTGCTTTAAAATATTTACCTGCTGCTACTGGGAGATGACTCTCCAAAACCAACTCTACTGGAAACCACAAATCATATGCTTTCCAACTGAACGTTGAAATTAATCTGAGCATGGCTGACATCTAATATAATGTGCCATTTCAATAATATAAAGCCAGTTTGCACAATCTACATAACATTAACAGTGCCCAAGAGACATTTATATCACGTCTACCAAAAAAAAAAAAAAAAACTGAGGAGCAATTGTTTAACCATCTTTTACCACTTCAAAAAACTAAGTTCAAACAAAACTTCTGCTCAACACTTGGTTACCAGAGCGCTCTCGTTGGTGAATTTACCTAACCTTGAGACAAACTGAAAAGCTGGATAGGTGGGGGTGGGATTCAGACTGAAAGCAGCCACTGTAGGCCTGCATTGGTACAGACGTGTTGTTTAGGGTACCTTGGAGAATCACGATCCAGGGAGTCCAGCTGGAAGAACAGATTTAGGAGTTACCTGAGGTTATGCAAAAAGTGAAGTCAGATACAACTACGGCGCTGTAGTCCTTTGCAGCAGCACCTCTGATGTGCCAAAAGGCTGACTTCATACGATTAAACAAGAAGGGCAGCAATATTTATCACAGGGTCCAAACTTAGAGTGTAAAGCTACTCCAGTGACTTTCAGATTTGTAAAGAGTACAGAGCTCTGAAAGCTGAGCAAACACTAAGGGCTGAACAACTTTGTATTTAGGCCTGGTGATGTTCTGGATTTAAAGTTAAGAGATTATCCAAGTTTCTTCTTTGTCTCTTTTGTAACATTTCTGGACTGAATTTAACGGCAATCCATCCAAAATTTTGTTTTGACATCTCATTCAAACCAGAAAAAGCAAAGAAACCTGATGGTGGCGTAAGAACAACTGCCAGAGGACCATCTCCAGGCATGACAATTCATCATCTGGGCACCATGGATATCTGTATCCAATTCCTACCCATCAGCAGTTGTTAAGATATCTAAGTCTGGAACAAAATAGTACACCAGCCAATTGTTGAGAATAAGGTTTCATTTTCACAAAATTGAGTCACAAAGCAGCACACTGGTTTCAAAGTTAAGACTTTATTCTTCGTCTATTCTTTATGTGAAGCTGAAGAGCATGTAACTTTGAACAAGTACAGCAAGGTCTCCGTGCAACCTGATAGTTCACATTGCAATCCTGCTGATCACTTTCATCTCGCTCTAAATGCCAGTCCAAGTGAATCACTTCTGTACCAACTTGCAAAGACACATTCTTACTGAAAACATCGTAGTCGAAAATTGCATTATGTGGGGTTAAGGATTTTCACACACGTAAAAACATATTTTATTGTCATTATAATTACAAGCCAGACACCCTCCCAGATTTTACTGCTACAGTATATTATGAAATCCCAGACACAAATAACAGTTTTCTGAAAACCACTACTCATGACACTGTGGTGCAAGCTTGACACCAACAGTTACGCACTTGCGAGTCATTCTGCTCTGTTCTCGCCACCAGATGTGGAGCGAATAAGCAAAAGAGCGAATGATTCATGAGCCAAAGAAGTCTGCTGGATCCTCGCTTAGTATTTGATACCAAGTGACCCTGCCAAATCCATTTGGCAAAACCTCCAAAACTCTGGATTTGGAATTTACCAAATGTACCATTTCAAATAAGACCATGTGTATTCTCTCTTAAATTCAATTAATATCCAAAATAAAATAAACAATAGCTCCTTTCTGTTGTTAAAGTAGTCATGTTAAACTGATGAGTCACAAAAGAGCTCAAGTCAAGCCCAGAGAAACTGTTTCACCGTCCATTTAACTTTAACTGTATTTCAAACTTTCAGTCTCAGCATTTCCTGTACAGTCTGATACTCTGTTTTACAGGTAAACTGAATCCAATGGAAATGAACACTGTCTTACATATGCTTCAAAAATCCAGACAAATGAAAATATAACATTTTATTTTTTTACAATAAAAAGGTGAAGAGCTAAAGAAAGGAGGAGAGAAGCTTTAAGAGAAAGCAGATGGGAGTCAGATGGTAAAACGATCAAGTGCAGCTTTATTCAAAGTGAGGAATCACTATGGAGCATGTGAAGAAAAAAAGACACTCATACATACACACACACTTAAAAAAAGTGGAGCAAAGCCCTGAGTCTAAGTCCACATTTATTACCTGCTAATGCAACAGGGCTGCAAGCTGGATTCGCTCGCCAAAGTCATACGCACACACAAACATCTAGACACACCCACATTCCATCTGCTGTGTGTCAAGACGGTATGATGAGGAATTGACTGTGGTGACACACTGATAACAAACAGACAGAGATCAGATTTTAATATGTTGAAAGTTGATGAAGTCATTAATCACCGCAGAGAGGCAGGTGGTGTTAGACACCTCCAAACGTTACTGTGCCAAAAGTTAGAAAGGCACAGAGCGGGAAGAAGACAGACCTGTTTGGCTGTCAGCTAGAGGACAATCTAGATGTCTTTATAGAGGCAAAACACACAGACGAGAGCATTAGCAGACAAACAAACTAAAACAGCCACCGAAAACTGCACAGGTTATTGCAGTTAAATCAATAAAACATCTTTTAAAGAATATTTTTAGAAGTTACAACATTATAAGAAAAATACTTACATCATAATGAATGTTTACGATCTTATAAGAAACAGATCAAAAATCTAACAGACAACTGAAACCCTTGGGGCCTATTTCCACTGACGGCTTCTCTTGCATTGACAGGACTAAAGACTTGCATGTTCGAGTGCTTACTGTTGTTAGGTTGTGTAAGTGCTCTCATGGCACTTTCCTCGATAGTGGCCTTGAGAGGTGTTTCCAGAATGTTGCTTCATATCGGCTTTTTACTCAAAAAAGACTTTAAAAAGAAAATGTACAAACAATGGAAAGAAATCATATCTTTGCTTTACCAGCAAAAGCACCTGGAAGATGAGTCTGGTAAGTTTCCACTACTACTAAAGACCCACTCTGATGAAAATCATTGCTGTCTACATGTTCATATGGCATTTTTCTGTTTCTAGAGGACATATCAGAAAAATAAGTGCGAGATTGCTTGTAAAAAAGCTAATTATGATATTAACTTTCATCCTGCCCCTAAAGACATTTGTGTCCAAGAGCTAAATAGGTCCTATGTTACTTCTTTCTTCTAGTACACCGGCAATGTTAGACTCGAGGAGGAGGTCCAGAGCAGCGCTGTCCCCGCCCATGGTGTGGGACTTTAACAAAGTTGATATTATTAGTCCTGTCCCATCTTGGTTTCAATCGGACACTGACAAGTGAAGTGGTGCCCCAAAAGCTGAATCCTTTTTGACTGAGGGTCAAAGAGGGACTGAAGAGTTCAGAGACAAAAATCACATCTGGTGTGGAAGGACACGTTGATCTCAGGACACGAAGCATCCAAAACACTTAACTACATTTGTTTTACATAGAAAACAGATCCTTCTGTTTTCTAATTTGTTAGTGGACACAGGCCCTGATCACTGATGGGGTAAAGATGTTACAAAATAACACATTAATGTGATGGGATAACAGTTGTCTGTAACAAAGTCATGTAATGTATTACTGTTGTTAACAAATTTCATGACCATTACCAGTTTTAAATGAACAAGATCATTGTCTTGTTAATTAAAAATAAAACAAATGATCAAAATAAATAAATAAAATAAACAATTATTTTATTTTGTTTACATTTTATTTCATCTGATTGTTTACCCTATTATTTTCCTTATTCATGTGTTTGTTGAATGTATTCTGTACTGTTTACATGTTGTTATGGGATTCATAGAACTGCTCACCTTTGAGTGGAGTGCGATTTTGGGATAGAATGGACGTTTTCTCTGTCACGTTGTACTGACATGTTGCTGTCTGTGGTATTGCTTCCAATAAATAAAGTCATAAAAAATAAATAAATAAAAGCGTTTTATTTACCTCTTAAAGCTCCAATAAGGATTTTTTTGACATTTATAAAATAGACTGAAATTTGTACTGGTGCTTTTTCGTGAAATTCAAAAGTCAACAAAACCATCAGTAACAGGGTGAATGATTCTTATATTGTTACTTTAAACACCTGTAACCAGAGCGAGCGGGTAGCTGGTGGCTAAAGTCACTGCTCAAACATGAAGAAGACATGACAAGCAAAGACTACTTTGTCCACAGGGGGTGCCAAAATTCTCACAAATCAGGAGCTTTAATTCAGAAAGATGATAATCTTATAAAATTCAGAAAAATGGCAAAAAAAAAATATTATTTAGAAAACAGCATAATCTTTTTAAACATAACATTTTCTCATGACTGAGTATATAATCTTGAAAATTAGTTTTTTTTACAGAATAAAAAGTTCAACAGAAAATAGTTTGATAAAAAGTAGTTTGAAAAAATATTTCTCTAACTGTTTTTGTTACCGATTAACCTTCTTAAAAACCATTTCTCACAGCCAATTATATAATGAGGTGATCATACCACAACAGTGCAGTTCTGTTTTAACTTGACTGTGGATAACAAAGTCTTATCATACAACCGCAAGATGACATCTTTATTCCTTTTTTGACCATCATCCTGGCTTCATCCTGGTTTATAATATTTCCCAATTAGACACAAGACACAACGAGCCCAGTGCACACACATAAGCTAATATCACACCTCCGATGACGACACACATTACACCCAGCAGTGACGCAGCAAAAACCCCTGGCTAAACATAGAAGCTCAGTCAAGTAAGAAAGACAGTGTGTGAGTGTATGTGTGGCACATAAGTACCCCTCAGGGACAGAGGGGTTCAGGGCCTTTTAAATAAATAAACAAACACATAAATAAAGTCAATCGATAGAGGGAGCCTGATCCGGCACTGTGGGCCTGTGTTTGGCCTCTCACTTCATAAGAGAGGCTTGAAGGAGAGATGGGGGGAGAAAAGGAGGGAGGGATGGGGAACCTGAGAGTGCCATGGAGAGGGGGAGAGGGAGAGAGACAGAGAGAGAGAGAGAAAGAGAGAGAGAGGGAGAGAGGAGCTTGGATTACTTCTCTCTTGGTGGTTGTATAGTGCTGGTTAGTGGAAGTCAAGGCCTGCTCTCCCAATAACAGAAAACAGACCCCTGTATGCTGTCTCAATCCAAGTGCGCACACACACACACACACACACACACACACACACACACACACACACACACACACACACTTGTCTCTACTCTCCCTGAGGCACCCTCCACACAAATCATATGCCTATCCAAACCTAAACCTGTTACACGTAGAGAACACAGCTCCCCATGTGCACCCTGCATTTCCTCTAAACCTAAATTTGTCACAGATTAAGAGGGGTTGGAGGCCAGGCCATGCAGTTGTGCGCATCCTGCAGCCCGAATGTGTATCCCTTTAAGGTATATACTGTGGAACAAGGAGTGTTCTGCCTCGAGCGACTAGCAATCACTCATCCCAACCTTTCCCGCTCCTCCGCGCTGTAACAACTAGAACAAGAGTGAGTGCACTTGCTGAAGAATTCCATCTGACAGTTTTGAATGCCAAGGGCAGTGCAGCGTGTGCGTGTGTGTGTGTGTTTAAACAAGCCAAACTCAGGAGAGGTTTGAGCACCGACACATCTACAACGAGCAAATCAAATCGCAGATGGTCCCAGTTCCTATAAGCCTCCTCAGCCTCTGTGAATGTCTGTACAAGGCAGTAATATTCCCAACAAATTAAGACTTGTTCAGGGTTAGAGGGGGAGGGAGAAGGAGCGAAGGAAAGGAGGGAGGGGAAGAGGTGCTGGGGGAGAAACAGTGTGCTGGCAAAGATTCAAGACAGCAATTCCATCGACATGAGAGAAATACTTCCCAGAAACTCAGAATAATATTTATGTTGTGCTGGTGATTTTTTTCTTCCTCCCACCTGTGTGCAGCTTGTTGCTCCAAAATGGACACCTGATACAGCAGAACAGGCAAAGGCATAAAGGGAAAGATGGAAACTTCTTTATTAACAAACACGCAAGGCTGCCAGAAACCAATAACGAACTGCAATACAGCATCCTATACAATGTAATGCAAAGCAGGAGAATTCATATGGGGTATAAATATCATTACTGACTCTTTTCTGGAAGAGCCCCATGAGTACGTGTTCTGAATATTTGATTTTGGCAGACAAACATCCCAACAGCTAAGAAAATATTCTGTTTTTAGTACATATTTCACCGGTCGTTTCAGACTTATTCTTTCAGTGGGTTGAAAACACGACAGTTTGGATCTGTCACGGCCCCCTAACAGATGACATCAGTGGCAGAGTGCATATTGGCCAATGAATGGTGGTGTGGTGTGACACAGGATGCCCTGAGGGCCAACCAATTAGCTGCTGACAGGAAGAGAGATGTATGGCCGCCTGAGGATCTAGCTGGGGCTACAAGTCAGACGTGGGAGAGTGTACAGAGAGAAAATGTGTTGGTGCTCTGTGCATGAGAGAGGTTGATGGGGCAGAGTTGGATCAGCTGCACAGCTGGTTGAGAAGTGTCAGACGACTAAACAGAACATTTCTTACATGCAAATAATCACTGAACTCATAAGAATGTTTGGTATTTTTAACTTGAGTCAAGCCTGAAGAAACTAAAATTATTCATCATTGTTTTTTTTTTTTAATTGAAGCTGTATTATAGTTCACCCAAATCAAGCACTGGCCTAAATCGAGGTGGCGGATACTAAGGAGTATCCTGGTCAATGCACTTATTTTCAGGTGTATGCACTATAACCAATAAGTCCCTCATGATGATTAACTGGTTTAAGGTATGTTCACACTACCTGAGATGATGAATAGTGATAAGCGGTTATGAGAAAAGGAAAAAAAGACTTAGAGAAGAACTACAAATACAAACACAGGCAAACATAAAAAAGGAAATATATAAAATAAGATGCAAAAACCATTGTGTTTATGTGTCTAACTAACTGAATCCCACCCCTTCTCCATTATTAAATAATAATTACTCATCTAGTCTGCTTCCTCTTGGGTTCACCTACAAATATGTATATTCTCTATTCAAAGACCTCAATTTTTTATTACTTAGTACAGTTACTATACTTACTATCTTAGTGTACTTACTATTTTTACGGATCTGTAAATAATTATTTACACATTAATTTACTACTTATACTACGAAATAAATAAAGTTTACTATATACATCAATCCTACTACTTGGCGCTTACTGATGCCCTTCTTCACCCCTGTATTTATTGAATATTACAATTTTGTACTTCCTTTAGAGGGTCCTATGCTTGTGTTCTGCTGCAGCTCCTAAGTTAGACTAAAGTGGAAAAACTTCAGATGGTGGTGCACACAGCCAGGACTTTCAAGTTAAACTTTCCTCTCCAGTTATAACTCCCTTGTTGTTCCCTGAGCAGTTTTTGAATACTGCCAGTAAATATGAGTGAGGTAACTGTAACAACTTCTGCTATTATCCTTACCACTTATTGTCTTAACGATCATTGAGATGTACTCATCAGCTATGTTGACATTGCCTGGGTGACAGGAAAGAAACCGTTTTGCCACTGTGTCAACAGGCAGAGGTCAACAGTGTAAGGCTCCTCTTCATGAACTGATCTGTTATGTTGTGTGATCCTGCTGTATATGACCTTACTTTAGTTGTTATGAGGTTTTGACCAATCAAAATCAAGTATATAACACAGTCAGGTAATAATTACAAAAAGGTTTGAAACTGGTTTCAGTGAGGCAATAAAGAATGAAATAAAGATATGCTTTTTGAACTTTTGGGAGATGGTTTGTCAATGAAAGTAAATTCCCAACGTTCTCGATGTTGGCTGACTTCCTCTGATGACACAACCGCCCTTATCCAAATGATGCAAACAATGAATTTCAGAGGGGATTATTTGTAATAGCATTCTGTAGTTAAGGCCAGGGCAATTTTGCTGCTGAATGTGTGAAAGAGCACCATTTTAATCAACCTTTTCAAACAAACAAACGGAAAAGAACAACAAGAGAAATATGGTTATTTATACAAACTACAGACACAAAGGAAAAACCATGAAAACCTTGACTGGCGGCAAAATCAACAACAGTGCTTAACTGAACAATAAAAAGTCACACAGCCAGCAGCAGACAAGCAAATTCAGCCAAAACAGAGCATATTGCTTTAATCAACCAAACCAACATATAATGAGGTAGTTGACTTTAAAAAGGCTGCATATTTCTGTCACAATTTATTACAGACAACGGCACAAAATAAGTCTAAGTTTTATCCCACCAAAGCAGGACACAGATTTCTTCAATGATACAAGAGCACTTGACTGTAATCTTGCCAGTGTGTGACCAAACATGTCTTTATACCACCAACATTGTAAACATGTGTGGATTCTTAAGCAAATGCATGCTTCAAGTGGTCCAGTAACTGGGCTTTACCATGCCAGTGCAGCAAACAGATTGGTACAGGGGATATCTCTACCATAGTACACGCACATGCAGGCATGAAGACATTCATGGCAAAGATGCAGACAACAACACACACACACTGACATGAAAACACACTGTGTTCTCTGGGAGTATTGCCACTGTAATAAAAGACAGATCAGAGCCACTCCAGCTAACCAATCACAGCCTGACGGCAAACTGAAAGTTTCTTTCCTTTTTTCTCACAGACACAAACACATCTTATCAGCCGGTAATCAGATAGGAACAGCTGAAAGTAACAGAAAGTACAAACAGACAGTTAAACAAGTGTTATAAACATGCACACACACACACACGGATGAGTCAGACAAATAAAACCGTGCATGGACTTTCTGTATCAGGACTGAGGAACAGGCGGCACAACACAGTGCTGATTGGCTTTTATCTAACCCCTAGCCTCCACAGATTTAAAAATGTAGGAGCCTTGCTAACAATTGAACTTTTTGCCCTTTATTTTCCCTTTATGGACAGAATTTGACACAATATTGTGTTACATTATATAACAATTGGTCAATGGTTTGGGTTTAAGTTTTAATAGGTGGAACTCTGACCTGCTTCTGTAGCCATTATAGAGAAAACTACTGTATATCTGAGCTAAGTTTCTGAGCAGTCCATTCCAAGTTTGCAAAGTCCTTTACCCTAAATCTGTCAAGGACATGGTCAGGGACTTATGTATTTAGATTTGAGTCTGAACAACCAGGAAACTGGTTATTCTGGAAAACCATTAGACATAGTGATTGTCCAGTAGAGGTCAGGGAAAAACAGCAATATCAGGATTCATGTCCTGGAAACAATAAACCCAAATATTTAAAGGTGGGGTCGGCAGGATCTGAGGAAGTGCCAGTTTTGGGGAGAAATCTTGAATGTAAACACTACCCCTCCCAACCAATCTTCCCCTCTGCTCCTCCTCTCCCCTCCCTCTCTGCTCCAGCAAGCCCCGCCCACAAACAGATGCTCCCGCTCGCTCGTATCGTTTCAATTAAATTCAGATATAATGCAGATAAATACTTCAGATAATTACAAATGGGGCCCAGTCAACGTGAAAGTAAAAAGCATTGGTGCTACTGTACTTCTACAACTAGGATAAAGTGACATACTCCAGGACCGGAGGTAAACAGTTTAGTGGCGCCACAACACGCAGCAGGTCCCGTTTGAAATGAAACACTTCTGTTACAGACACTTGGTTCACTTTGTTCAAGCGGTTTACCTGTCCAGCAGAAAGGTTACATGTCCATAAGATCCCGAAGCCTCCCCCATCGTTTAATCATTGATGTTGACCCGGCTTTTTAGCTCTTGTCCGGTCTACCTCCTTTTTAAGCACCTGTTATTCGGCCAGAGTCTCCGATATTTACTTTGTTTTGTTGCTTGTGTTGGCGGTCGTGGCCAAAGGAGGATTCAGACAATTTCCCGTACTTTCTGGTTGGTTTCTACTGTCCGATATTGTAGCACACTAGCTTTGTTTGAGCTCGTGAACGACACAAGTGAGCACTGTCTGCCTAACAACCAATCAGGTTGGGGGAGGCAGAGAATGGCTTTGTTTACAGTCAGAATGAGCGGGCCACTCAAAAATATTAAAATGTTGACTACACAGACAGAACACAGCGATATCGTTATATTACCAAATGTCATCAATAACTAATAGCTATTGACTGATATTAAAAGCTTTTTTATATATACACCACAACCTTTTGTCATTTTACCAAATTACAGTTTTAAGTCTAGACCAACAAATAACCATCAAACCAACAGTTCCACCACTTGAGTCCTACTTTATCGGGATTAAGGAGTTTGTAGATATTGTAAGTCCAGGAAACAACAAGTTAATTTAACGACAGTTTAAGAGAAGTCATGTTGGATCAGTGACAAGTGTGTAGTCTTCCTGCTGCCTGCTTCAGGTAGGATGACAAAACCTCAATGAATTAGCTGACAGACAATGTCATAACACCAAGTGACTCTTCTGAGGAAGACTGCAGGAAGTTTGCGGTTGAAATATGTCAAGGTAAAAAAAATAAATAACACTGGCCTAGATATGAGAAATAATAATGTATTACATAGTCGGATCGGATTCACATTTTTGGATATGAAATCTAACGCTTGAATTAAGTGTTAACAAAACAACACTAGGCAATATCTGGATCACATAGCTTATAGCCTTGGGCTGTTGTGGATTTAGATGAGTGTTGAATTATGAATTGGTTTGAACTCCTCACCTCTGCCGGGGTTGTATGAGGTGAATGCTTTTGGTGCAAGTGACACCTTATATTACTTTTTCCATTAGACATAAAGCAGTGACATCACAGCTTGACCCTTGACTTTCAGGTGGTTTGTTCCAGATGCTTTTAGTCGTAAGCACTTCTGCTAGCGAGATGATGGTTTTGGCTGAGGAAACGGGTGGGGGGAGTGGGGCATATGGCTGGAAGGGTGGAGGCAGGTGCTGCTTCTGGAGAGTCTCACATGACTGTCTGAGGGGGAAAAAGGGCACTTATGCAACACAACACCTTAGAAATTTCAGCACTGCCTTTCCAATTGTTGAGATTGAAAAATGCAACTACTTGTGTGAGCTTTAAGCGATTTACATTCCAAAAGCTTTTTGAATTCACAAGCGGTCACGTGTTTCATGTAATTGAACGTTACTGTAAATCCGCAGAAGGAGATACAAGACTGTTGGCTTTGGGAAGGAGGAGAGAACACGGGAAGGATGTGCATCACTGCTTCTCATGAAAGAGAAATGGTGCCGTAATTATCGGGTGCTTCCCCATGTCTGGCTTTAGCACAGCACTGATTTATTTCCCTCCACTCCCGTAGCTCTCACTCTCCTCTGTCACTCTGAGATAAAGTGTAAATAAGTCGTAAGTGTTATTGAGAGTGGACATAACTGAAGGTTCAACTCATGTAAATGTTTCTTATTGTAATGTTACAACAGGCTGATTGACTGAGATGGCTATTAAGGTAATTAGGGCAGTTAAAGTATTATGTCACTTTAATGCCTGCTGAACTGAAGTGGAACAGGTGTCCAACTCAAACAAAATCTGCATTTCAAGTATTGCTGTCAAGGGAACAATGCGTCACACTCAATCATGGGTACTGGCACCAGATTCCCACATACAGTAGTCTACTCTTGAAGCTTATTTCCTTCTAAAGGACATCCAAACCACTGCTGTCCACTTTTACCCAATCCGACCCCCCCACTCCCCCACCCCCTTTTTTTTGACACCCCCTTTCCCCGGCCTCAGTCCCTTGCCAGGCTGTCGGGGCTGTGTGTGTTATTAGAAACACATGTGGATTACCAAACTTTTTTTTTTCCTGCTCACATTGAGACAAATATGCACAAAGTTGTGGGAAGGAAATATAGCCCCCAGACTTGAAGATACACACTGACAATTGACAAACACAACCACAGCACTCACACAGACAGCAGGTGGTTGGAAGGGCATAAAACCGATAGCCGCACAGCTAAAACAACATTGTCTTCTTCCTGGAAATTTGTCTGGCAGTACATATTGGTAATAAGTCTCCTCACAAAAACATAGAATCACTGCTTATGAATTACAGCAAGAATGATAGATTTTTGAGTGGATTGAAGAGCTTCGTCAGGACAAATGTACTAAACATGAGCATGTGATGCATGACTCTCAGAGGGCATGGACTTCTAATGCATCATCTTTAACAGGGAAGCCCTACAAAACTGTCTCCCCAGCCAAGTCTGCAATGAGCAGAGAGCACACATGGGGGTCAGACAGCATGGCAGCTTTCTCCTTAAGCACATCCAACTGTAGGAGTCATTAACAGAACCACTGAAGTTTAATCAGAGTTTCAGCCAAAGCCACTGAGCCGGTTCCTCCCCAAAAGGACTGAATGCTTAAGGGGAATGTCAAGTCATTGGGCGAGAAAAAGAAAACTGTGAAGATACTGTTGTATTCACCGCGCTAATGTGAATGACAGAAGCAGCCAAAAAGCCCACCCATCCGTCATCCGGAGCGGTGGTGGGAGTAAAACCATTAATCCCTGGGGTGACATGTGTAGTGAAGTGATAGAGATCATCCAGTAAAGAAGAGGAATGGTTCTCTGCAGCTTAACAACACCATCATTCTTCTAACAAGGGTCGTCCTGACCTGCAAACAACTCCAATAAGGTCAGTAAACCTGAGTGATATTCCATAACTCTGACTTGTAGACGAGTGGGAAGACTACTGTTTAAACGCTTAATGTGAGAGAGCGCACACAGCGATCTGAGGCCTCTCTATAGACCTGGATAACTGTCTTTGAATTACTGTGAAATAATTGAATCATTTTTAAATCTATGCTTATTTCATGCTGCATGTGTCCTCGACTTTTTTCATTCTTGAGCTACGCTGGAAGACGAGAAAAATGTACTCTTCACTGTCTCCACAAACCAAGCTCAAGTAAAATCATTTGCGCAAATGAATTACATGTTAAGTCAATGCAGAGACATGATTAGATGCTCCTACAACTCTGGGGGCGCGAATGATGCGAATTGGACAAATCTCAACTTAGCAGATGTTTGCATTGCGATAACTACTCAGTACAAAGGTTGCCTGTTGTTAATTAGTATCTAAAATGGAGGACAAACTGATTGAGTCGGTGTGTGGGAGCCCTGAATTATATGATACCTTTTCTTTCAATTACTGAAACTGGAATAAAAAGGAGCTCACCTAGAGGAAAGTGAGTGAGGAGGTCCGATTACCTGGTAAATTATAACAAAATATTGAAATTACCGTTGACGTGCGAACGAAGCAAGTAAATACTTTTCATTCATGCATTTAGACTTGAGAGAATTAAGCGAGTAGATGATTTTACTCGTGCTTGGTGTGAGCGCCCCAAAAGGTTTTTAACAGGAGAAACAGGCTGCACATTTAGAAAATACATATTTCTAATACACATTAAATGTACATGTTACAGCAGTGGATTTCGATCGGTAAAGCCTCAACTCCACCTCGTTGCCTGTGAGTAGGCTAGGCTGAGGCAGCATATTAAACACCTGCCATTATCAACCTTCAACACATCTTTTGACAAACCAGAGGTTGACGTAGCTTGACGTTGGGTGACTTCATCCATGTTTGAGAGAGTCTGTGGTGACAGGATTATCGATGTGCATTGAAGCCACCCACTGTGTTTGAGTGTGAAAAAAGAAGCCTGTCACAGCAGGTATCGTGTCCTTCAAAATAAAAGCACAGCAAAGACCTTTTGCCACAGCTTTTTTTCAAGAGCACAGATGTACAAGATATGAAGCACGTTTGCATGTTTGCAAAAAAAAAATTGAAACAAAAACAATAAAAGTCCAAAACTCACAATCCTTAAAAAAATATCTGAGGTCAGCTGAAAACGACAGTGTTTATCTCCTTATCACCAAAACTGACATGTGCACTCTTCCACAGGTCAAGTTATGTCAAGGGTCAAACCTACAAAAGCCAACAGGTTCTCCAAAGACTCTCTCTCTGCTCATTGATCACTGTGTACACAGATAAGGCAACACCAGTAGCTCTTATTCTTTAAAAACCTGCAGCACTATCCTTGTAGTCGTTAAAACCAAATCTCCATTTCATTGGAGGTTTTTCTACTGGTTTCCAGAGACTAGTAAATATCTTATTCTGTAAGTGTGTAATTGCAAACAGCCACAGATTGAAATGGCCCATACAAACAGTCCAAAGTGAAACAATGAAAGGCACAATGTAAGTGAATCTGTCATCAATCACTGGTAGGCATTACATTTTGCAATCTGCAGTTCAATGTTTTTCTTTGTTCTGTTTTTCTTTTGTAAAGTGCGATGTTTTGTTATTTTTTGTTTAATTTAATCCAGTCTTGTTAGACTTTTTCAGGAGTTGAAGCCTGTTTAAAAGTTGGTTCGGTGTTTGGCTCGGAGAACTGATGGCAGCAGCTCTGTCCTGGTCCAAGTCTAAACACAAAGCTGGTGAAAGACTGCTTCTTCACATGTGTCCCACAACTCCTGCCTTTATATGTGAGGGAAAATAAACACCTTCTGCTTCTCCGCTCTGCCTCTCCTCTGCTCTGCTCTGTCTCCGTCATATGAGGGTGTATAAACATGAGGCTCTGTGGATCAGTGCGCGCACAGACAGGATATGAGAGTGATTCCCCTCACCTCTCCTGTTTTGAACCTGCGTCACAGACAGAGAAAAGTGGCTCCTTTCCAGAAAAGAGCTATGCAGGGGTCAGCTGTGCTTTGCTCTGCTGTATGCCTGTGGACACAGTTTAAACCAAAGCATCTCCATGGAGGAAGCAGAGTCTGATGACTTATTTTTACGAACAAAAACTGACCTGTAAAACCGTTGAGACTGCATAAATCAGACACTGAAACAAGTTTCTCCTCTTAAAAAGCTGCATTAGCCTTAACTTATGCTGAGCAAAGACGTAAACTTGTAGTTTAACTTTGTTTAGGTGACTTTTTTTAAAGTGTTTTTGCTTGTGTTAAGTCTTCACTACCAGTTAAGAAAAGAGTTGATTGATTCGCAGTTGACAGATTTTTAATCATATCATTTTATTTTCATGTCACCAAAAGCTTCATTTATGATAAGAACTGACCTCAGACTTTTAAGACACAAAAGTATACTGTACGTTTTGGAGAACTTGTTGCCTTCCTTTTCTTCTGGTTTCGAAAAACTTCTGAGAAGAGAGCACTTGAAATGGTTTGGAGACATGCTGTGTCCTGATGTCTGACTAAAACCTGACTCATATGTTGGTTTTTCCTCAAATTACTCACCTATCTACCTCAAAGGTCATCCCATTTCATGCTTTCAAACCCATCGCTGAAATCCTCAGGGCCCGCTCAGATCAGGACATAACATCAGAAATCCCAAAACCGGAGAGATGTAATTTGGCATGAGGATACTCTTTAAAACCTAAGGGAGAAAGCCTTTCCTTATAGCCAAACACCTTGATGGAGGAAGCAGAGAGGGGATCAACCAGGGATTGGTGAAGAGAGGGATAAAGAGGAAGCAGAGGTGTGGATCGAGAGGTGTTTCATAATTCCTAATGCCAGATCCTGTACCTTGGGTTGCCAGGTCCCAGCTGTTTGGGTGGGGAACTTAAGGCTGATTCAAAGCCTGGCTAAAGAAAAGTATATATTTAGCACCGGTAAAAGGAAGAGCGGTAATACATTTTCATCTGTAGACCATTCAGACTCAATTACCTTCTTTTCTGTGTGCTTACATGCTTTTACATGTGAATCAAATGTCTCTGGATGAAGTGGCTTTAAGACCAAGTGAGTATTTGTATCGAGGTATGCTCATATGTTGGACTCATACAATAATCCTGACTGCGTTAGACACTATCAGCTTCACTTACAGTCCTTAACTGCCCTCATAGCACCAAATTACTAAATTACTGTATAATAACCCATCTTAAGCTCATTACTCACACTGAAATTGGAGCAGTTTAGATCTAATCTAAGATCACCTCACAGTTTAAGATCAGAAAAATAAAGGGCTTGCCATAAAAGAGCCATCATACTCACTGCACTGACTGCTGCTCGTAAATGCCATAAAGCTGGATCGGTCTAACGAAGGAAGAGAGGAGAGGAGAAGAGCTGGGGCCAAAGAAGAAAAAGTGGGGTGATGAAGTAAGGCAGTGCTAAGCTTATCGTGCCATCTAGTGGTGAAAAAGGGCACTATCAAATGAGATGGCTGTGGGGTTCAGTTACAGATTGAAGTAGGAGATCCTGCTGCAATGACGGCTGATACGAAATATAAGCAGAGTTTTGATTAAACTGTTAAAAAAAAGGTCTGAGGTAATTGAATTATGAAGACACAAACACAAACAAACACATCGTTCTTTGAGTCTTAAAAACTCCCGTCTGATCTCCATTAAAAACGTCCTCATTTTCTCTGAGCTGAAAACAGTCATTTTTCACACCCTAATTTTAGTCCCAAGTCGTGTGAGTCTCACTGATTTCATGCTCCACTCAGCTGGAAAAGAAAAGTGCCAACTCAGCAAACAATCTGACAGTTTGTTTTGAAAACGGACAGACAGTCAAAGTCAAGATTAATGTGGTGCAGAAAACCTGACGTGTTTTTTTACTCTAATAAAACCTTGGGCTCTGTTGGGACATGCTGTATAAAAAAACAAAAGCTGGTAGGTAAGATCATGAGGGTCAGTCACATCGAGTCCAACTTCCAGTTCGAGGTTAGCTTCAAAAGCCCGGTCCCCTAATATGATATCACAGCCACCGAGAATGACCCCTGAACCCTTCTGAATATACAGCACAAAAAGGGCCTCCAGTTAATGGGCCAGCGAGGGGAGGAGAAATACAACAGCACTGCACATAAACAAACTTATCCTGACAGGGCCGCTTGGTCGAAGGAGGGAGATGTGTGGATAGCGAAGGAGGCTGAGAGAAAATGAATTACCTTCCTGACACACGTCAAAGCCAATCACAGCAGAGCATCCCTCGCTGTTGCCGCGCCCCAAATCCCCGCCGCCACCGTTGCGTTTCATCTACTAGTGTTAGTATGCACACAGGCCGAGCGCCAGCCTCCAAATGTATTCATTTATTCAGAGCCCCTCAGAGAAATCACAGTGTCTTGTTGTCCTTTTTTTCCCCGGCTGTCCAGATGGAATTTGCGTGAATAACATCAGTTTAGTGAGGCAGAAAATAAGTACAGGCTAGCACAGCAGAGGGGACTAGATTACACTCTCACCCACCTCCCCAAAAAAAGGATGGAAAGACAAGTGTCACCTTCATATACTTCTGTCTCCTTTTCTCGTTCTGTTTTCCACTTGTATTGAAACTTATGTGGCAGGTGGGGAGGGCTCGGAGCGAACGATCTTTACAGCTCCTGCTACAATCATTTTAGGTTATGATGCACTGCAGGTGCAATTAACCAGAAGATAATGAATCAAAGAACTAGAGCATCTTTTCATTAAAAAAGGTGAGCGGCCATCAAGGGAGTGCAGTCCAATACTCATTTATCCTTGTTTTGTTTTGCATTTATAACAAAACTAATTGCATTAATTAATCAGATGTACTTCCAACAGGAGGGAGAGCATCTTGCTCAAGTAATTGAATGAGATGAAAGTGAAGGTAAAAAAAAAACTGTAAATCAATATTTCTAACCTCAATAAAGCCCAAGAGAAATTAAAATGTCTTCAGTCAGAAGAGTGGGAAGCCTCAATATTCGTCCAACCAATCAAAAAGAATTCACTCCACAGTCTTTAAGAAGTCCAGTAATTGTCTTTGCTAAAACTCTTCAAACTGAATTCAATACTCCCGAAGATATGCTTTGCAATTTCCTGAAAACAACCAAAGACAGACATAACAAGTGTTCTTCCCATACAGATTGGTAGTCATTTGTTGTCACCGTCAGGACATGTGGAGTAGTTGACTTTGTTTTCCAGACTACACTTTCCTAGACAAAGATTGCTGAAGGGTCAAGTATTTGACTGTTAAATCAAGTGGGTTTTTTTTGTTTGTGTAAAATACCACTTTGGGCTTTTAGCAAACAAACAAAAAACAAACACTTCTTTGTCCACAGGGGGACACCAAATAATCACAAACAGCATGTACCTAAGTGGAGCTTTAAATTAGCAATGCAGCTGATTAATCTGGGAACATTTGAAGGAGACGAACTTCTTTGTTTATCAGTTAAAAGGTGGCTGGAAAAAAAAAACTTGAATTAATCCTACCTCCCTGAGAACCGTACTCCCGTAGCCTCTATACAAGCCTCGAATACCCTGTTCGGAGACAAGAAAGCATTTCACAGTTATAAACAAAGTCCTTTATTCACATATTGTATATTGACTTCTATGTAGACTTTTTAACATTTTTAAGGTTTTCCCAGACTTTATTTAGGGAGAATAGGACAACGAATACTGATGGAAACAGACAGGCAAGTGATAAAGGTGAACTATAGGTGAACTAGAGGATAATGGTCTTTGTACATGGAGCATGGGACTTACCCACTAGGTGCCCTTTATGAAGAAATCCCAATTCTTGAGCTTTTTAAATGAACCATGAACAATTTTGACAGCAGACATGGTTGTGTGTCTTTAAAGTGTCATTTTGGGAATATCCCTGTATCGAGTATTTGATGTAAATGACTGTGTTTGATTCAAATATGTTTGTTTCTAACCCAAACTGACTTACTTTAAAGCAATGTCACCAGGACTTAGCCAAGGTTTTAGAATCAATGATTTTCATGAACACCAAAATAAACGTAATGATAAAAGTTGTAAGAAGTTAACATTCATTTTGAAAGCGCCTCAGTTTCTGTGTACCTCTTCTCTCAGTGTGGCGAGCAGCATGCGGTAGGTAGAGGAGGACGGGGACGCCTGAGTCCTCTGCTTGACCACCTCTGTGGGCACCCGGATCAGACATGCCACCTGTGGGATGAAGGAGACATGGTTGACACAAGCCTGTGTGTTTCATGGCACATGGCCATGATATAGAGAGCAGAAACACAGAGCTGGTGGGTCGATGAGAGCTTTGGTTCATGTCCAGTTGTGCCAATTAATATGACAAAACACACAGTGGACATGACACCTTAGAAACAAATTAAAAGGTCACCGGGCTAACTGCGCACGTGTCCAAAAACCATGCACTTCTCTAAAACACACTGACACAGACACACACACTGTATGCACATCTCAGCCACCACACTCCCCACTGCAAGTTACAACCCATCCACCATATGTCAACAAAAATATGGACTGCCAACAGCTAGTGAAGATAGACATGAATATTTATGCCTCAATTCCCATAGCCCTAAAGGCAGGCAGGATGGCGGGCACGACTGCCCACCTGGCGACTTGATTTTCCATTTATCCTGCACTAGAGCGGAAATACCGGCTAACGGCGAGCAATCTTGCAGAGCAATTGGTGAGCTGGCCCCCTAACTGTGACTCCCCCCTGGTCGCACAGATGCCAGTCCTCCGGTGCCACCCTCACCACAGCACTATGATGCTGGAGTGAGCATGACAGAGAAAAGAGTGAGGAAGACACTGTAAAAGCTGTAATGCAGACTTTCTTTTCCTGGTTGTCAATATTCAGCCTTTTAAAATGATTGAGCATTTCAACCCAAACTGAGGTCTGGGGGGAAGAAAGGTCCTGAAGGATGAGTCCCTTTTTACTTCAGTGTGCTCCGAGAGCTACCAGTCACTTCTGTCACCCCCAATCATCGCACACAAGTGTGACTAAACATGGAGCACAAAAAGAGAAAGCAATAAAATCAGAGAAATTAACAGATATTTTTACATATGCCTGTGAAAACAGAGGTTATTTAAGTCCTGCCAACTATTGATCATCTACAAAGTTTTTGTGTTCACCTTCACCGTATGACTTTCACAGCAAGAAAACTCAAGTTCTATCTCCTTTCACTGCACAATGAGAAGATAAACCTCATTCTCTGTGCATAAGAGCAAATAAAAAAGACTTGAGAAGGTGTCTACAAAGAATCCAGCGCAAATCTTATTGGTATTTCAGGTGAGTATACCCGAAATCAAACCACGGTGCAACAGTACCACCAAGTGGCCAAACTTCCCCACCATCACCTCCCTGTGATAACTGAGCTGGCTGCACCCACCTTACAGATCTCATTTGCCCTCCCTTTGGTCAAGTAACCATTTATAATACATTGTACATCATGTTTTCCCCGAACCAATTCTCTAAAGGAGCAGACCAGGGCGGCTAAATAGAAAGAAAGTGGCTATGACAAGTAATTACTGACATAATTGGATGTGGGGCCTGGAGTTGAGACGGCCTTTCCTCTCCTGTCACGGCAGAGGAGAAGGCAGAATGAGCCAGAGATTATACCAAATAAATTAGGGACATTGTTTATTTGGGAGTAATTTGCACATCTAGGGATGGGTAGAATGGCGTTAAATGGAGAGAGGAGAGAGTGTGCAACCTCAGAGGGCATTTTAGATCCCTGAAAACAGCAGAGAGTGGGGAAACAATGGTGGTGTGGATGTAATGATATAAAGGACTAGAGCTTGAAAACAGCCTGACAGAACTGTGTTTTGCTGAGATGCAGAGGAAGTGTGCCCTCCAGTTTTCAAACAAAAGACAATGTCAGAGAATGGGAGGTAAAGGTAGATGTCCCTCCATGAATTAGGCTTGTTACCTGCTATTCAGAGGAGTCATAAGGCTTTCAGCTGCCCTTAATTCTCCATGTTCTCCTTTGGCTCCTAAACTTATTATAAATCCACAGACAAGCTTTTCAATTTCTCTCCCATTCATCTTTATTTACAAGCTGTTGGATTCGTCAAGCGGCGTTAATTAGTAAGCCGCCTGCCTGTGATTGGAGCCCCTCAGTTTCCCTCACACTGTTGTTGTTAATCCAAATGACAGACCGTGTTTTTAATTTCCAGCACTGGCCGCCAAACAACAAGGTAAGATGCTGGTGCTCAATCATGGGCCAACCCCAGTAAGGAATGGGAAATTAGCAGAGAGTCACAGCACATAATCGGCCGGGCTGGCAAATCAATCTGCAGATTGAGTCATTACGCCTCTGCGCTCCTTCACTTTGATACATCTCTATTTTACTGCTCATGGTTTTTTAAGAATAAGCAGTAAGTCGAAGAAGACCAGGATCACTGCTCAGCACCAAAAAGAGGTCAAATGAAAACCATCATTTGTTTGTCATGCAATAAGTGCAAAGTGCAAATGCTTTTTTGTCCCATTCAGCACACCATAGCTTTTTTTTTTCCATTTAAAACATATTTTGTAGGGGCGGGAGAAAAAAAATCGATACAGCATAGTATCGTGATATTTTGTCTAGTAATATATCGTATCGTCTCATTTACCAAATATCGATTTTTTTCAAATCAGTTGTTAATATGAAGTCAAATCTATGATAATGGTAAAATAAAATCAACTGTTTGCCCAGTGAGGTGTGCGGAGGTGACGTCATAAAGCAGGAGAAAGTTAGCATAACAAATATAGCACCACCTAGGGGAGGACATTAGGAATGCAAGCAGGGCACAAACGAGATGGACCAGACACATGAGGTTTGCAAGAATATAAAATAATGTGTAAATAAGACAAACATAAAGGAAAGACAAATGCTAAATTAGCTAAACAGTTTAAAATTGTTTAAATCTCAATATATTGTATCGCAATACTCACTGGACTGCAAAATCAAAAATCGCAATATCGTATTGTGGCCCAAGTATCGTGATAATAACATATTGTGGGGCCACCGGTGATTCCCACCCCTAGTATTTTGGGGCGAGACAGAGATGTCAACAGGTTCCACAAAAGATGACAGAGCTCTGAGTCAAAAGTAGTTAATTAAATGTAAAAATCCTAAAGTCAATTTTATTAAGTATCATTTCATTTCATCAATATTATTTCATTGCCTTCATTTCACTCCCAAATAAAGACACTGGAAAGAGCAGCTTTACATTAATATGGACTGAAATAATGCAAAATTAAGGTTTTTAAACATGCTGTTGAAGATATGGTCAAATGTGGCTAAAATGTACCATTTGACAACTCAATCATAAACATTTCCCTAACTTTTGCTTTATGTTATTAACACCACAACTTCCAAAGTAACTCAAGATGAAACATTATTACAAATAAAAATCTCTGCAGCAGACCAAAAAACTCTACAGCTCCCGTCCTGAAATACAGCAGGTCTTTTCAAGTCTACTGGAACTAGACTCCCCCCAGTTTCTTGGTTTTGATCAAATCCCCAATCCTGTAAATATTTCATACAAAAGACTGAAATGAGGTTTCTTCAAGAGAAGGAAAGGAAGGAAAGGAAAGGAAGGGAAGAAAAAAGGTCATAAAGAAAGAGAAGAGATGAGGACACCGCGTGTCTCTAAATTTGAAACAACAGCCAATAAATCACAGAGCGTGGCGCTCCTCGAAAGGGGATGCATGGATTATTTCTCAGAGCCAAGTTAAGTGGCTGCCAGTTTCTCCCCCCAAAGCTCCTCCCTCTTGCACCCGTTCTACTCGTTGTCCCCCTATCTTGTCATGTCACCCTGCATTTTCCAGTACATCCTCCTGCAGATGTGTGGTGTTGAGGTGGTGGCGGTGGTGCTGAGGGGGGGGGTTATAGATGCGGGAGAAGCTCGCCGCCTGGTCTTGACAAATGAGCTTTCAGGGCAGACGTCGGGCGAATGGGAATGAAGATAAATCTGATCTAATGGCTGGATAACAGCCTGCTAGAGCCTGACAGACGCCATCAGCTTATACATTCTTTATAGGAGCATCCCAACGCCACAGTCCCACAAACACCGGGATGCTACTGGTTGGGGGGGATTTCTTTCATAGTACAGATCGTTTTGGGGTCTTTCTCTCAGTATGGTTGCAGACAGTCTGTGTCCATATCCTCTACGTCTATGTCCATCTTTCCTTTTTGTTTACATGTTCCACCAAGTGTTCAGTGGATTTACAGGAAAGGTACTCCTCATGACATTTCAATAACCTCCTCCAGCAGCTCTCATCAGTTCTCAGCTGTAGAGAAGGAGAAGAACATTTCCTCCTCTCTTGAAAATAAGTATGCAATGAAGGATCTGAGTTTGGCCTTCAACTTTCACTTGTTTAGACTGCTGTTTTCTTCCCTTGTTGCACAAAAAAACAAGAGTCTTAACTATAAAGATCATAAAAGAAGTTTGTTTAAGTGTTCTCTTTTCTCTTTTTCAATTCCCATCTCATACTTTACACAGAATCGATTCTAAGCTATAACTCCCTCTGGAACGATGATAACAGACTCGAGAAAGTTGGTGCCAAGTCATGCACATCATCCGTAGAGGGAGGCTCAGGGGATGGGATTAGCAAGGCAATAAGTCCCATAAAGCCTCTGTTACAATTGCTGCAAAGCAAAAACAGTTGGTTAAAAAAACAACTATGCAGACACCTGTGGAAGAGATTCTGGGCTTACGAGGAGGCGGATAAGCAGACAAGAAACAAACCAAGGAGCTGATTGTTCTTTTCTTACATTTCAGTGATATCAGAGCTTTCTTAACGGACAAAAAGAGAGAAGTGGAACAAAAAAACAACAGACACAAGACAGATCACTTAAAAGGTAGAAGATAAATGTTTAGATGGATAAAACTGTCCCTGCGTGGTTTAGATGTAGCCAAAAGGGGGGCTTTCACTGCTAAATAAATTTGCCTGAGGAGATAAATCATGCACTGAAAAGAAGCAAAACTTAGCCTTTAGACTCACAGTAGGTCAACAAAGGTAATAAATGACTCTTTAGAAGTAAGAGAATGGCTCAAACGGGTGAAAGTTACAGAGAAAAGCTGAAATCATGCTGAATCGACCAATCTATTAACTGTTTTAGCACTTTCCTTGACAAGTTTATGCACCCCTTTGGCCAAAACTTAGCAAAGCTTAAGTGAGCACACAAGTCCAATAACTTTTAATTGAAAATCATTAGCAGTGCCTGTAAAAGAATCATATGTGGCAGCGCTTGCATCATAGTGCAGGCGTTCAGACCCTGCGAAACACCCCGGGCAGCACTAGAGAAGGCCTTTCATGGCTAAGCCTGAAGATTACTTGCTTTGAACAAGACGTATCCAGTTGCCAGGATGCAGCGGGATACCGCCCCTGCTCTGCTCGGCTCTACTCCGAGGATTTTCTGTCTTTGATGTGCTCAAATCCAGAACAGCGGGGAAGGGGTTAAAGGTAGCCGCAACCTCAGGTTCACCTTTTACCCCAACGTGGGCTGTGTCATGGACAAAAAAGTGGAAAAAGGCAGAGATGTCTCGCCAAAACTTATAAACTCCATCAGTATATATGAATATGACATTCATAAAGCCAACCTCTCATTGAATTTGTGGTAATATGGCAGTGACAGAAGTCTTGTTATCCACTATGAGACACCAAGACTCAGATAAACTCCAGCACAGTGAACACCCTCCCATGTGGAATAATCCTATTTCATACACATGCAGAACTTGGCTGAATCACATCCATCCAAAAGCCATGAATACTGAAAACTAGTATTTTGCAGAAAGCCACGGTGGTATAGCAGGAGGGAGCATCCCTCTTTCCATACCCCCATTCCTCTTCCTCCCTTTCATGCCAATGTAAATACACCCGGCCCCCATATGGCTCAGACTCTCTGGTTCCCTGTGAGTGATCTGGAGAGGATGGGCTGAGGAAATTGCACCGCTCTTCATTGGTTTCAAGCCTGAATTCCCCTGACTAAATTGGCAGAGTCTGGGGGCCTGAGCTGGGAAAGTAGATGAGTCAATAGGCAGTAATGAGATCTTATTTACCCAGCTAGTGGGGGAAATGCTGAGGCAGTCCTGAGGAAGCTCCTTTAACTCAACCAGCTGGACTCTAGAGTCCACTGCCAAAAACGCATACTTCTTCACATCCCCTGCTGCCCTTTTGCATAGTTGTCTGTGAAATTAGAACGGCAATAATAGACATGCTCTTGATGCTCAGAGAGAAACAAAGAGGGGAGGATGAGAGTATGAAAGAGCAACATCTAGCGGGTAAGGCAGCTGGTGTACAAAAAAGGAACAACGGAGATCTTATCAGTCGTACAGAGATTAAAAAAAGCTTTGAAAGTTAAAGATGTGGTGGTAAAATAAGTGAAAATCCAAAAGAGTACAGTTAAAAACTTCAGCTAATGAAGGACCGGCACACTCACTATTTCTCCCAGGGAGGCAGCCAACATGTGAGTGACAGGTGCCACGTGTGGTGCTGCTAGCACTCCTCCGGCGCCGAGCAGGGACTTTGTGCAGTCGTAGGTGACAAAGAAAGCAGCGGCTGAAACCAAGCAGAACCACAGCCATTTAAGGCCCATTAGTCAACCAGCATACAGCAATTAATATCCCTCACTACCACTGACAGGGGAGAAACTAAGGTGCGAGCTATTGTGTCTGCGTGTGTGCCAGTCTTGTGTGTATGTGAAACAACAAGTAAAGAAAGGCACAGAAAGTTAAGAGCAACTTGTGTGTGTTTGAGTGAACTGAACTCCCACACTTGTGAGAAAAATGACCCTGTAAAGGGTTAAATGTATTATTAAATTGAATAATATCGAGTCCATCACTTTAAATACATCATTCCCTTTCCCTGATATGGGAGAGAGAATGATGTATTTAAAGGGATATTCTGGTGTAAAATTAAGTTAGGATCAAACACACTGTAACACCGAGTTAGACACCCTTCGAGAGATGAATGTTGCCGACTGCTTGCTTCTCTAGTTATACCAACTTTATTAACGACCACATGATAGCTTACACAGCAGTCTTAGGAGCCACATGCACACCTCATCAAAAAAGTGTTTTTGACCCGAACTTAATTTTACACCGGAATATCCCTTTAACCCTCGGACTGACTGATTAAATACTACACAGCTTGTATAATGTACTTACTACCTAATACTAGCGCTTCTGTCTGAATGCTACAGTTTTAAGGCATTTTCTTGAATATTTTGCATAAAAATATTCATATTTTCCATTCAAAAGCTGGAAAGACTATTAAAACAAACATTTTACAAGGTGTTTATATCAATCATATGTCTTTAAAAGTGTTTTAAAATGCACTAGTATGCTTGAGAGTTTAATGTGTTTAAGCGTCCAACCTACTGATGATCTGTAAACGAAATGAATCTTGTTTGTTCTGTTTGCATGCGCCTCTGGCAGGACATCAAGTACAAACAAAGCTTCACTTTTAAGCTACATAAGAACACAGAATAAATCCAGTCATCACATTAAGTGTCTTACCGTTGGGGAAGGAGCCTACAGCAGCAGATGGGACTCCAGCATAGATGCCCCTGAAGCCCCCTGCCTTGTAGAAGCCCTGCTGACTCTGCAGTCTCGTCTTAATAGTGTCCAGGGGGAAAAGGGTCAGATCCACACACATCCCTGCACAGCCTCCCGCCTGTAGGGACCACCACTTTGTGAGACTGATGATACACTCCATAACACCAGAGCTTGGACATATGCTCAGAACGCTTAAACCACCTATCTACATTCACTGTTTTGACACTTGAGGGAATGCAGCATGCAATAAAAAAACTAAAGTTACTACTTTTGATATGTTAAGCAGACACAGAACAACACAAATAATGACAGATTTGGGACATTTGTTTTAGGCCACCTGATTCTTGGCATTTTAATCTACAGACTTTTTTCAGCCTTCACCTTCTTGTGAGGAAAATATCTCTCTTTAAGGTGCTAAAAGCTCCGCAGATTCCCCATCTGCCATTCGTATTTGAAGGAGGTATTGTTCAGTGGAGCTATCAGAGCTTGGATCACTTTAAATGGCTCTTCTTTGCTGCTTCAAGAGACTCTGATAAGAGCGCTCAAGGATGCCAAAAAACATCAAAGATGTACCCTTTCCAACCAAAATAATGAGGTACTCAAGAGAACTGACAATTTTGCTATAAAAAAGTGTTGTTGTTGTTGTTAATATTACATGACTGCTAACACTTTAGAGAGAAGCTCTGTTTAAAGACGCAGCTGAATTAGCTTGAAAAGTAGGCAATTACATATATTGTCTCTATCTGCTGGGTTTTTCTTAAGCTTTAGCCATGCATCATAGCTTGTAGACTGATCCTAGATTCATCTTGAATGTTTAACAGGTTCAGAAGCGGAGCAATGTCATAGTGACGTAAAAACTTGTTAATCTGAAGAACCTATACAGCAAGTGCGAAGTTGATTGATTGATTGTATAGACAATATATCTAGTTCAATTTTGTTCTAACTTATTGACAGCCTCCAGCCGCAACCAAGTCTTTAACTAATTTAATAAATATTGTAAATCATCCTCTGTAATCACCTTCAAAGTAATGATGAAAGTGCAGGGTTGCACTCAATGACACCAAGTTACTTAGTTCAACTTGAACACAACAAGATGTTTTTTACATAAATCACTCATTAGCAGAAACTCCACACAAGTTCTTCTATTGAAAAAAAAAAGATACACCATGTGACCCTTCTTGGTCTCAACCTGTAAAAAAGATGATGCCAGTGCATCAGTTTATCTGAGTTTGCTTAAGTCTCTGTTCATAAAAAAATAAAGTACCACACAATAACAGTAAGAACTTGTTAATTTCCCTCAAGTGTACACTTACATTCATTACTTGCTTTGCAGCACTATTACAAATAATATATCGTGATATTTGCCTATTTATGTATTCAATTACATACAGGCTTATCATCTTATTCAAGAAACAAGGAGGAAATCATGTAGGGGAGAGTGGTGCAAGTTGAGCCACAGGGTAAGTTGAGCCACCCCCTGTTGCTTGGAAATGGTAAAAGAAATTGATTATGACCAAAAATTCAGGAGATGAGCATCAATTCATGGAGTCTGTTAAGTTTAAAAGCACATGGGTGAAGGGGTTAGACACATTCCAAAAAAACATTTTTCATTCTTGAAAGTGAATTTAGTCTGTCATAAGTTTAATTAGTTTTGTGTTCAGACCAAAAAAGATCATTTTAAATTTGTTTTATGCATCAATTGTGGTATCTATGAACATAAAAGTCTGCCATTTTAGCATAGAGGACTAATAAAGTCATCATAGTAGTTCAGGGGTAAGTTAATCCAGTGGCTCAACTGAGAAAGTAAAGGAGTCTGATGAGAGGATCAGAGTTTCAGTTCAGATTGTTGAAATGTTTGACTTTTTCTTTTCAAAAATACAGCTGTGAATGTTCCGAATCACTTAAAGGCATTCTCATGTTAAAATGACTTTTTACAAAACAGCTTTTTAACAGTTATATGCAATAATAATAAAAATAATTATTGTACCAGTTGAATAGCTTATAATAAATAAATATACACATGAATGTATTTTTACCTCATACACAGGATAAGTTGACCATAGAAGACCACTTTTTTTTTGTCATGCTATATTATCAAGACAGTTATGTTTACACTCATTCTGTTAGTTTGCAGGGATGCACAACACATTGAAATATATGCAGATAAACTAGTTAGAGACAAAACTATGACTGACTTGATGTAGTGATCCGAAATATGAAAAATGGCTCATCTTACCCCACTCTCCCCTACTATGAAGGCTATTTCTTGACATTTTGGTCCAGGATAACTCCTTAGTATCTTTATATCACATTATGTCAATGTAAAGAAGGGACAGGCTAAGTGTGTTTAGAACATAAAGGAAAAAAAGCTGCCCTGTTACAAAGATCTGCATTTCCTAGAAATTTTCTTGCATTGGGACAATTTATTTCGCCCCAGAGGAATTTAACATTAAAAGAAAAAAAATAGTAACTTCTCGCTCAAATGTAGGGTTGTTCAGCCACCGTTACTTGCTGCTAAATAAGCGAGATGTCATACTTCTCATTACATGTTTTAATGTTATTTAGTCATTTTTAACGTTGTGACATGAGTTGCTATAGACAATATTATGTATTTTAATGACGCTTTTCTGGCTTTGACGGGGAATACAATTAATGCCTTTACGATAACGCGGTTAAAAGTGCAAGAAACTGACACAATTTCTGAATAAATGCTGCAAAATTTACAGGCAGGCTAATAACAATGCTAATGCTACGTTGTAGTTTTGCACAAAATGTAGTCCTCACCACCAAAGACGTGACGAACTCTCTTCTTTCCATGTTCCGCTCCTTAAATATCCTTCAATAGAGTCTTGCGGCTCGTTGGAGTGTAACTTTGGAGCATGTTTGACTCTCCGCACATATCAAAACATGCCTGTCAAGGACGCTGCCATCTTGGTTGAACCACTTCCGTGTGACGTCACTGAGAATGCTACTCATGTGACTGCGGACCCTGCCAAGGCAAACACAGTATTATCCTTTCAATATGTCTATAATGAACTACAAAATGTTTCCTGCAATACCAATTTGTCAATTTGGACCAGTAGTTTTACATTTTTGACAGGTTGAAAAGTATTGCCTTAATTTATTTTCACATGGAGCTAAAATAATCTAAAGTTAATAAAATACTGTGTGGTGTACTGACTGCAAAGGGGAGAGTGGGGTAAGTTGAGCCACAGGGTAAGTTGAGCCGCCCCGTGTTGCTTGGAAATGGTAAAAGAAATTGATCATGTGACCAAATATTTAGGAGATGAGCATCAATTCAGTCTGTGAGGGTTAGAAGCACATGGGTGAAGGGGATAGACATTTATTTCCAAAAAAACATTTTTCACTCTTGAAAGTGAATTTAGTCTGTCATAAGTTTTATTAGAATTGTGTTCAGACCAAAAAAGATCATTTAAAATTTGTTTTATACATCAATTGTGGTATCTATGAGCAACAACATGAGGTCAAAAATCTAGCATAAGAGTCTGCCATTTTAGCTTAGAGGACTAAAAAAGTCATCATAGTAGTTCTGGGGTAAATTGAGCCTGTGGATCAACTAAGAAAGTGAAGGAGTCTGATGAGAGGATCAGAGTTTCAGTTCAGATTGTTGAAATGTGTTACTTTTTCTTTTCAAAAATACAGTTGTGAATATTCTGAATCACTTTCCCATGTTAAAATGTTTTTGTTTTTTTTTTATAAAACAGCTTTTTAGCAGTTATATGCAATAATAATAAAAAATAATTATTGCACCAGTTGAATCGTGTATAATAGATAGGGGGAAGTGACTGTTATTTAGGGGAGAGGGTGAGGGAGGGGAGGGGGGGGCAGGAGTAGTAGGGATATGGTTCAACTTACCCCACTCATATGGTCAACTTACCCCATACACAGGGTAAGTTGACCATAGGAGACCTCTTGATTTTGGTATGCTTTATTATCAAGACAGTTATGTTTACACTCATTCTGTTGGTTTGCAGGGATGAACAACATCTTGAAATATATGCAGATTCACTAGTTAGAGACAAAACTATGATTGCCTTGATGTAGTGATCCGAAAAATGAAAAATGGTTCATCTTACCCCACTCTCCCCTGTATACGAAATAATAAACATATGGGCTTAAAGAAAAACTCTTTGTGACCCCCCTTAACACACTCTTTATCATGATTTTATAACTTTACCTCTCTCATCTCACCTCTCCCTCATGATCCCACTGAGTGAGTGTGCTCAGGTGAGTGTGTTCTTTTCCACTGACACACCGACTGGGTTATTTATGTGCTGCTGTCAGCCTGGCAGCATCTCCTATTAGAGAAGAGCAGGCAAGGTGCGGCCACCTCTTTATTCAGCCCGGACCCAATGATGTCTGGGCTGAGTGAGCCCAGTTTGAAGCTCGGTGCCCGCCATCCATCTTGTTGAAGCGGGTCTCACAGGGATCCCTTTGGATGTGAGCCCCAGCTGGATCTGCATCGGGCTGCTGTCTTGTTCTGCATTATGCCCGGGGATGGCAATAGCATCACTTAGCCTCTATTTCTCATACTTATATTGTCTCAGTGAGGCATTTCATAGACAGCAGAGATTGTATATTTCTCTTTTACTGTGGTCAAATGTTTTACTCCATTGAACATTTATATATTAGTATATTAGCTATTCCTTAGGGAGATTTTGGACTCAATAAAGCGCATTAATTCTGTGTCATACCTGAAATTGATTTTTTTTCTCTCTCTTTTCAGTCTTTGTCAAGACGTTTGCAGTGTCCAGATTGCTGTCTGTTCGATCATGTAAAGTCATTTATCATCCTGTCACTTCTTGTCCTTGGGCATTGTGATTTTTGTCAGTGGTGCACCAAGTGCTGTATTAAAGTAAAATGTTAAGGGGTCTTCAAAACATCCAGTGAATCAGAAACACTGGGTCACCCAATATCAGTTTTTCAGCGTGTTCTGAAAGTTTAAAATGGAGCTCATGTTCAAAGGAAGCATTTGACTCAATGTGTCTAAAACATTTATACTTTTGCAGCAGTGACGGCGCACTTTTTAACTTTAAAAACTTACTGCTTGTCCGCCTCACCTTACGTGTTCTCAAATGACTTCAAACAGATTCATGAGGAGAAAAGCTAACAGTGTGAGAAGAATAAAGTTTAAAGAACAGAAATGGATCTGAACCAGCATGGTATGTGAGATTTTGATGAGCACTTGGTGAGAGGTAGGTGATTTTATCCATAGAAGTTAATGTTAAAGCTGCCTGGATGAGAGCAGGAGTGTTCAGTTACCCCTGTGTAAGGTCAATGAGAAGCACCCAGAGTCTAGGCAGATTTGCAGGGAGCACCATTGATCTTGACCCACTCCAAGTATGATCTCAGAGATAAAAGGGAGGAGACGAGAGAGGGAACTTATTCACTGTCAGCCATAAGTCAGCAGAGGGCAATTCTAGCCTGCAGGCTGTCTTTGAAACACTGAAGGGCAAAATCGCAGTGGATTAAGGCATAAGGTGGGAGGGGGGAGATAAATGCAAGCACCCATTAGTGTTATTGTAATAACACAGAGCCGACAACCGGTGGGTTTTCTTTTTAAGCATGTGTATCGGTGACAGCTGGAATGAACTCAGGGTTATGTGACTGCATAGGTGAGAAGGAGCATGAAGTTTTACCTAAAGTTTTACGACACCTTTTTCTCCCTATGTGTGAGTGTGTGTGCGCACTTTGGACTTTTTGTGTGTCCCTTCAGGAGGGGTAGATTGCTTACTTTAATTGAATTTTCATTACCTTCATTTCAAAGGCCTGGCTGATTTTCTGGACACAGTTAAAAACCAACAATTGTCTTTTTTTTTTCCTTGAGGAAGCACCATCTGTAATGGTCATTATTTTTGAGCTGAGAAGAACACACATCTTGAGTGTGACACGGTGATATTATTCATGAGACAGGATGGGCGAGCAGCGTGGTAAACTTCATCTGAAACATAACTCTTGCTCATTAGCCGGCCCAACATTTGCATCATTAGGACACCGCAACAGCAGGGCCGGTAGGAAATGCGACTAAGCGCCTTTCATATAACTCTGTTTTTTTACTCTTGGGATGATAGGCTACATGAATCTGTGACAGGGAGGGAGAGCGGCAAACGAAGAGAGGAGGGAGGTGACAGGAGGAGAGGAAGGAGGGAGGTGTGATGCAGGGAAGAGAAAGGTTAGGGAGAAAGAGGAGAATAAAAGAACATTCATTATAAATTCACTGAATCGACAAGCTGTCAGACTGCGCTGCTGTCCATGTAGTGTGTAAGCCTTTGCTGCACTATTGACTCCAACGTCACAACCCAAAACTTCTGCCTCCTTTCCCACCTTTGCTTGCATTCATATCACCTGATTCTGCAGCTCGATTTTGCTCTCCCTCTCAATAGAACCCCAAGAGCCTCACAAAGCCACGTCCTCATCCCATCCACCTCTTCTTCCCCTTCTCCCCCTCTGCCCTCTCATCCCGTCTGGGCCAGCGGTGAAATATGAGCTGCCTGTAGCATATTGATCCCATGCCTAGCTCATGCCCAAAGATAGATGGATCACAGACAAGGTAAAGCACTCCTCCTGATGCTTTCTCCTCTTTCTTTGCAGCTGTAGCAGCACCAATGCCAATGGATTCACTGGTTGATATTGATTGAAACGATCAATTTTGCCACAATGCACGCCGATTGATTCTGTTGTTGTTGTCTCAGTGAGAGCAGGTGAGCTGAGCGGAGAGCTGTCACGCAGGGTGAAATGTGAAGGCCTCTGATTGGTCAGGACAGGTGTAATCAGCTCTGTGTTAAAGCTGTCCAGTGTAGTGGCTGCAACAGAGGCATCAGCTGTCAAGACCTCCTTCACCCTCTGAGAATATCACTGGAGACAAAGCTTTAAATGTTAAACGTCAGACATATTTGATTGATTTATGCACAACATGGTAACTTGATTATGATGTTTTCCTGTTATTATAATCAGCGGAAGGGCCTGGTCCCACATCTCAAGTCTCATTGGTGTTAAGACTATAGTATCCATAAACAGATTCATTGTTCATCTATTTGATCAGAGTGTACTTGTCTTTAAATACAATGTGGCATTATTTAATATGCCCTATTTAACTCAAGTCAAGCTAACTTGAATTAACCAACTAAATGTATTCACTAAACTTTGCTAAGCTTGGCTAAATTCAATTAGATTTAGTTAGACAAATTATGATGAAATTACTTGACCTTACCTCAGATGAATTTATGAACGTAACTGAGATAACTAGTTTAGTTTGTCTTTAATTAAAGCTCATGTGAGGAGTTTTTATGTTTAAAAAATAACCTGAAATACATATTGATACCTTTTTAAGATGTAGAAAAATATACAAAACAATCGGAAACAAAACTAATGATTTTTTCTAGAATAGTCTTTTGATGTCCCAAAGGAACAGCCCTGTTCTACGTATCACATGAAAATATGAAGAATATATATCAGAATTATAAGATTGTTAGAATAATGTGCATAAATGTATATAGAAGTTATCATTATTCCTCATATTCTTATGTAAGAGTTTACTACAAGTATAAACTGTTTTGACCTCTTGTTACACATATAAGAGTGTTTTCTAACTTCTCTCTCCAGTAGCTTAATTACACAGCACATGAATGTTTCTTAACTTCTCTGTGACCTCGTTTCTCTTATCAGTAGGTGTGTGATGTATCCTCCACTGTGAATCGTGGGAAGTTTTTGAGGAGGATCCATTCTTATCAGAAGGAGCTCGTTAGATGCCGCCTTGACCTTCACATATTCACAAATTGTTCATTATTATGTTCTATGAAAATGCTTACTTTGCTTCACATATTTTCCCCCACCCTTTAGAAACATTGTGTAACCAGGGACAACCCTAAATAAAAGATGCCGGACAGAAAAACCGCTCTCAGAGTGGTATTGAGATAACTAAAAAAAGATCTCTTTCCATTCTCCTCGAG